CAATACTTCTCAAATTGATTTTTAGGTCTAATGTAATCTCAATCATAATTTCAACAGGCTCTTTGTAGAAATTCACAACCTGATTCTAAAATTTATATAGAAATGTGAAGGACCTAGAATACCCAAAGCAATCTTTAAAAAGAACAAAGACATACAGCACCTGTCTGTATGACTTACTATAAAGCTGTAGTAATCATGACAATGTGATACTGGCATAAGGAGTCACAAACATCAAAAGAACAGAATAGGGGCTTCCCTGGTGGCTCAGTGGTTGAGAGTCCACCTGCCGATGCAGGGGACACGGGTTCGTGCCCCGGTCTGGGAAGATCCCACGTGCCGCGGAGCGGCTGGGCCCGTGAGCCATGGCCGCTGAGCCTGCGTGTCCGGAGCCTGTGCTCCGCAACGGGAGAGGCCACAACAGTGAGAGGCCCGCGTACCGCAAAAAAAAAAAACAAAAAAAACAACAACAAAAAAACAGAATAGAGAGCCGAAATGGACCTATACTTATATAGCCATTTGATTTTTTTAACAAGGTGCCAAAGCAATACCATGGGGGAAGGGTAGTCTTTTGTACAGGTGCTACTGGAAAAACTGGATATGCACATGGTTGGGGGAACGGGGAGGGGGGAACACCACTCATTCTCTACCTCATACCACACACAAAAATTAATTTCAGATGGATCATAAACCTAAATGAAAAATAAAACAATAAACTTCAAGAAGAAAACAAAGGAGAATATCTCTACTTCCTAGGGGTTGGCAAGGATTCCACAGGTCACAGAAAGCGAAAAGCATAGAAGAAAAATGGATAAATTAGACTTCATAAATATTACAATTTACTCATATCTAAAGATCTTGTTACCGAACCAAACTTGGGTCTGCTCACCACTGCAGTAAAGCTACTGACACTGGGTTGTGGTGAAGGAAAGTGCAGCATTTACTATAAGGCGCCAGTACAAGAAGGATGGAGGGCTCATGCTCTAAAAACCCCAAACTCCCCGAAGGGTTTCAGCAAAGCTTTTTTTTTTTTTTTTAACTTTTTTATTGAAGTATAATTGCTTTACAATTGTGTGTTAGTTTCTGCTTTATAACAAAGTTAATCAGTTATACATATACATATGTTCCCGTATCTCTTCCCTCTTGCGTCTCCCTGCCTCGCCAGGTGAGGGGGTGGGGTCGCAAGGTATGTGATCAGCTTGTGAGGTAACAGGGTGTGTCACAGGGGTTAACATCATCAGTCAGGCTCCCTCAGGCCTGGGGGCTATGTGTTCATGATCATCAGGTAGTTAGCACCTTCCAGGGAGTTCCCTGGTGGTCTAGTGGTTAGGATGCCCGGCTTTCCCTACTGTGGCCCAGGTTCAATCCCTGGTCGGGGAACTGAGATCCCACAAGCTGCATGGTGTGGCCAAAAAAAAAACCAAACATCTTCCATTTGGTGGGGGGTTTTCACGTCTATAGAACTACTCAGGAAATGTGTATCAGATACTATTATCTAGGGACTTCAGAGAGGAGCTAAAGCAGAGGATTTGGGGAAGGCCCATAGGGTCCTGCTGGGTTACAATCTTGTTAAGAAAATGAATAGGCAAGCGACAGATGGGGAGAAAATACTCACAAAACCTATCTGACAAGTCTTTTATTAAGAATTATATAAAGGATTCCTGGGGAATTCCCTGTGGTCCAGTGGTTAGGACTTCGAGCCCTCACTGCCGAGGTCCTGAGTTCAATCCCTGGTCGGGGACCTAAGATCCCACGCTGTTTGGCACAGCCAAAAAAGAAAAAAAAATTTTTTTGTAACTCAATAATAAAAGGACAATGCAGTTAAGAAAAAAATGGGCAAAGGATTTTTTAAAAAGATTTATTATTATTTTAAAATTTATTTTATTTATTTATTTTTGGCTGCGTTAGGTCTTTGTTGCTGTGCTCGGGCTTTCTGTAGTTGCTGCGAGCAGGGGCTACTGTTCATTACGGTGCGCGGGCTTCTCATCATGGTGGCTTCTCCTCTTGCGGAGCATGGGCTCCAGGCGCGTGGGCTTCAGCAGTTGTGGCTCACGGGCTGTAGAGCGCAGGCTCAGTAGTTGTGGCGCACGGGCTTAGTTGCTCTGCGGCATGTGGGATCTTCCCGGACCAGGGCTCGAATCCGTGTCCCCTGCATTGGCAGGTGGATTGTCAACCACTGCGCCACCAGGGAAGCCCTATTTATTATTTATTTATTTTATTTATTTTTGGCTGTGTCGGGCCTTAGTTGCGGCATGCAGGATCTTCGTGGAGGTACGCGGGATCTTTCCTTGTGGCACGTGGACTCTTCGTTGTGGTGCTCTGGCTTCTCGTTAGTTGTGGCGTGTGGGTTTTCTCTCTCTAGTTGTGGCGCGGGCTCCAGGGCGCGTGGGCTCTGTAGTTTGCGGCACGTGGGCTCTAGTTGAGGTGCGCGAGCTCAGTAGTTGCAGCGCGTGGGCTTAGTTGCCCTGCGGCATGTGGGATCTTAGTTCCCTAACCGGGAATCAAACCCGCATCCCCTGCGTTGCAAGGCGGATTCTTCACCACTGGACCACCAGGGAAGTCCCTGGGCAAAGGATCTGAACAGACATTTACAAAGGAGTATATACAAATGACTGAGCACATGATAAAATAATTTCATTAGTGATGGGGATGTGCAAATTAAGACTGAAAAGACTGATAGCATCAAATATTGTCAAGTATATGCAGAAACTGGAATTCTGAAACATCGTCAGCGATAGTGTAAAATGTTACAACCACTTGCATAAAGGTCTGGCAGTTTCTTATGTTAAACCTAAATATAAACCTACCCATGGCCCAGAAATATCACACCAAAGTATTTACTCAAGAGAAACAGAAGCACACATCCATGAAAAAATGTATACAAGAATAATAGTAGCCACTTTATTCAAGATAGCAAAATACCGTAAATAATCTAGGTGTTTGTCAACTGGAGACTGACCAAGTAGACTACTATTCAGCAATAAAAAGGAACAAACTGCTGGTTTATGTAACAAAATGGATGAATCTCAAAAACATTATACTGAGTAAAAGAAGCCAGATACAAAATAGTACATACCATGTGATTTTCATTATATGAAGCTGTAGAATAGACAAATCAGATCTCTGGTGAAAAAAAATCAGTTTAGTGGTTGGGTTTCCAGTAGGGATGGATGTGGGAATTGCCTGGGAAGGGGTATGAGAGAACTTTCTGGAGGTGATGATAACATTCTGTATCTTAATAAGTATTGGTGTCAAACACATTTGTCAAAATTCATCAAATGGTACACACAAGATTTGTGCATTTCATTTTATGTAAATTCTACAATTCACATATGAAATTTACACAAAACATTTAAAGTACCACAGACAAAATATTGAACTCTAGCTAATGATGTGCATGCTAAAGTGTTCAGGGGTGAAATGCACTGATGTCTGCTATTTTGAAATGCATTTAAAAAGAAAAACTTGAATTCATGGATGGATAGAGGGATGGATAGATAGATATACATTGTGATAATGAATGATAACATTTGCTAAAGATAGCAAATGTTAATTGTAGAATTTAGGTGATAGGTATATGGTGTTCATGATATAATTCTTTTTGTTGTTGTTGTTGTTTTTTTTGCGGTACGCGGCCCTCTCACTGTTGTGGCCTCTCCCGTTGAGGAACACAAGCCCCGGACGCGCAGGCTCAGCAGCCACGGCTCACGGGCCCAGCCGCGCCGCGGCATGTGGGATCTTCCCGGACCGGGGCATGAACCCACGTCCCGTGCATCGGCAGGCGGACTCTCATCCACTGCGCCACCAGGGAAGCCCCATGATATAATTCTTTTAACTTCTCTGTACATTTGAAAGTTTTTATGATAAAATATTAGGAAAGGGAAAAGAATAAATTGCAGGGAGACAAGAATGGAAGCACATGTGAGAGATAATGATTAGGTAGTGACAGTGGAAATGGAAAGGAATGAAGAGATTTAAGATAGTTTTAGAGGCAGAATCTATGGGTCTGCCTATGGATTGGATGTGGGTAGTAACAGAAAGGAATCAAGGATGATTTCTGGGTTTCTGGCCTTATCTGCTGGGTGGTTAGTGCTATTACTGAGAAGAATAATAGGTTTGTTGGGGAAATATAAAGTTCTATTTTAGGGAATTCCCTGGAAGTCCAGTGTTTAGGCCTCTGCACTTCCACTGCAGGAGGCCTGGGTTTGGGGAACTAAGATCCCTGCAAGCCTCGCGGCCAAAAAAAAAATTTTATTTTTCCATTTTGGCCATGTTAAAGAAGTTTCCCCCTTCCCTCCAAGTGTAGATGTCAGGCAGGCAGTTGGACTCTTGAATTTGGAGGAAAAGCTTTGCCTGTAAATATGAATTTGAGAATTGGCAGGATAGAGATGGTATTTAAAGCGATGACAATGGGGCTTCCCTGGTGGCGCAGTGGTGGAGAATTCGCCAGCCAGTGCAGGGGACACGGGTTCGAGCCCTGGTCCGGGAAGATCCCACATGCTGCGGAGCAACTAAGCCCGTGCGCCACAACTACTGAGCCTGCGCTCTAGAGTCCGTGAGCCACAACTACTGAGCTCACACGCCTAGAGTCCGTGCTCCGCAACCGGAGAAGCCACCGCAATGAGAAGCCCGTGCACCGCAACAAAGAGTAGCCCCCGCTCACCGCAACTAGAGAAAGCCCGCGCACAGCAACGAAGACCCAACACAGCCAAAAATAAATAAGTTTATAAAAATAAGTAAAGCCATGAAAATGGTTGAAATAGCCTAGGGAGCTAGTAGACAAATAAAATTTTCAGAACTGAATTCTGAGGACTTTCAACATTTAGAGATTGGGCAGAAAAATGAAGAGACAGTAAAGGAGATTGAGGAGGGCCTGCGATGTTGGAGGAAAACCAGTTGATTGTGGCATCACAGGTACAAAATCTGTAACTACTACAGGCAAGGATTTTCCATTCTTGTTTTTCCAGGAAGTTGATAACTTCTTCATAATTTTATATGAATAAACATGAATGTGAAAGATAACTTTTGATAAAGATTATTTTAAGTTGGGTGAAACCCTTAGGAAGTGATTTTACACATTTCTGTATTTTTAAAAATATATATTTATTTATTTAATTTGCCTGCTCCGGGTCTTAGTTGCCACATGCGGGATCTTCCTTGCTTCGTGTTTAGTTGCGGCATGTTTAGTTGTGGCAGTGAATAGGAGTTGAAATTGGATATAGCCTTGAAAAAAATTCTTTAAAGAAGTTTTCCTCAGGAGGGTGGCCAAGAGAGAAAAGGTTCCATCAAGGTAACATCATTTCAAGATGAGAGATACTGGGACGCATTACAAGCCAGGGAGCGATCCAATAATGAGGGCCAGATTGAGGATAGTAGAGAATGAGGGAATAACAGAAGAAGTAATGCGCTTGAGAATGTAAGAGGCCTTGGGATCCCAAGTAGAAGTAGAGGGATTGCCCATTGATAGGAGGAACGCTCTGTCCACTGCTGAAAAAAGTGGAGAGAGGTTATAAAATGGGGAGGAGATATTAGTGGTTTTGTAGATTTAGTCATGGCATGATGAGGAAGTTCTTTTCTGACAGCGTCCATTTTCTCAGTTGAGCCAGAAAAAAAGGAGGAGAGGTTGTTTTCCAAAGAGTGAAAAATTCCGTAAGCTAACAAGGGACGCCTTGGTTTGGGCAACTGCAGTTTTGTTTATACTAAGTGCGTGTGTCGGACTTGGGTCGGCGTGTCGAACTTGGGTCGGCGTGTCGAGAGAGAGGGAGGGAGGGGAAGGGGGAGGGGGAGAGACAGAGAGAGACAGAGGAGCCGGAGCATTTAGTCTGGGCTAGATTACGAAGACTCCCTGTTTTCCAAACTCTAAGGCAAAGGAGCAAAAGCGCCTCACGCGCAGTGCGCCGGAGGGACTGCCCGCGCAGGTCACTTGGGACCTCGGCTGGTCGGCGCATGCGCGCGGCGCCACGCGGCCTCGCGCTCCTTTTCCCCCGGTGTGTTGCTCCGGGTTCCCCTGAATTCACCTGGCGGCAGTTTGAGGTCTCTGCGCTCGGGATGGAGCAGGTGGACGAACTGGAGCTGTTAATGGAGAAGAGTTTCGGAGATAACGCTGCGCAGCCGGCGGAGCTGTGAGCGGAGCGGGGGGAGGGTCTGGGAACAAAGCGGGAGATTTGAAAAGAAGGGAGCGGGAGAGGCCGCACCCGCGCCTCCGCGGACCAGGGCTGGGGCAGAGTAACCAGGCTCAAGGGACGCCCGACGAGCCTCCGGAACTGGGGTCTGTTTCCTAGGGTTCTCTTTGGGGCCAAGCCCGGGACAGGGCTTGAATACTCTCCCTCACCCAGCAGTTCATTCTTAATCTTTTTTTTTTTATAGATGACTTTTTTTATTCTTTCAGCTTTCAAATATTTTCAAAATTTGTATCATGAACATATATTGTTTTGATAATGGAAATACCCCAAAGAAAATAGAAGTGATTAATTAACTGTTATGGAGAAAATTGGGTATGGGGAAATTTTTTCTAAACATAAAACAATAAGAAATCATAAAATAAAAAAGAAATATTCAAATATCCAATTAAAACACAGGAAAATATTTAGCATCCTTAAAAATAATTTCAAAAATTGATTTTTTTGGATATTCTTAATCTTGATATCACCACTTTCCTGAATTTGGGGAGTCCTAGCCACCTTAAATATCTTCATAAAACGAAATTGCAACTGCTAGACGCTTTTCTTCATGTTTAATTGGAGAAAGTTATCCCGGGGAGAAATCTGCACCCTCAGAGCGGCTTAAATGGTCGGGGAAATTGACCCACAAGCATAGTGTAGAATTGTCAGTAGTAATGATATTGAGGCTAATTATTGTTGACGGAGCTTTGCGCTTTGAGTTGTGATCAGCACTACCTTTTGCGAGATCCTTAAAGCATCCCAGCTGACCTTGGGAAGTTCATGGCCTGAGGCTACGTGGGTAGGTGAATGAGGAATATAACCTAGGTGGGTTACAAAGGTTGGGTGACAAAGTTTTAGGGTAAAGTTTTAGGGTAATAACTGGAGAGATAATGACTTTGGACTGTCACTGATAAAGACTGCAGTCAAACTGGAAAGATTTAAGAGGGACTTGATGTTTTCTAGAGGAGAGATTAGAGTATTTTGCAGTTTTCAGGCGGCTAGGATCAGTGGATAAAAGAATTGTGAAATCGACTTGCCCATTATAAATAAGAAATTTCTGAGTTACTCTATGAAGCAATGGTTAAGGTGACAGGTATTAATCTTGCTTTCTCTACAAAGCATAGGCTAGTTGATCCCCAATGAGGTTTTATAGAATGATTTCCTGCATTAAATAGTAGGTTGGACTAGGTGATTTCTAAGTACTCTCCTAATTGAAAGATTAATATAATAATGAAGCTCACAGTAGGACTTCCAGCAAACCACCCACACTATATTTTTCCATAACAAACATCTTTTATTTACAAAAAGATAGTGTCCTAGACATTTCCTTTCACTTGTACTTTGGGAAGGTTTGCACCAGTGGTAGGAATTTGTGTCTAATATTTTTCAATTTACCATTCGTCCTCATAATCATAGATGTCCCAAAGAGCTCCTCATAGAGCTTATATTTGGAAAAATCCATATCATAAGTATGTTTTAAATGGCACTGCTTCTGGGAAGTTTTTATAATAGGAATTCTGCTATGCCCTTGCTCTCTCTCTCTTTACCTCTTTTAGCCAATGGTCTTGTGATAAGCTTACCGGAAGAAACAAACCTAGAAAACTAGAAGGTTGGTTTGTAGATAAAAGAGATTGGATGGCTTCTTATTTCATGCTTGTGCTACAGTAGTTTTGTATGTGTATGCTTTAGATTTCAGAAGAAGAAGGTGGAAGCTTCCTTTTCTAAAGCAGTTCTGAGCCGAGGAATGGATAACCGGTACCTGGTATTAGCAGTCAATATTGTACAGAATGAAGAAGGAAACCATGAAAAGCACCTAATCATCACTGCTTCACAGTCGCTAGAATGTAAAGAACTGTGTATCCTTAGGAATGACTGGTAATTTTTGTGTGACTTTGGGCGTTCATCTGGCAGAGTCTTAAGGGTGCCGTCTTACAAACTATCACATGGGCTTGTGTGGCTGTTGCAATAATTTAATTGTTAATAAAGAGAGTAGATATGAACCTGAATTAATTTTGCATAAGGATTGTGCCTATTACACCAGCATCTCAAGTCCCTTATTCCAAAACTTGATTTTTATTGTCATTTGAAAATCAAGTACAAGGGGATTTATTAAATCACTACTTCCTATTTCCCAGTGCTTTCTGGGACTGCAGCTTAAACCTCATTTAGTTCTCACTAAGAGGAAAACTAATCACAGCATAAGAACATCCTTAGGGCTTGCCTGGTGGCACAGTGGTTGAGCGTCTGCCTGCCGATGCAGGGGACACAGGTTCGTGCCCCGGTCCGGGATAATCCCACATGCCGCGGAGCGGCTGGGCCCGTGAGCCATGGCCACTGAGCCTGCGTGTCCGGAGCCTGTGCTCTGCAACGGGAGAGGCCACAACAGTGAGAGGCCTGTGTACCGCAAAGAACATCCTTAGACTCTAGCTGTTGCTTCTCAAGCAGTGTGTGGTATGTGAGGGGTGAAGGGGAGATGCAGAGAAGGTGGAGGTCTAACTTTGTCTAGGCTGCAAGTTGGATGGTTTGAACTAGATAAATATGATTTTGTTCTTGGTACATTGTGTTCGGCTTCATGCCTCAAGGCTTATAGAAGCTGTAGGTATAAGTCTTAAGAATGAGAGAACTATTATGAGAACAACCTCATCCATAATTGAAGCTATACACTGTTAATAATTTGATAGCTTTTGCAGTAGATAATGCAAGACCCAGAAATTTAGAAATACTTATTTCTTTACATAAGATATCCAGTTATTTGTTTGTTTTTTAAAAATATTTATTTATTTGGCTGCGCCCGGTCTTTATTAGTTGCGGCACACGGGATGTTCATTGCTGTGTGCGGGCTCTTAGTTGCGGTATGCGGGATCTAGTTCCCTGACCAGGAATCGAACCCGGGCCCCCTGCATTGGGAGCACGGAGTCTTAACCACTGGTCCACCAGGGAAGTCCCTCCAGTTATTTTTGAAGCCTCCTTAATATGTTTAAATGTAGGAATCTAAACTATGTATACTTTAATTTTGCTTTATTTTTAGGTGCTCTGTACCAGTAGAGCCAGGGGACATTATTCATTTAGAGGGAGACTGCATATCCGATACTTGGATAATAGATGAAGATTTTGGATATTTGATTCTGTATCCAGACATGCTGATTTCTGGCACAAGCATAGCCAGTAGTATTCGATGCATGAGAAGGGCTGTCCTGAGTGAAACATTTAAGGTGAACAATATTAACAGTCAGTGTTTCCACAGGGTCTTAAGAGTTCACAGAGCACTTTTACACTCTTACTCAATCCTCCCAACAATCCTGTGAAGTAGATGGTATTAATCAGCTGTGTTTTACTGATTGGGAAAATCAGGAAGTTAAGTGACTTGCCCAAAGTTACTGTAGCCAGTGAGTGGCAGTGTTGGGATTCAAGGCCAGGTGCCCTAAGATCCTTTGAATCTTATTCAACATTTTGTCAAATAATTAATTCTAATAATAATATAAATTTCAGTGATAAAAATTTTAATTTAATATATCTGGGCATTTCCAAACTTGGCTTCATGTGATTGCCAGTGAACTAAAAGTAAATGTGAGAGTCTCTTTTCAAAACATTATTATGGAAAGTTTCAAACATACGCAAAGAGATGATTATAATAAACTCCCATGTACCCATTTTGCTGTTCCCAGACATTGTATTATTTTGCAACTAAATGAAAGCTGAGGATTTAAAAATATATATAAACACAGTATCTTTATCATACACAATAAAATGAACAGTAATTCCTTAAATTAATCTAATAGTTTTATCTCTAATGTCTTTTATCAAATTTTTTTTATTCAGTTCGTTTGTTAGCATCAATATCCAAACGATATTATGTTTGGTTGATATGTCTCATAGTTTCTTTTAATCTAAATTCTGCCTTACACCCACTCCCTTTGTTTCAATGCCATTTCTTTTTTATTTTTTGGTTGCACTGCACGGCTTATGGGATCTTAGTTCTCTGACAAGGGATTGAACCCAGGCCCTCAGCAGTGAGAGCACGGAGTCCTAACCACTGGACCGCCAGGGAATTCCCAATGCCATTTATTTTTGAAGAACGTGAGTTTTATTTGTTAAGTTTCCTCTTCCTCCCAGGGTATTCTTTTAATTATACAATTAGTCTCTATGTCTGTAGAAAACCAAAAAATACAGCTAAGGGCTTCCCTGGTGGCGCAGTGATTAGGAATCTGCCTGCCAATGGAGGGGACAGGGGTCTAGAGCCCGTGCTCCACAACAAGAGAAGCCACCGCAATGAGAAGCCTGCTCACCACAATGAAGAGTAGCCCCCTCTCACTGCAACTAGAGAAATCCCGTGCATAGCAATGAAGACCCAATGCAGCCAAAAAAAAAAAATGTAGCTAAGCAAGAAGAATAAAAGAAGGAAAAATACCCAAGTAGATTTTCTAATCGTCTTAGTTATCACTTATTTATAGTTTTTTTTTAAAAATCAGCTTTTTTCTTCAATTGTGGGGATGCTATTAACTTCTCTTTTAACCACATATTATAAAGCAGACCTGAATATTAATATTTTAAAAACCTTATTTTGAAATAATTTTAGACTCACATAGAACTTACAAAAATAGTACAGAGAGTTCCCTGTAAATTAATTTTTAAAATTCCTGATGGGTGTCTTGTGGACTTTTTCTTTTTTTTTTTGATAGTTTCAAGGGGATGGTCCAGGCTAATAAAAGAGTTAATTGAAAACTACTGTTTCTTTTTGAGTGGCGAGAGTTTGTCAAAAATCTCTGCTGGGGACTTCCCTGGTGGCACAGTGGTTAAGAATCCACCTGCCAATGCAAGGGACACGGGTTCGAGCCCTGGTCCGAGTGGATCCCACATGCTGCGGAGCAACTAAGCCCGTGCGTCACAACTACTGAGCCTGCGCTCTAGAGCCCGCGAGCCACAGCTTCTGAAGCCTGTGCACCTGGAGCCTGTGCTCTGCAACAAGAGAAGCCTCTGCAATGAGGAGTGCATGTACCACAACGAAGAGTAGCCCCCGCTCGCCTCAACTAGAGAAAGCCCACGCGCAGCAACGAAGGCCCGACACAGCCAAAAATAAATTAATTAATTAAAAAAAATAAATTTGAAAAAAAAAATCTCTGCTGTAGAGAATTCCCTGGCGGTCCAGTGGTTAGGACTCAGTGCTTTAACTGCTGGGGCCTGGGTTCAGTCCCTGGTTGGGGAACTAAGATCCCACAGGTGTGTGGGGCAGCCAAAAAAAAAAAAATCTCTGCTGTAAGTTTGTTTCATGTTTATTTTACTCACATGACTTTATGATCTATGCATTTATTGACTTTTCTATGTGGGTTCATTATAAAGTGAAATTAGAGATGAATATGTTAAATATTTGAGACCACATTGAACTTTCTCATATAAGTAATTTTAATTTTTTTCAAAATGGAAATATACTGATTTGAAAATAATAACTTGTAAAATAATTCAGGTAATTCTAAACTGAAGAAAGTGAAAGTCACCTATAATTTCACTCACCAGAAAAAAAAAGTGTTTCATATTTTGGCATTTGTCTCACCAGTGTACTTTGGTTATGGTGGTTCGATAGGTTAGGTAATAAATGTACGATCACATCTGTTGATACGTTGTGAAATAAGATATTTGTGTGATTTTTGGTTTTTTTTGGTAGAGCTCTGATCCAGCCACACGCCAAATGCTGATTGGTACCGTTCTCCATGAAGTATTTCAAAAAGCAATAAGTGATAGTTTTGCCCCAGGAAAGCTACAAGAACTTGCTTTTCAAACTGTTCAAGAAATAAGGCATCTGAAGGAAATGTAAGTAGTTACGAGAGGAACTATAGATACAGTTTTGTTATATAACTTCTTTCCTAGCATCTATAAGGTACTTGGCTATTAGACTATTAAATATAAATCGGTATAATACTAGAATGCAGATTTCAGGGCTGTAGTATCCCACTGCAACTCTGTGAAGAGCTTCTGAAATTTCAGAACAGGAATTCTTTGGCTAAAAATACCTAAATATTCTCTATATGCATAATAGACTCCACAGCTGCACTCAGAGTGTGAACTTTTTGTTTTACTTCTAGAAACAGTGTGACATCCTGAAAATTGTATGGGGCTGGGAGTCAGATGAACCTCCTTTCAAATTCTAGCTTTGCCAATTTTATGATAGAACTAGTTACTGAAAGATTCTGGAAAGGGTGATAATACCTGTTTTGCATACTTTTTGTGACAATGGAGATAATGTATGTAAACCCACAAATGGCTAGTCATTGGCATTTTATGAGTGGCTACCTGCAGAGGGATTGGCATATTCTCTATTTCTTTCTTGACTCCTACTGCAGTCCATCTTTTTTTCACAGAAATTTTTTTATTAGTGGTGATATTGCTTTCCAGACTAGTTGATACAATCCTACTTTTCCCAGATATAATTCTACATTTCACTGTGTAAATGAGAAAAATGTGTTCCATAATTCTACACTTATTTACTAATGACGTACAATCTATTGTCTTAAAAACATTTTAGAACCCTGCCCTATGTCAGGCACTGTGTTAAGTGCTTTTTAGCTATCTTATATAATCTGATAGCAACCTGTTATAAAGGAAGAAATGGAAGCACAGAGAAGTTGTCACTTGGTTACAACCACACACAGCATGGCATTCAGAATATGAATAGATATAATAAAGTTTTTGCTTAAGAGTTCTACTTATTGCTTTAGTTGCCACTTTGGTTTTCAAATTACAAAATTTTTTTGTCACACCCTAACCAGGATCTGTTGTGTATTGTATGGATCATTGTCCTGAAACAAAACACATCAAAACTTAGTGCCTTAAAATGACAAACATCTAACCTGTTATCTCATAGTTTTTGTCAGTCAGGAATTTGGAAGTAGTTCAGCTGGGTGGCTCAGGCTCAGGGTCTCCCATGTGAGCTGCATCTGAAGGCATGACCGGGCAGGAGCATCTGCTTCCGTGATGACTCACTCACACGTCTGTTGTTGCAAGGACTCATTTCCTAGCTGGCTGTTGGCAGGAGGCCTCAGTTCCTTGCCACATGGGCTTCTCTAGGGGGCTGGCTGATGTGTCCTGGGACACAATCTGCTTCCTTCAGATTGAAGGGTCCAAGAAAGAGAGCAGGAAGCCACAGTGCCTTTTATAACCTAGTCTCTGATTGCTATGATGTCACTTCTGCTTTTTTTATTCATTAAGTACTCATTACTAAGTCTAGCTCTCCCTTAACAGTAGGGGAATTAGGTGCCATCTTTTGAAGGGGGTGTCAAAGGATTTGTGGACATATTTTAAACCACCACAGGTATTCAGGTATCAGGTAACCTGATCAGTCCAGAACCCAACGTGAATATAAGTATGAAAGAAAACAAGGATTTTGAGCAGCCTTGCTCAGAATTCATGTCCTTGTATTAAACCTTGTGCATGTTACGTAATGGAATGTCTCTTATGCCCTCAGCATCTGTTATTTTTCATTAATATCTAACAGTCTTATCTGGTTTCCAAGATGCGGGAGAAAGGTACCTTCATAGTCATTAGGAGAGCTGATAGCTTCATTACTGTGTAGGAAAGGAGAAACTTTTTTTTTTTTTTTGTGGACCTCTCACCGCTGCGGCCTCTTCCGTCGCGGAGCACAGGGCCACGGCCCACGGGCCCAGCTGCTCCGCGGCACGCGGGATCCTCCCGGACCCGGGCACGAACCCGCACCCCCTGCATTGGCAGGCAGACTCCCAACCACTGCTCCACCAGGGAAGCCCAGGAAAGGAGAAACTTTTAAAAAATATAAGAACTATGAAGATCAGAATTTTGGTTTTTTTGGGTTTTTTTTGGCCGCACAGCGCGGCTTCAGGAAACTTAGTTCCCTGACCAGGGATCGAACCCATGCCCCCTGCAGTGGAAGCACAGAGTCTTAACCACTGGACCACCAGGGAAGTCCCTTTAATTAATTTTTATTGGAGTATAGTTGCTTTACAGTGTTGTGTCAGGAATGTATTCTTAGCAGATCCTTGGGTATCACTGAATTATATATATATGTTTTTGGAAGTCTAGTTGATTTACAACGTTGTGTTAGTTTCTGGTGTATAGCAAAGTGATTCAGTTATTTATACATATACATACATATATATTCTTTTTTTTTTTTTTTTTTTGTATGTTGGCCTCTCACTGTTGTGGCCTCTCCCGTTGCGGAGCACCGGCTCCGGACGCGCAGGCTCAGCGGCCATGGCTCACGGGCCCAGCCGCTCTGCGGCATGTGGGATCTTCCTGGACCGGGGCACGAACCCGTGTCCCCTGCATTGGCAGGCGGACTCTCAACCACTGCGCCACCAGGGAAGCCCCCATATATATTCTTTTTAAAAAAAAATTAATTAACTAATTAATTTTTATTTTTGGCTGCGTTGGGTCTTCCTTGCTGCACGTGGGCTTTCTCTAGTTGCAGCGAGTGGGGGCTCTAGGCACACAGGCTTCAGTAGTTGTGGCACGTGGGCTCAGTAGTTGTGGCTCATGGGCTCTAGAGTACAGGCTCAGTAGTTGTGGCACACGGGCTTAGTTGCTCTGTGGCATGTGGGATCTTCCCAGACCAGGGCTGGAACCTGTGTCCCCTGCATTGGCAGGTGGATTCTTAACCACTGAGCCACCAGGGAAGTCCCTATAAATTCTTTATCATATTCTTTTCCATTATGGTTTATTACAGGATATTGAATAGAGTTCCCTGTGCTGTACAGTAGGACCTTGTTTATCTATTTTATATATAGTAGTTTGTATCTGCTAAATCCAAACTTCTAATTTATCCCCACCCCCCCGCCCCCCCTTCCCCTTTGGTAGTCATAAGTTTGTTTTCTATGTTTGTGAGTCTCTGTTTTCTAAATAAGTTCATTTCTATCATATTTAGATTCCACATATAAGTGATATCATATGATAGCTGTCTTTCTCTGACTTCAGAGAAGTATGGTAATCTTTCTCCACCCATTTTGCTGCATTATTTTTTTTTTATCATTATATCCTAAGTCATTAAGGGGAAATATGTTTCATTTCAGTTATGAAAATACTAATTCTCTCATGAATCTTGCCCAACCCTGTTCAAAAGGATACTTTTTAAAAGTCCCAGAGCCTAAAAATAACAGATCCAAAGTTCTTTCCTGCCCTCTCTCATAGGCCATTCTACTTTATTACAGATCTTAGAACAGATTTTTACCTGTTCATGCTCTGTCCTCTCATTATATCTATAAAAGTCTAGGCTTGAAGATGCCAAACCTTAAGTATCTCTATAGTCTCAGTAAAGAACAGGTGGTTACATGTCATTTTGCGGTGATTTGGCTCGAAATTAAAAAGGCAGAATTCAAATGCAGAAGACTTTAAATAACCAGTGTGGACTGGTTTGGTAACTTAGAAGAGTCCTGGTCTGTAAAAAGTAAAACACTAGGAAGAATCTGCCTAAGGAGATGGTGACAGTGAAGAATGGTTTCAGGATGGTTTGCGAAGGTTGTTTACGAAAAAGATTACCCAGTTGTGCAGGTTTTTTTTTTTTAATAGTAAATTATTATTTCTAAATAGGTTATAAATTCACATACAGCATGTGTTGTTGTAATAGTACAAGAGGGTATACAATGATAGTAAGTCCTTTCTACCCCTGCATCCCTGGTCAGTCACTACCTAGCTCCAGAGGCAACTTCTGTTATCAGTTTCTTGTATGTCCTTCCACAGAGATTTCAAATATTCACATGTGATTGTGTGTGTGATTATTTATGTTTATATATTATTTGTTATATAAATGGTAGCATACCATACACATTATTGTATATAAATATTAAATCTTGGGAGTTCCCTGGCGCTCCAGTGGTTAGGATTCAGTGCTTTCACTGCTATGGACTCGGGTTCAATCCCTGGTCAATGAATTAAGATTCTACAAGTCGGGCAGCGTGGCCAAAAAAAAAACTTGGTGATTATTCCATATTAGTACTGATTGAGCTATCTCATTTTTAATTAAGAGTGGCAAAATGTTTCATTGTATGGATGTACAGTAATTTATTTAAGAGCCCCTGGCATTTCAGTCTTTGCTTTTATTAGCAACACTATAATAAATACCTTTGTACATTTTAATTTTAATAGCTGTCCAGGCATATATCTGGGCTCAATACTTAGAAGTGGAATTGTTGGACCAGAGGATATTTACATTTAAACATTTAAAAAATCTTTTTAAAAAAATTTTTTATTGAAGCATGGTTGATTTACAGTGTTGTATTATTTTCTGCTGTACAGCAGAGTGACTCAGTTATACATATATATATATATATTTATATCCTTTTCCATTATGGTTTATCACAGGATATCGAATATATGGTTTATCACAGTTGGACCTTGTTGTTTATCCTTTTTTTTTTTTTGCGGTACGCGGGCCTCTCACTGTTGTGGCCTCTCCCGTTGTGGAGCACAGGCTCCGGATGCGCAGGCTCAGCGGCCATGGCTCACGGGCCCAGCCGCTCGGCGGCATGTGGGATCCTCCCGGACTGGGGCACGAACCCGTGTCCCCTGCATCGGCAGGCGGACTCTCAACCACTGCGCCACCAGGGAAGCCCTGTTTATCCATTTTATAAGAGCTTACGTCAACCTCCCACTCCATCCTTCCCCCAACCCGCTCCCCTTGGCAACCACAAGTGTATTCTCTATGTCTGTGAGTTTGTGTCTGTTTCGTAGATAGGTTCATTTATGTCATGATTTAGATTCCACATATAAGCGATATCATATGGCATTTTTCTTTCTCGTTCTCATTTACCTCTCTTAGAATGATAATCTCTAGTTGCATCCATGTTGCCGCAAATGGCATTATTTCATTCTTTTTTATGGCTGAGTAGTATTCCATTGTATATATGTACCACATCTTTATCCATTCATCTGTCGATGGACATTTAGGTTGTTTTCATGTCTTGGCTATTGTGAGTAGTGCTGCTATGAACATAGGGGTGTATCTTTTTGTTAACAAATCTTTTTATTTGAAAATAATTTTAAATTTAGAGAAAAGTTGCAAGAGTAGTACAAAGAACATCCATACACTGTTTACTCAGATTTACCTGCTGTGTGTGTTTTTCTAAACCACTTGAGATTAAGCTGTATATGTGTTATTTTGACCTTTAAATACTTAAATGTGTATTTCCTAAGAATAAGGATTTTCTCTTATGTAACCACAGAACAGTTATCAACTTCAGGAAATTTAACATTGTTATAATACTTGTGTCTGATCTACTGTGCACATTTCAGTTTTGTCCAGTAATGTTCTTCATAGCATTTTTTTCCCTCCAGGACAGGATCCGGTCTGGGTACATTTAAAGTTTTGATATATATTGTCAAATTGCTCTATGTAGACATTGTCCTGTTTCTTTCTTCCATTCATTGTTTTCCAGTTTTGTTGAGATATCATTGACATATAACATTGTATTAGTTTAAGGTATACAACTTAATGATTTAATATGTGTGTATATTGCAGAATTCATTTTGCATTTCTGTAGGCAGTATATGGGTCCTTGTTTCCCCCACGTCCTCACCTATATCATCTTTCATCCACTCTAAGTTTCCCAGATTTCAAACAGCCTTTTTCAGACAAACACCCTTTGCCTTATGTGGACTGATTGTGTTTCTGTAGGTCATTCGGGGCACTTTGGTGTCAGTAATTGCTCCCTGGTTTGAGATTCCTCAGCTTTGCCTTCAACCTGAAGTTGCTTTTGTGGTCAGGACAAGCAATCTTGGTAGAGCTAGGATTGCTAATTTTGTCTTCCCTGCTGAACTGGCTCTCCTAGAGGACTGATAGGGCTCTGCTTTCTTAGTTCTGGTAAGCCAGAGGTAGCAGAAACCTAGGAAAGTAGGAGCTTATTAAATTTGGTATTAGAAATGTTACAGAGTTATTATATGGTAAATTTGTAGCGTTTTGGAGTCTCAGATTTTGATGAATATGTTATTGAATATTGTGCTATCTTCAGAAGGAGAGAAAAATGGTAAGTTGTGTTTTTTGAAAGGAGTTTGCAGACTGTTGGAGACTATACCAGTACTCAGGTGAACTCAGGCCTGCAGGGAGAAAATTATGGCAGTAAATTATTAAAACACAGTGTAGAAGGGAGCATAGGGGTTAAGAACTTAGGTTCCCAAGCTAGAGCTGTGTGTCCTTTGGAAGTAACTTCTGAGCTTCAGTTTCCTTAGCTCTAAAGTGGGGTGACAATAATAGTATCTCATAGAGATATAATGAGGGTTGAAAGTGTTCGTGTTAAGCACCTAGAATAGTACCTGGCCTAGAGTCAGCATTATATGAGTATTCACTGTTATTATCTTCATACCTTATTGAGTTCTTATCATAAGCCAAGTATTAATACTTTACGTAGGCTGTTTTACTTGATCGTCAAACTAACTGTGTGGTAGTTATCAACTCACCTTACAGATGAGGAAACTGAGGCTCAGTTAACAGTGAATCGCCCAAAGTTACACATCTAATAAAGAGTTAGGATTCAAACCTAGGTGTGATCTGACAGAAACACGTGTGCTCTTAACACCCCAGAGTAGTTATTAAGATTGTGATGCTTAAACATGCAGAAGGAGCTGGGAGAACTATCCTGGGAAGGGGACAGCAGGTTTCAAAACAAAACTTTTGGGTCTCAGGACCATGTTACACTAAAAAAATTATTGAGGACCCTGAGGAGCTTTTGTTTATGTGGGTTATATCTATAGATAGTTACTGTACTAGAGATGAAAACTGAGACAATTTTAAAATGTTTATTGGTTAATATGAAAATAACAATAACAATCCATTCCATGTTAATATAAATAACAGTCTAATGAAAAATAACTGTTTCTGAAAAAAAATGTAATGAGACAAGTGGCATTGTTTTACATTTTTGCAGATGTTTTAATTTTATGACTTAATACATATTGACACCTGTATATATAAAATAGATAACTAATAAGGACCTACTATACAGCACAGTGAACTCTCCTCAATACTCTGTAATGGCCTATATGGGAAAAGAATCTAGAAAGAGTGGGTATATGTATATGTATAACTGATTCACTTTGCTGTATACCTGAAACTAACACAACATTGTAAATCAACTATACTCCAAATAAAAAAAAAAAAGACATCTGGTTTCTTATATCTGCTTCTTCATTCTCTATATTGCTATATTGTATGTGTGTATGTGGACTCAGAAATCTCCACTGTGTACTCATGAGAAAACAAGAGCAAAAAAGACAAATAATGTTGTAGTATTATCATGACATAGTTTTGACCTTGTGGGCACCCTGAAAAACTGAGACTAGATTCTGGTAGTCTTTGCTGACTTCTGACTTACGAAGTTAACATTCCTATAAATTGTCCTTTGATTCGGTAAGGCTGATGTGACTTTTCTGTTCCTACAGTCTTTTTTCCTCTTTTACTTTTCTACTTTCCATTGCTGGGTTTCAGGAGCAACATCTTCTACGGTTTCTTTTTTATCCCAAAAGTGTAACTGGGACCTATTAGACCTGAGATGATAGGAGTTGGAGCAGATCTGAAATTTGATGTCATGTCACTGTTATTTGGATTTTTCTTGTGTGGTAAAATACACATAGCATTAAAAATCACAATCTTAACCACTTTTAAGGGTACAGTTAAGTGACATTAAGTACATTGACATTGTTGTGCAAACATTACCATCATCCACCTCCAGAACTTTTTTTATCTTCCCAGACTGAAACTTTATATCCATTAAACAACTCCCCGCTTCCCTCAGTCCCTGGTAGTCACCATTCTTTCTGTCTCTATGAATTTGACTATTCTAGGTACCTCACGTAAGCGGTCATGCAGTATTTGTCCTTTTGTTGTTGGCTTATTTAGTCTAATGTCCTCAAGGTTCATCTATGTTGTAGCATGTATCAGAATTTCCTTCCTTTCCAAGGCTGAATAATATTCCATTGTATATACCAAATTTTATTTATCCATTCATTAGTTGATGGGCACTTGGGTTGCTTATTTGAATGTTTTGTTCCTTGTTTACTTTTTTCATATTTAATATCTCTTACTTTGGTAGGTACCGCCTAAATCTGAATCAAGATGAAATAAAACAAGAAGTAGAGGAGTATCTTCCTTCATTTTCTAAATGGGCTGGAGATTTCATGCATAAACATACTTCAACTGACTTCCCTCAGATGCAGCTGTCTCTGTAAGAAACCCATTTTGTTTATATGGTGTTCATATCTTTAGACCAGGATCTTATTCAAGATGTTGAATTAAAGCTTTTTAGAGGTCAAGTTATGACAACTAGCCTTTTTGTTTGCTTACTTTATAAGTTACAGTCCTGAGTGTAATTCTTGGACAAAAAAAATAATCTAGTGAATAGAAAATTCTGTTTTCACTACAATAAAATTTATAATTTTGGGGTGTAGGTATAGTTTTTTAATAAAATCTTCAGTTTATAAATATTTGGGAGGGCTGTCCTAATTTCATATATATTTCTCTATGTTACTATCATATATGGACTGTCTCATGTGTTCATTACCATGGATTTATGCTGTATGTTTATTTATTTTTAATATATTTATTTATTTATTTTTGGCTGTGTTGGGTCTTCGTTGCTGTGCATGGGCTTTCTCTAGTTGCAGTGAGCGGGGACTTCTCATTGTCGTGGCTTCTCTTGTTGCAGAGCATGGGCTCTAGGCACGCAGGCTTCAGTAGTTGTGGCATGTGGGCTCAGTAGTTGTGGTGCACAGGCTTAGTTGCTCCGCGGCATATGGGATCTTCCAGGGCCAGGGCTCGAACTCGTGCCCCCTGCATTGGCAGGTAGATTCTTAACCACTGTGCCACCAGGGAAGCCCTGTGCTGTATGTTTAAATAGTGTGTTTAGGCATTCAATGCTGTTTGGCATTTGGTTTGTTTTTTACCTTTTTTCCCCTTAAAGTAGCATTGATACAAATTTGTAGGTCATCCTTTTTCTCCCCCATTATTTGCCCATTCAGCAAATATTTATTAAGTGCCTAATATGTGCCAAGTAATGTTCTAGGTGCAGTAGCAAAAAAAAAAAAAAAGCAACTGACTTTATGGTGCTTCTGTACTACTGAACAAGTAAACAGCAGGGTGCCAGATTGTGATAAGTGCAGTGTAGAACAATGGGGAGGATAAGAAAGAGGAGTTGGAGGGACATATTATTTCCCAAGAGTGGTCATGAAAGGCCTCTGTATATAAGGTGACATTGAGCAGGAGCCTGGAGGAAGTGAAGGAGGGAGCCATGCAGCTGTTTCCAGGAAGAGCACTCCAGGTAAAAGCCCTGTGGCTAACGCACTCCTGCCTGTGTGGCTGGAGCAGAGTGAGGTGGAACAGGAGAAGCAGCTGTCCTGGGGCCTCATAAGCCTTACAGGATATTGGCTGCCATTCTGAGTCCATGACCACATGTAATCTGGCTACCATGGGAAGCCACTGCAGGGTTTGTACAGAGGGTTTTGATCTGATTTCTTTCTTTTTTAAACAGGCAACATTTTATTTTTCTTTAAGTAGTCATAGCTTCCTTTTATATCAATATTCTTATCTTTTTCTCAATATTCTCAATATTTTATCTTGTGACATTTTGTGATCTGAACTTGTTTTAAGATTTGTGAATCAGAAATCTTGGGAACAGTCAGGTCTTTGCGCCAGTGTGTTTTCTCAAGTTCAAAGGACATACTGAGCCTGGATGTGAATCCCAGTTTTGCCACAGTTTATCTGTGCAACTTTAGTCAAGTTCCTTATTCTCTCTGTGCTACTTTCTATATTGATCTGATTTAATTTTTTTTTTTGATCTGATTTACTTTTGAATCGACTTTTAAGACTATGTTATACGATAAGGGCAGAGGTAGAGACACCAATTTGGAGGTTCTTGCAGGAATCCAGGCAAGAGTTGGTGGTGGCTTAGACCAGAGTGAGGGTTGTGGAAGTGATGAGAATCGGTTGGATTACAGTCAGATTTTCAACGTAGAGCTGATAGGTTTTGGTGCAGGGTGTGAGGGAAAAAAAAGTCAGTGGTGATTCCAGGGGAGAAAATGTGATGAGAATGGAGTCAAGAGAGAATGGTAGAGGAGGATTTGGAGTCAGGGGATGTAGACTACTGTATTGACAGGTTGTTCTATGAAAGGGTATGTAGAAATGGAATGGCTTATGTGGGGTTAAGAGAGCTTTGTTGTTGTTTTGAAGATGGGAGGTATAACATGTTTATATGTCAGTGAGAAGAATTCCATAGAGACGGTAACATTAACACTTAAAAGAGATGGGAGGAGTCTTAGAGCTGTGTCATTGAGTAAAAGAGAGGGATTAGAGTACACAAGTGGAGGGGTGGACCTTATGGGGACAGTTATTTCTGTGCATTAAAACCTCATAACTGGACTACTTCATCCAAGGTACTTGGAAAATTTACAACCTTTTGCATATTGCTAGAATTCTTTGAGAATTTTTTAAGTCATTTTAGAAAGTTGCTAGCAATGTTTAAATGTCCTGTGTCTGCCGGTAAGATTTTATTTATCTTATTATTATAATTATTTATAATTGAGTATATTCATAGAGTATATTCATAGAGTTGTACAACCATCACCACAATCAGTTTGCCAATAGGACTCTGATATATCTATTTTTAAAATACTTAGTGGTTGTGCTCGTTGTGGCAGCACATACAGTAAAATTGGAACGATACAGAGAAGATTAGCATGGCCCCTGCACAAAGATGACACACAAATTCGTGAAGCATTCCATATTTTTAAAAAGAATACATATATATCTATACCTGTATCACTTTGCTGTACACCTGAAACTTACACAACACTGTAAATCAACTATACTTCAATAAAAAAAAACTTAGTGGTTAAAAAAACCAAAGCTTATCTTGCTGTTAGAATTGGGTTTATTTATCATATTCTTTACTTCTGTTGTGGTCATAAATTTACCACCAGGTCCTTACCCTAAAAAAAATGCTAGAGTAAATTGGTTAAAGTTTCTCGTAGTGTTTTTAAAATAAATTTATAAATGCTTTGTTCTTTGTTATTTCTTTGGAGCAGATTGCTATGTCTGGTATAGGGGGTGGATCTTGGTGCATTAGTTGTCACTTTGATAATCTGCTAACTGTTTATTAAGTAGTCATTCTTTTCCTGGTTCCTTGCTTTGTTTTATAGTATTTCTGTCATTCTGGTCTCTTGATTTTCTGTAATAATAACAAACTTAATTTTGTTTTCCATTGTTCCTAATTCTTTCTTTCTTTTTTTTTTAACATTTTGCTTAGCAATATTCTTTATATATATATATTTTTTAGTTAATTAATTTATTTGTTTTTGGCTGTGTTGGGTCTTTGTTCTTGAGTGCAGGCTTTCTCTAGTTGCGGTGAGCAGGGGCTACTCTTCATTGCGGCACGTGGGCTTCTCATTGTCATGGCTTCTTTTGTTGTGGAGCACGGGCTCTAGGCATGCAGGCTACTGCAGTTATGGCACGTGGACTCAGTAGTTGTGGCTTGTGGGCTCTAGAGCTCAGGCTCAGTAGTTGTGGCTCATGGGCTTAGTTGCTCTGTGGCATGTGGGATCCTCCCGGGCCAGGGCTCGACCGTGTCCCCTGCATTGGCAGGTGCATTCTAACCACTGCGCCACCAGGGAAGTCCCCCTAATTATTTCTTTATCCTTGTTTACCTTCCCTCCCTACCTTTCTTTCCTCCCTTATTATTTCTTTTGGTCATTTAAATTTGCTTGAGATTTAAAATTGTGGTGGATATCCATTTCTGTGGTTGTTTTATCTTTTTTTTTTTTTTTGTCTTGCCCATGGCTTGCGGGATCTTAGTTCCCCAACCAGGGATTGAACCCGGGGCCATAGCAATGAATGCGCCAAGTCCTTACCACTGGACCGCCAGGGAATTCCTTATGGTTGTTTTAGATACTAGCTTTTCTTTCACTGTTGTTTTAGCATTTTGTTTGCATGTTTTTTTCTTTTGGCTAAAATTTACTTATTGTTTTTGCAGAGTTAATAAGCTGCCATATTCTCACAGACTTATGGACGTATCTATTCAGCAAACATGTATTACATGCTGCATCTGTGCCCAGGATTGTTCTAGGTGTTACAGGGAGACTAAAACCCTCCAGGAACTCGGTGTATTGGTGGTAGTTGAAAACGTAGAAGTGGAGGGGATTGCTGAGAGAGAACAGCAATCTGCTGAGGGCAGCAGAAGAGGCATAGAACCCTGGGAGGTTACCTTGTATAAGGACAGAGGGAGAGAGTGGAATTCGTCGAAGGAGGCTTGGAGTGGACCCGCAAGGGATTTGGTAGCTTGGAAGAAGTTATCATGGAAGCCTAGGAGAGTTTGGGATTCAGAATCATCTTTGACCTGAAGGGGATTTTTGAGATTTCAGTCTTAGATTTCCAGTAAGGAAATTGAGGTCCAGTGAGGTGGTGTGACTTGTCCAGGTTTTATGTGAAAAACCGGTGGTCGAGCAGAGTCTAGAACAAGGAATTTCTTGATTCCCAGCTTGGTGTTCTCACCTCCGTAGCTTGGTGTAAGACTCTTCTTTGTTTCAGTTATTTCTGATGGGGTTTTATGTGTCTGTCTGTGAAGGAGGCGCTTCTCTGTACTTTACTTTGCATCATTTCCCCAGCAGTCTATAGTTAGTCTTTAAAAGAAACAACAAAACTTTAGACTTTAGAGTAGAGAATGAGACCTTTAAAAGCCATTTCAAGACAGAACCTTTCTCACCCATAAGTAGTAAATGTGTATTTTCTTAATCTTCATGACCTCTTATATTCTCTATCAGGTGACTCTCAAAGGAGTTTTATAGCATTATGTTGATGAAAAGCATAGAAGTTAAATTGAAGTACCTGTCATTTGTTCTACAGATCTAAGTCTAAAACCACATTACTTCTTTTTCTAGGGGAAAGAATAGTAATAGTAAAAGTTTCATTACCTATCTTCTAAGTATACATGTGACATATTTAATAAAGTTTGCTTTATTTCATATAAGTATATTTAAATACATGTCATGATCAGATAACATCCATCAGAGAAAACAGATTAATGTTTAAGAAATTTCTGATAAGTTGTGGCTTCCCTGAATTCCTCTGTTGTCCTCTTCAAAGATTGCAGAAGTATACGTATATTCCTGGAGATTATATTTGAAGTATCCTGAAAAGGTTTTTAAAAAATTACCAAAGATAGCATTCTTCCTCTTAGAAAATATTCTCATTTGTTAAGAAATAGATGCTGATCTAAATAACATGAAATTAGCAAAACAAGTCAACTAAATCATGTATTCTGACAGCCAGAATTCTTATACTTTTTGAATCTTGATTTTTAAATGATATAAAATGTTTTATTACTAGAAAATTTATCCTTTTCATTTAAGATTTACATTACATTTAGTATTTTATATGGCTTTGAGTATAAAATAGGATTAATAAATAAAAGACTGTTCCTATCTGACCTTTCTTCTGCAGAATAACTTACTGCTTTGAAAATGAGTAAATCTTAGATAAGAGAAGTGCAAGAGGCTTTAAAAGTTATTTTCATCTCTTCTAATTCCTTTGACATTCATAAATTCCTTTTTTCCTCCTTCCTGTGCTCTTGGCTTATTTAACAGGTAAGATACTAAAATCAGAACCTCTTTTGTAATATAAAACAACAATGTTGAGTATTTAGTGTTAAATATTGATCGTGGCAGAGCTGGATTCGTTTAATGATTAAGTAAAGGATATAATGAGTAAGTGCAGGAGCACCTGAGCTTCTCTGAGGGCTGTCATGGGGTTGGGGGTAGGGATGAAGCGCTGGGTGATCAGGGCCCACACAGCATAGATAGTGGGGAGAGACAGCTCGTTCTTACTCAGGTTAGTATGGTGTTACATGGAGAAACACATCCCTTGTTACCGAGGGTGCAACCACGTGCAAGCCATTATATGTTAATCTGTGTAATAATTGTACATCAGAATATTCAGACTGTCATAGTGGCTCCAGCAGTCCAAGGAGTGAGACTTTTGCATTGTAATATAGATAGACTTGAGGAAATAAAAGCCTGAGTTAGGAAGATTATTGTGGGAATGAACTGAAAGGGACAGATGATAAATATTAAGAAAATTTAAATTATATGAGTTAGCAGCCACAAAAAGGAATGAAATTGGGTCATTTGTAGAGACGTGGATGGACCTAGAAAGTGTCATACAGAGTGAAGTAGGTCAGAGAAAAACAAATGTCGTATAGTAACGCGTATATGTGGAATCTAGAAAAATGGTACAGATGATCTTATATGCAAAACATAAATAGAGACACAGACGTAGAGAACAAATGTATGGACACCAAGGGGGAAAGGGGTGGGGTGGGAGGAATTGGGAGACTGGGATTAACACATATACAGTATTGATACTACGTATAAAATAGACAACTGATGGGAACATACTGTATAGCACAGGGAACTCCACCTAATGCACTGTGGTAGCCTAAATGGGAAGGAAGTCCAAAAGGGAGGGGATATCTATCTGTATGTATATGGCTGATTCATTTTGTTGTGCAGTGGAGGCTAACACAGAATTGTAAAGCAACGATACTCCAATAAAAATAATAAATAAATAAATTATGAGTTAGAACTGATAGGATTCAAACTTGACTGTGCATCAGAATCACTTGGAGAGTTTGTTAAACAAATTCTGGGCCTCACCTGTTGGTCTGGAATGGGGCCTGAGAATTTGCATTTATGACAGATTCCCTGGGTGGTGCTGATGCTACTCATCCAGGAAGCATACTTTGAGAATCACTGCCATAAATGTCTGTAGACTCTTTCCCATCCCCACATTCCGTGTGTGCAGTAGAGAGTCAATGCCAGCATATAAGAAATGAGCTAAGTGTTCTAATTCAATTCAATTAAATATTTTAGTTAAATATTTCTAATTAATTAAATATTTTTGTGTTTTGTTTTTTAGGCCAAGTGATGGTAGTAACGGTAATTCAACATGTAATATCGAAGTTATAAACTCACTGGATATTGAAGAAAGCATTTGGTCTCCTAGGTTTGGATTGAAGGGCAAAATAGATGTTACAGTTGGCGTGAAGATACATCGAGGATGTAAAACGAAATATAAGATAATGCCACTGGAACTTAAAACTGGCAAAGAATCAAATTCTATTGAACACCGTAGTCAGGTATAAATATTAATAAGAAAATTATGAGTGTGTAATATATTTAAATTTTTTTAATATGTTTGAAAAGTAGTCGCTTTATATATTTTGATTCAATTCAGGTGATTTTTAATTTAACCCAGCATTTCCTAAACCTAATTTACCACAGAGCTACTGTTTTTATGTAACATCTACATAGGATACTCTTTAGGAAACAGCAGTGTAAATTTATTCTTTTACTTCTGACCTTTAATGATGTTGATTAAAAAAAAAAAATGTCCCATTGTTCTTTTAAAATTTTATTTTATTTTATTTTATTTTATTTTTTATTTTTTTGAGGTACGCAGGCCTCTCACTGTTTTGGCCTCTCCCGTTGCGGAGCACAGGCTCCGGACGCGCAGGGTCAGCGGCCATGGCTCACGGGCCCAGCCGCTCCACGGCATGTGGGATCTTCCCGGACCGGGGCACGAATCCATGTCCCCTGCATCGGCAGGTGGACCCTCAACCACTGCGCCACCAGGGAAGCCCCATTGTTCTTTTTTTTAAAAAAATATTTATTTATTTATTTTGGCTGCGCCGGGTCTTAGTTGCGGCAGGTGGGATCTTCGTTACAGCATGTTTAGTTGCGGCATGAGGGCTTCCTAGTTGTGGCATATATGTGGCATCTAGTTCCCCGACCAGGGATTGAACCTGGGCCCCCTTTGTTGGGAGCGCGGAGTCTTGCCCATTGGACCACCAGGGAAGTCCCAATATATTGATTTTTATTTAAAATGAAATATAGAACTGTATCTTACCATTAAGTTAAATTCAAGTTTTCTTAATCATCTTCTCCTTGGTAAATACGTCTTCTGTTGTCCTTCAAAATGACCTGAAATTTATATTAATTATAGTGAGTTAACAAATCAAAGTAACTAACATAAAGTTCTATTTTTTCTAATTATTTCCATTCCCTCTGCCAACCTCCACATTGGCAGTCTATGGTATGTTCTAGACACTTTTTTTTTTAAAATTTATTTTATTTTGGCTGCACTCGTGGCACATGGGATCTTAGTTCCCCCACCAGGGATCGAACCCGAGCCCCCTGCAGTGGAAGCGTGGAGTCTCAACCACTGGACCACGAGGGAAGTCCCCTAGACACTTTTAAATAAGCAAAGATAAAACTAAAAGTAGTAACATTATTGTATTTTTATGGTATAATAAGTATTAAAGGAACAAATAATATAACAAATAGCATAGCATTTGTAATATAACTTAAATTTCCTTTTGCCCATGGAATTTTCACATTTTATTTCAGCAGATTTTGTGTAAAATAGGTTCAGATTCAAAGTACTGAATTGTATAATCAGGGATTAACAAGATCTTCCCTTATTAAATCTTTCTTGCTATTCTTAATTGTGTACCAAGCACCAAAGGTTCTCACAAAAGCTTTTCCATTTGGGAATGAAAAATAGGGTAACCTTGTTGTTTCACCTATCATTGGGTTTTACAGATACTGGAGGTAGAGGAAAAATTAGGCTTCCCCTCTCAGAAGACTTGAATTTTTCACTTTGGTAAAACAGAAATGGCTGAAATTATGAACAAAGACTTGGCTAGATTAAAGCCTTCTTGTGAAAGGAAAATCATGTCTAGATAGAAGAAAAGCTATTTTTCTTAAATTTTAATTTATTTTTGGCTGCGTTGGGTCTTCGTTGCTGCACGTGGGCTTTCTCTAGTTGCGTCGACGGGCTTCTCATTGTGGTGGCTTCTCTTGTTGTGGAGCACGGGCTCTAGGCGCGCAGGCTTCAGTAGTTGTGGTGCATGAGCTCAATAGCTGTGGCTCGCGGGCCCTAGAGTGCAGGCTCAGTAGTTGTAGCGCCCGGGCTTAGTTGCTCTGCAGCATGTGGGATCTTCCCGGACCAGGGCTCGAACCTGTGTCGCCTACATTGGCAGGTGGATTCTTAACCTCTGCACCACCAGGGAAGCCCAAGAAAAGCTATTTTGAAGTCAAAGATTTGAAGAAATGTGTTTTGTGTACGTGAGGCTGAAAATTTTTACTTGTGTTTTTAAGGACAAGTTTGTTTGAAATCACTTCTGAATGCTAAAAGGAAGAGAAATACAAAAGCATTTCAGCATCTAAAGTGGTCTAGATTTAAAGACCTTTCTTCTAAGGCCACTGCTGTAAATTGTAGTGCCTTCAAGGCAAAGAATATTACTGTATTTAATTTTGTTCAGTTGGAACTTTTATCTTTGCAAGAATAGAAGCTGGAAGAAGAACTTTTAAGAATACAGTGGTGTTTATCATATTTAAAAACAGGAAAAATGATTTGGACAAGGCTCAAACAAATATATTGGAGTGCATATTGCATATTCATTGAGTAAGAAACAAGGAGACATTGAAAGAATAATTATAGTAATTCATTGAGATATATACATAGATAGATAGGTAAATAGATAGATATTGTGGATGAGGAAAGACATAGATCTCCCCTTTTAGGAATTTTTTTTTTCTTCAAATTAAAACTTTAATGAATATAATTACTAGTGCATAAGCAAAAGAATATTAAATCCAGGTATAATTTTTCATTAAAGGTTTTAAATCACTTCCTTTTTTGTTATGTATATATATATATTTTAACATCTTTATTGGAGTATATTACATTGTTGTGTTAGTTTCTGCTGTATAACAAAGTGAATCAGCTATATGTATACATATACCTTTTAGGAGGTTTGACTTCTCACTTTGGTAATACAGAAAAAGTTTATGTTATAAACTAACTTTAGTTAAGGAAGATCTTTATTTTATAAATGGATTGTATTCTAAAAATTCATTTCTAAGTCAGTAATGTGACGTTAGAAACATTTTCTTGTTTTTTTTTTTTTTGGCCATGCTGCATGGGATGTGGGATCTCTGTTCCCTGATCAGGGATCAAACCGGTGCCCCTTGCATTGGGAGTGTGGAGTCTTAACCAGTGGACCACCAGGGAAGTCCCCTTGAAACACATTTTCTAAAGGAAAAATATTATATGGAGCTGTGATCTCTAAACCAGCTCACAGAAACCTATTTCACTTGTGATATAGTTGGATTATAACAGTGTTGTAAAATTGCAGTCCGGCTTCCTTTTATCATAATATGAAGGGAATTTCATTTCAGATATTTTTTCCTTTTAATAAGTCCCAGAAGCAGAATCCTCTTCCTTCTGCCTCAGTTTCCGTGAAGGGAAAAACTTAACATAGATGGACCATTAGTTTGGGTTGACTCCCTTGGTCCACAGCCCCAAGGCTTCACCCTGTCGTTTATGAGTTCATTTTAATTTTTAAAAGTTTTATTTGGTTACTTATGCTGTATCAGGCAACACAAATGGAGTGCTTATAAGAAGACATCCCCAAACATGCTACATAGGCTCAAATGTTGCTGCTAAGGTGTTTCCATGAACTAAAGGAACTATTTCTAACTTGTCTTAGATGGTTTCTCTGAAGAGCGCCACATAAACTTAAAGCACTTAATGCTCCCTCCTGCTCTGGAAAAAAACCCAGTGAACTGTTAGTAGAGTTTGTCTCATTTAGTTGTCACAGTAACTATGACATAAATAATATGCATTTTAGTGTTTAATCCACTCATTTTAAACAGGGAAAATACTGTCTGAAGACAACTTCAAAATGGAAAACATAGCTTGATTAATTTCCCTCTTTAACTTATTGGAGATTATTTACCATCTAAGAAAAATTCTAAATATTTCTTTTTTGTCTGTGTAAAACTGAGAAGCATATACTATGTTTTGTGGAAATTAAATATTTGACTTTGAATTTATTGTATTACCTTTACTAAATTTGGATCGTGTTATTTTCAAAATGGAAATAGCTTGATTCACCTTTTGATTTTAAAATTACAATATGTATTGATTGCAAAACATGTATGTAAATATAGAAAGTTAAAGTTTTATTTGATGAAATATACCATGTTTTCACAGCTTGTTCTGTACACACTGCTAAGCCAAGAGAGGAGAGCTGATCCAGAGGCTGGCCTGCTCCTCTACCTGAAGACCGGCCAGATGTATCCTGTACCTGCCAACCATCTCGATAAAAGAGGTTGAGTTGTTTTCTCTCAATTTTACTTCTCTGGGTTTTGTTGGTTGTTTTTTTCCTTCAATTTTTGGTGACACACATTTATACTTGACAATCACTCACTGTCATTGCTAGGCCTAAAACAGGTTGTAATTGGTAAGTTGTGGTGCTTTTTTAAAAAAAAGAATTTTAGGGAACTCCCTGGTTATCTAGTGATTAGAACTCCCCGCTTGCACTGCTGAGGGCCTGGGTTCAATCCCTCTTAGGGGAACTGGGATCCTGCAAGCCGTGCAGTGTGGCCAAAAAAAAAAAAAAAAAAAAGAATTTGAACAATATACTGTATAGTTGAAAACACTATTAACCTTTTTGCTATATAAGTTCATTTAGGTCATATTTTTAGATTCCACAATAAGTGATATCATACGGTATTGGTCTTTCTTTGTCTGACTCCCTTCACTTAGTATGATAACTTCTAGGTCCATCCATGTTGCTGCAAATGGCATTATTTCATTCTTTTTTTACGGCTGAGTAGTATTCGATGGATGTGTGTGTGTGTGTGTGTGTGTGTGTGTGTGTATGTGTATCACATCTTCTTTAATTTTATTTATTTTTGGCTGTGTTCGGTCTCCGTTGCTGTGTGCGGGCTTTCTCTAGTTGCGGCGAGCGGGGGCTACTGTTTGTTGTGGTGCGCGGGCTTCTCATTGCAGTGGCTTCTCTTGTTGTGGAGCATGGGCTCTAGGCACGCGGGCTTCAGTAGTTGTGGCACACAGGCTCAGTAGTTGTTGCTTGAGGGCTCTAGAGTGCAGGCTCAGTAGTTGTGGTGCACGGGCTTAGTTGCTCCGCGGCACGTGGGATCTTCCCGGACCAGGGTGTCCCGTGTATTGGCAGGCGGATTCTTAACCACTGCGCCACCAGGGAAGCCCCGCATCTTCTTTATGTAGTCATCTGTCAATGGACATTTAGTTTGGGATTAGCAGATGCAAAGTATTATATATAGAATGGATAAACAATAAGGTCCTACTGTATGGCACATGGAACTATATTCAGTATCCTGTGGTAAACCATAATGGAAAAGAATATGAAAAAGAATGTATATATATGTATAACTGAATCATTTTGCTGTACAGTGGAAATTAACACAACATTGTAAATCAACTATACATTAAAAAATAAATTAGAAATATTTTACTATATAAAACTTTATTTTAAACTTGCTGTCTTACATTCAAGACACTCTAGATAGCTGTATTTGTCCTTAGCATTCAGCCAATAAAACACCAGCTTCACAATATTTACTACTTATGAGATTCATGGTTATTCAAAGAACTTATCAAGTGAACAAAAATTGAAGGAAATATACCAAAATGTTATCAGTGGTTATTTTAGTATAGTGGAAATATGAATGTTGTTCTTTCCTTTTTTATGTTTTTGAATCTGAAAGTTATATATAATGGAAAAGATGTATAATAAACTTTACTTAATTCTTAAAAAACACCCATCCTTTTTTCCCGCATAGAATTATTAAGGCTAAGAAACCAGATGGCATTCTCTTTGTTTCACCGTATTAACAAATCTGCTACTGGAGAGGAGAAGACAAAGCTTGCTCCTTTGCCACAAATAATTGAGGAACAGCAAACCTGTAAATATTGTTCACAGATGGGCAACTGTGCTCTTTATAGCAGGTAAACACACTGTCTTCCAAAAATATTAATTCCAGTTAAGTAAGTATTCAACTCAGAATGATTTTACATTGTTGGCTGGTCTGGCATTGATGGTTTCATTTTGGTTATTTAAAACAAAGGGAATAGAAAAAGAAAACCAAGCACAGCTAGTTCATATTATATAACAAGCCTCTTTCCTTGGAGAGATAGAATGCTTTTAAAACTTTTTCCAAAAGTGAATATTTTAATCTTGCTGCATATAGTTCCTGGGGAAGTGAAATAATTGTAGAACTTATGGAACCTATTTAAGAAAGATGTAGTATAGGCATTGTTAATACAGCTTTTCTTAAATGATATTTCAAGAAATCTTCCCTTTCTTAGTTGATGTTTTAATTTCAAACCTTTTGTAGTTCAAAATAGGGAAATTTTGTTCTTCCAGACACTTTGATATGATTCAGTAGACTTGTCTCATTTATATATGTCTATTTTTCTACAGATGGGAAGTTTATTAGCTGTCTTGTAAGCAATCATATGTATTTACACCTTCATAGCCAGTGAGAGTTTTGGAGGAAACAAGAAGGTAGTTAGATGTAAATTCAGACTAGGAAACAAGATCAAATCAGAACCGAAGTTCTAAATCAGCCTGAAAATTCACATAAAGGAGTTTTAAAAGTACAGTTGACCCTTGAACAACACTGGGGTTGGGGGTGGCAACCCTCCCTGCAGTTGAAAATCTTAGTATAACTTATAGATGGCCCTCCATATACGAGATTCCTCCACATTCCTGTATTTAGCCAACCTCAGATCATTTAGTACTGTAGTATTTACTATTGAAAAAAGTCCATGTATAAGTGGACCCATAGAGTTCAGTCCCATGTTATTCAAGGGCCAACTGTATTGTATCAAAAGATCTCTTAATGGCAGAGACCATGAACCATGGGAAATCTGGGCCTATAGTACAAGCATATATTTTTGAACTCTTAAGTTTTACTCTCCATGTTTTGTATGCTATCCTACAATGTATTTGTTTCTATATAAAAATTCAAAATTAATATTGAGCAAAATTGATACTTCACATGGTTCTCCATGTTTTTATGTTGACTTTCTTAATGGCACAGAGCTGGATGTACAAATACTGTGATTTTGAGAAATGCAGTCCTACCGAAAGCCGAAACTTGCTACATATAGGAATGAAGACTGGGCTATAACGAAACTTCAGCACTTGTTAGGGGAACAGTCATTCAAGGCAAAATAATGCAGTATTGAGTTTCTAGGGCATTTTGTTTTGTAAAAAGCCATTTGGCTTATGAAATGTTGAAATGACTTTAAAAGAAAATTAGGGGCTGTGGTTATAAGTTATGATGATTATCATATATGTGTATTTATTTTAGAAATACCTCATTTCATAACCAGCCAGTGAAATGTTTCATATGCATCTCTGACTTGGAGCTTTATCTTTAGAGCGGTTGAACAACAGATGGATGACAGTTCAGTCCCGACCAGCATGCAGCCCAAAATAAAAGAAGAAACCCAGCATCTAAAACTTACACACTTAGAGTATTTCAGCCTTTGGTGTCTTATGTTAACCCTGGAGTCACAGTCAAAGCATAATAAAAAAAATTACCAAACTATATGGTTAACGCCTGCTTCAGATATGTAAGTGGTCCATTTAATACAGTAAAACTTCAGTAATTTGGATTAGCCAGTGGTATGAAATTTGTAATTCATGACAAATAGAGGTTATGTAGCATGTTAAAGCCATGCAGTTTCGTATATTCATGCCAACTCCAGATGGCTGTCAGTGAATTGTTTGTAAGTAGAGCACCATTGTTATTTTCAGTAGATTAAATATACCTCGGGACTTCTCCGGCGGTCCAGTGGTTAAGACTCTGCGCTTCCACTCCTTAGGGTGTGGGGCGGGCGGACGACTAAGATCCCGCATGCCATGTGGCACCGCCAAAATAGATAAATACACAAATACATAAATAAATAAACCTCAAGAAATCTTACTTAAAAAATTACTAGTGAAATTAAATCCTTTTTCATCAGTGAAAAGACTATAAACTTGAGTATATCATAAGGTGAATTTTAGCGTATTGGTACAGTGGAAATTAATGAAGTTTTACTTAATATTTTAAATACTAGCATTTTGAAAGTCTTTATTTTTGTAAGTTTTGATAGAGATTCACATTTTCTAAAGTGGGTCAATATTGTATTTTGTGAGATCTGTTCTTTTACAAGTTACTTGTAAAGTTATAACTTTCTATATCTTTGCAATAGTATATTTCTTTATGTAATATTTAGTTGCTTTTGATCCATCTCTTTCTTTCCAGAATGAATATTGATAATAATGTGACTTTAGACCTTAGATTTTTATTTCCTTAATACTAGACTTTAACACAAGGCACCATTACAGTGGAGAAAGTTTGTCGTTTTCAACAGACTACATAAGTACAGTGAATACGTTCAGTGTACGCGCCAGCAAGCTTCTCTAGTATAATAGTAATGCCTGAGAGATTGTAAATGCTTAATGCTTACTTCTAAGGCAGTGGACTTATCAATTTGCTTGCCATTGTTTTAGTAACAATAATTATAAATTCTCTTATAAACACTAAAGAAATACGTTACTACTTTCTTCACTTCAGGTTCAGAGTCAGGTTACTACGATTTGTCTTCTGTAGTGTTATATGTGTATCAGCACAGGAGGTGGGGTGTCAGTCAAGAATCAAAGTGCTGATATGCAAGTTGTTCAGAAATCTCAGGGACTTCCCTGGTGGTCCAGTGGTTAAGAATTCGCCTTCCAACGCAGGGGATTTGGGTTCAATCCCTGGTCTGGGAACTAAGATCCCACATGCCTCAGGACAACTAAGCCTGAGCACTCTAGAGCCCGCGTGCCACAACTAAGACCTGATGAAGCCAAATAAATAAATAAATATTTAACAAAAACAAATCCCAGACTGTGGGTGCAACAAGGGAGGTGCTCCCTAGCACCTGTCTAGAGATCTGGTGATGAGAGATTTTCTTTTTTTTTTTTTTTTGGCCTTGTTGAATGCATGCAGGATCTTAGTTCCCCGACCAGGGATCAAACCTGTGCCCCCTGCAGTGGAAGCATGAGTCTTAACCACTGGACTGCCAGGGAAGTCCTGAGAGATTATTTTAAAACTAATTTCTCTTTTTCTTTCTCTCTCATAGGGAGGAGAGTGGCAGCTGCATTGGGAACCTGATTAGAACAGAACATGTAAAGACAGTTTGTGATGGACAATATTTACATAATTTCCAACATAAAAATGGTGTCATGCCTGTCACAAACCTAATGGCAGGTGACAGAATTATTTTAAGTGGAGAAGAGAGGACATTGTTTGCTTTGTCTAGGGGGTACATGAAGGAGATTAACATGACAACTGTAACCTGTTTATTAGACAGGTAATGAAATGTTCCCTTTTTGGGTGGGGGGGGTAAAGCTTTATTGATATGTAAACATATACCATATGGTTCATCCATTTAAAGTGTATAATTCAGTGATGTTTAGTATATTCACAGAGCTGTGCAGTCAGCACTAAAATCAATTTTGGACCATATTCATCACCCTCAAAAGACTCCCTGTATCCTGTAGTCACTCCCCCTGCCCTAGGCAACCACCAATTCCCTTTCTCTCTTTATAGATTTGCCTCTTCTGAACATTTCACATAAATGGGATCATACAATATGTGGTCTTTTGTGACTGGCTTTTTTCACTTAGCGTACTGTTTTTGAGGTTCGTCTTCATGTAGTGGCATGTACCAGTACTCCATGCCTTTTAAAAAAATTTTAGATAAAATTCACATAACATAAAATTAACCATTAACCATTTTAAATTTAGAGTTCAGTGGCATTTAGCAATTATCCAACTGCTAAACTTTTGTTTAATACATTACATTCCATAGTGCTAATGTGGACGTAATCTTATCAGATTCTCACAACCATGTGTACAGCAGGCAGGACAGATGCCCTGTGTTGACTGTAAAGCTTATTTCTCCTTCTTAGCACTCTGGGCACTCACCGTTTCATTCTCTCCTTTTTTTTAAATATCTTATTTTTATAATTTTATTATTGTTATTATTTTTATTATTTTTTATCTGCGTTGGGTCTTTGTTGCTGCGTGTGGGCTTTCTCTAGTTGCGGCGTGTGGGCTTCTCATTGCGGTAGCTTCTCTTGTGGCGAAGCACGGGCTCTAGGTGCGTGGGCTTCAGTAGTTGTGGCACGCGGGCTCTAGAGCGCAGGCTCAGTAATTGTGGCACACGGGCTTAGTTGCTTCGTGGCATGTGGGATCTTCCCAGATCAGGGATTGAACCCGTGTCCCCTGCGTTGGCAGGTGGATTCTTAACCACTGTACCACCAGGGAAGCCCTCCTTTTTTTAAAGAAGATGCTTTTTTCCATTTATAGTTGTAAATACTTTATATTTATAAAGTATAAGTTAAAACAAAGTGAGTTAATTTAATAATATTAATTAAATAGAAAAGTCGGTATGAAAATTTGTGGTAGAAACTAATATCCATATTTGTTAATATCCATATTCCCAGGCTTCCCTGGTGGCGCAGTGGTTGAGAGTCTGCCTGCCGATGCAGGGGACACAGGTTCGTGCCTCGGTCTGGGAAGATCCCACATGCCGCAGAATGGCTGGGCCTGTGAGCCATGGCCACTGACCCTGCGTGTCCGGAGGCTGTGCTCCGCAACGGGAGAGGCCACAACAGTGAGAGGCCCGCGTACCGCAAAAAAAAAAAAAAAAAAAAATCCATATTCCCTTCTTCGTGGACCCCCAGCCTTTCTTGCATTTAAGTGCTGGCATGCGTCACATTTCTTAGTGGATGGAGATCAGTAATTGGGATGCAGTGGAAATGTCCAGGCTTGCTCTCTGCTAATCAGTAATCCTAGTTAAGCCATAACCAGTCCTAGCCTAGCTTTCATGATATTGGAGTATCAGCTGTGATATTTCTGTTGTTTCTTAGGAATCCCTGCAGTCAGTCCTTTGAGGTGTTTATTTGGCACCTAACATGTATTACGTGCTTTGTAAACCCTTGAGGAACTCATAGTCTTGTGGGTAACAAATAAATAAATATGTTTTTGGTCTAATATGACAAGTGTTTGGATTGATGGGAACACAGAGGAGAGGCATTTAACCCAGTTTTAGGAGGCTCAGGGAAGGCTTTGTGAAAAAGGTCATTCCAGATCTTCACCCTGTGGGTGAATAAATTAGCCTGATGAAGCAGTGTGAGAGGAGTATATCAAACAGAGGGAACAGGGTGTGGAAAGACCTGATGGTATGAAGTGGAGTGTTCAGGAAAGTACAGGTAATAATTAGTTTCTGGAATGTAAAAGATAAAGAAGGGAATGATTGGAGAGGTCAGGTCATAGAAGGTCTTATGTACCATATTAAGAAGTTTTGACTTTACTTTTTCAGATGTACTGAAGAGTTTTAAACAGAAGAATGATAATAATCAGATTTGCATTTTTTTGTGGATGCACTGTGGAGAATAGAGTTAATTAACGGAGGCAAAACTGAAAGCCGAGAAGTCAGGCATCTGTTGTAGTGGCCCAGGCTTGAGGTGATTGAGGGCAGGGTAGTTTTGACAGAGAAGGTGGAATGACTTTGAGAAGTATTTAGAAAGTAAAACTGTCTGACATGGGATCCTGATCGAGTGTGCAGGGTTGGAAGAGAGTGAGGGAGAGGGAAGGATCAAGACAGCTGTGTGGATGCAAGAGCCATTAATTGAGGTCAGGACCACAGAAGAAGGATCGGGTTCAGCAGGAATAAAGAGTTGTTCAGTTTTGAAAAATTGAACTTTCATAGCCTGGGTTTTAACTAAGTGGAAATAAATATCTTGCTGCTTGCTGGATATCCAAACCTGAAGCTTGGGTGAGAAACAGGGTGGGAGAGGAATGTGAGGTCAGGCCTGAAGATGTAGAGTTGGGATTTAGACCCACGTGGGGGCATGGGACCAGAGGAAAAATGACAAGAAAGAAGAGTACACAGGACCAGGGAGGGGACCTAGGGAACATCATGGTTTAGGGGCTGATAGAGGAGTGGGAGAAGCTGTCGGGAAAGAGACCTGTACTCCAGGCTGGAGGAGGGAGGAGCCATATGCTTAGGATCCTTCTGGGGTGGTGAGCCCAGGCTGAATTGCCCAGGTCGAACTTGCCCAGGTCCAAGTGAGTTGTTAGCAAATGTTGTAGGTTCCCGATTATTAACTGCTTTGACTTTGGTGCCTTCTGCCTTCCCCTTCTCCCTTTTCCCACCAATCCAGGGCCTCATCCTGTCTCTGGTTGGCAAGTATGTATTAGGGGCTGGTAGCCATTTTAATAGCAATTCTGGCTCATTTACTCTTTTAGCAGACAGCAGCGTATTTCTTATACAGACCCACTGACTATGTTAAATGAAAAACATTCATGTACGTCTGTTTTCTGTTTTAGGAACTTGTCAGGACTCCCAGAATCAACTTTGTTCAGATTGGACCAGGAAGAAAAACATTGTAATATAGATACCCCATTAGGAAATCTTTCTAAACTGATGGAAAATACTTATGCCAGGTTTGTAACAATAAATGAATCTGAATTTTGCTCCACTTTCCTAAGGAACATGGAGTAAAAAAAAAGCTTTTTTTTTCTTTTCAGTCAAAAACTTCGAGATTTAATCATTGACTTTCGCGAACCGCAGTTTATATCCTACCTCAGTTCTGTTCTTCCACATGATGCAAAGGACACAGTTGCCTGCATTCTAAAAGGTATGTTATAATCAGCGTGTCTGCATCCATTAATTTTTCTTGGTTCTATTTATAATTTAATCTATATTATAGTCTAGCATTTTAATACTTTTAAAAAAAAATAAATTTATTTATTTATTTTTGGCTGAGTTGGGTCTATTGTTGCTGTACACAGGCTTTCTCTAGCTGCGGCTAGCTGGGGGCTACTCTTTGTTGCGGTGCATGGGCTTCTCATTGCTGTGTCTTCTCTTGTTGCGGAGCATGGGCTCTAGGCGCCTGGGCTTCAGTAGTTTTGGCACACGGGCTCAGTAGTTGTGGCTTGTGAGCTCTAGAGCACAGGCTCAGTAGCTGTGGTGCATGGGCTTAGTTGCTCCGCGTCATGTAGGATCTTCCCAGACCAGGGCTTGAACCCGTGTCCCCTGCATTGGCAGGTGGATTCTTAACCACTGCGCCACCAGGGAAGTCCTTTAATAATTTATAAACTTGTAATTACAACTTTTAGACAGCATCTCTTTGGAATTAGTTTACCTGTGACCTTTACGGTCACCATGATATTTCCTTACTTTGAAAAGATGTATTGAAGAACAGACTAGAATAGAGTCAGCTTTTCTTGTAAAATAGTTAAGGTGCTCAGTGAAATTCAACACTCTTTTTCCTGTTATTTTTAAATTTAAATGTAGGTTTGAATAAGCCTCAAAGGCAAGCCATGAAAAAGGTACTTCTTTCAAAAGACTACACCCTCATCGTGGGTATGCCTGGAACAGGAAAAACAACTACAATATGTACTCTTGTAAGGTTATTATTCTTTTGCTTAGAAACTGAATATTTAAATCAGCTTCTCCTTGGTTCAAAGAATGTGATATTGGATATAAAAAGGGCTGAATTTTAAGTCAAAATGCCTTTATTTCAAACTAAAAGTGACATGAGAAATAGAAAACCTAAATTACCAATAGTTGTGATCACCTTGTAGATATCTTGCATGTAAGATTGTCTAAAATCTCTTGCTGTTGTTGTTATATGTATGTTTTCCTTCCCTTTAAAAAATGATAAGTTGTACAGAGGCGGTTGAAATAGAGTTTTCTTGAATTTTTTTTTCATGTCAGTAAATTACTGAGCAGTCTTAGAATAAATCATAATGATGGCAGCAAATATTTATTGACTGATACTGTGTGCCAGGCACTAGTCAAAGTGTATTTGTATTCAATTTTATTATGACATAATGTATTATTAACATATCATTAATAACATAATAATGCCATGTTTTTTTCATAAAACATTTTGGCTATATAGTTTTTTAAAAAGTTACTTGGCTCAGCTCTTAGATATGCTTCCTATTAAGTTTTCTAATTCTATTCAAAAAATATAAATGTTAAAAATTACCGGGAGTTAAAAGTAATGCTGTTTTCCTTTCTTTTATTCATTATTAGGTAAGAATTCTCTATGCCTGTGGTTTTAGTGTTTTGTTGACCAGCTATACACACTCGGCTGTTGACAATATTCTTTTGAAGTTAGCAAAGTTTAAAATTGGATTTTTGCGCTTGGGTCAGACTCAGAAGGTACATCCAGATATCCAGAAATTTACAGAGGAGGATATTTGCAGATCAAAATCCATTAGATCCTTAGCTCTTCTAGAAGAACTCTACAATAGTCAAGTAAGTACAATTATTGTATAATAATACTGACAGTAATTTTTGTAGCCAGAATGAGGGGAGAAATGGTACGTTGGGAAATTTAATTGCATTGACCAAATTTGCACCTGATAAATTTATATAAACCACAGGACCAGTTTATGAGTTTATAGTTTGTTCTTTGCTTCTGAACTGAAATACGGTTTCTGGTTTATTATTCAGGGCTCCCATCTTCTAGTTTAAAATATCCTAGTAAAAGAAAACTCTATTTCTGTCTACTCACGCTTCTGACACTGACTACGTGGAGTTAGTGCAGACTCCACAGGTTAAGGACTCAGTCCCACAAGACTGCCCCCTACTTCAGTTCTCAATTGCGAGTTCAAACCTCCTGTGCCCAGCTTGGGGGTTCCTGTGTCCTCCTCCTTGGATTCTATAATTTGCTAAAATGGCTCACAGAACTCAAGAAAGTCAGCTCATTAGCATAAACTCAGGTATGATTAAAAGGGACTTATGAATAACGAAAGATGTTCCCCTCACCCCAGCAATCAGGGAATTCCAAGGGTTTTAGGAGCTCTGGGTCAAGAACCAGAAGGAAGACCAAATGTGTATTTCTTATTATATTATAGTGTCACACCTAGAAAACTAATAATCAGGATTTTTTAGTGAGTTTGTATTAGACGTAATGGTATATGAATAGTCTTGTGATAGGTATTTTTAGGCTTTGATATAGAACCTAATTTTTATTTATTGTCTGTATGTATTTTTACTGGAAAGTCTTAACTGATATTTTTGTCTTAAAAATTATCTAAAATAGATTTTAATAGACTATTCTTACAACTCTTTTGTCTAATATCTATCCCAATTATTGAAAAATTTTGAAGTGGCTAAGATGTATGTCTGATTTACTTTTTTAAATTAAAAGTTTTTATTTTGAGGTAATTATAGATTCACATACAGTAGTCAGAAATAATACAGGGAGATTATGTATACCCTTTGCCCAGTAGTAACATTTTACAAAACTAAAGTAAAATATCACAAGGATATTGACAGTGATACAGTCTACATACAGAATAGTTCCATTACCACAAGGATCACTCTCGTTGTACTTTTATAACTATGCCCACTTCTTTCCTGCCTACTCATTCCTTGACCCCTGATAACAACTTTTCTGTTTTCCATTTCTACAGTTTTGTCGTTTCAAGAATGTTATATAAGTGGAAATATATGTTATCAAACAAAAGTTCGTGTGCCAGACACACAGTGAGCCCAAACAAACTGAAACATCAGAGTTTGGAGCAGAGAAATGTTTATTGCAGGGCCAAGCAAGGAGACCAGGCAGCTCGTGCTCAAAAACCTCAAACTCTTTTCAGGGAGAAGTTTTTATAGGCAAAATTTGGGGTGAGGGCTGCAGGGTGTGTATCTTTCTTCTGGTTGGTTGGTGGTGAGGTAACAGGGTGGTGCTCCAGGAATCTTGTGCTCAGCCTGAAGTTACTATCCTCCACCTGGGTGCCGGCCTTATTTCCTGCAGAAGACCTCAAGGGAGTGGGGGAGGGACAAATTGGGAGATGGGATTGACATATACATACTACTATATATAAAATAGGTGACTAATAAGGACCTACTGTATAGCACAGGGAACCCAATACTCTGTAATGGCCTATATGGGAAAAGAATCTAAAAAACAGTGGATATATGTATAACTGATTCACTTTGCTGTACAGCAGAAACGAACACAACATTGTAAATCAACTATACTGCACTAAAAATTAAAAAAAAAAAAGAACTCAAAGATATTTGTAACCTATATTCCTTGAGGAAGAACCAGGATCCTTCTTTAATCCCTGCACTATAGTTTCTTGATTGTTCCTCCTTTGTTTCTGCATCCCCTATTTCCCTGATTAGTAGCTGTTTGAATATGCCCTTTGGAACTCTGGGAAGATCGAGGAGGCTGAAGCCTTTATCCTTCAAATAAGAAATGGGGGACCCGGAAACTCTTTTGTTCCTAGGAGGGCCCCACAAGGTCCTGCTTGGTTTCACATACAGTATGTAATCTTTTGGGATTGGTGTTTTTCACTTAGCCTAATGCTCTGTAGATTCAGATTGTTACATGTATCAATCAGTAGTTTGCTCCTTTTTATTGGTGAGTATTGTTCCATAGTATGGATGCGCCACAATTTGTTTAACCATTCACCCATTGGAAAACATCTGGATTGTTTGCAGTTTTGGGCTATTACGAATAAAGCTGCTATAGACATTCATGTATAGGGTTTTGTGTGAACGTAAGTCTTCATATCTCTGGGATCAATGCTCAGGGGTCCAGTGTCTGAGTCATTTGGTAGTTGCATGTTTAGTTTTAAAAAAATCTACCAAACTGTTTTCTAAAGAAGCTATAACATTTTACATTCCCACCAGCAAAGTGTGAGTGATCCTTGTCAGCATTTGGTGGTGGTAACTATTTTTCATCTTGGCCATTCTGATAGGTGTATAGTGATATACAAAGTGAGAATGTCTCAACTTCCCCTTCATTCCTGAAGGGTAGTTTTGCTAGTTATAGGATTCTGGGTAAATATGTAATTCTTTTCTTTTATACTGGGAAAATATTCTGCCATTTTCTTCTGGCTTCTGTGGTTTCTGATGAGAAATATGCTGACCTTTGAATTGGAATGTTTTTCCTTATAGCAAGGTGGTGTTTACCTGGGCTCCTTTTCAGAATTTTTTCTTTTCTTTAGTTTTTAGAATTTTAATTATGATATGTCTTGTAGTGGATTTTTTTCTATCATGTTTGGAGTTTTCCCAGCTTATTGAATCTATAGATTTAATGTCTCTTGCCAAACTTGGGACATTTTTAGCCATGATTTCTTCTAGTGCTTTTTCAGCCCCTCCCTCTTTCTTTTCTGCTAGGACTGTGAAGACATGAATGGTGGATCCTTTATGTCCTGCAGGTCCATGAGGCTCTGTGTAGTTTTTGTTTTTTCAGTCTATTTCTGTCTGTTATTCAGACTGTATAATTTCTATTTTTCTATGTCTTTGTTCACTGATTCTTTTCTCTGTCCCTTGCTGTTGAGCCTATTCCATGATTTAAAAATTCTAATTATTCTAGTTTCAGTTCTAAAATTTCCATTTGGTTCTTCTTTTTACCTTCTGTTTCTTTGCCAAGACTTTTATTTTCTTGAGATTTTATATCTTTTTCTTTTCATTCAAGTGTGTTCATAATTGTTCATTGAAACATTCTTATCATGGCTGCTTTAAAATCTTTGTCATGTAATTCTAACATCACTGTCATCTATTGATTGTCTTATATTCATTCAGTTTGAGATATTTCTGGTTCTATATATAACGAGTGATTTTTGATGAAATCTGAACATTTTTGTATTGTGTTATTTAAAACTGCTGTTTTAGCTCGCTTCTCTAACACTACCCTGGTAGGGCAAGAGTGTATGCCACCTCATTATTGCCAGCTGGGAGCTGAAGTCCAGGATCCTTACTTGGCTTCTTTTAATGCAGAAGGTGACAGGCTTCTCATTACTGTTGGATAGGGGTGGAAGGAAGTCTAGGCTCCCCACGCAGTCTCCACTACATTGCCGGGTGAGGGTTACTACCAGCCAAGAGGGATGAAAATCCTGGCTTGACCTCTCTGACACCACCCTGGCAAGGTATTGGGGTGCCTTATTCCAGCCTCAGGCAGGTGGAAGTCTAGGATCCCCCCTTGACCTTTGCTGGCATTGGTAGGGGGGCAAGGCCATAATTTTTTGTTTTTTTAGAGTTTCTAAAATCTTTATTAGATTGAACATGTGTTTTTTTTTTTCTTTTCCTTTATGGTTTATTACAGGATGTTGTATATAGTTCCCTGTGCATACAGTAGGACCTTGTTATTTCTCTGTTTTATATATAGTAGTGCATATCTGTTAATCCTACGCTCCTAATTTATCCCTCCAGCCACCCTTTCCCCTTTGGTAACCGTAAGTTTGTTTTCTATGTCTGTGAGTCTGTTTCTGTTTTGTAAATAATTTCATTTGTATCATTTTTTTAGATTCCACATGTAAATGATATCATATGATATTTGTCTTTCTCTCTTTCTGGCTTACTTCACTTAGTATGAAATCTAGATCCATCCATGTTGCTGCAGATGGCATTATTTCATTTTTTATGGCTGAGTAATATTCCATTGTATACATATACCACATCTTTATCCATTCATCTGTCGATGGATATTTAGGTTGTTTCCATGTCTTGGTTATTGTAAATAGCGCTGCGATGAACATAAGGGTGCATGTATGTTTTCAAATTAGAGTTTTCTCCAGATATATGCCCAGGAGTGGGATTGCTGGATCATATGGTGACTCCATTTTTAGTTTTTAAAGGAACCTCCATACTATTCTCCACAGTGGCTGCACCAATTTACATTCCTACCAATGGTGTGTGTGTGGGGGGTTCCTTTTCTCCACATCCTCGCTAGCATTTATTATTTATTATTTGTAGACTTTTTAATGATGTCTATTCTGATCTGTGTGGTGGTACTTCGTTGTAGTTTTGATTTGTGTTTCTCTAATAATTAGCGATGTTGAGCATCTTTTCATGTGCCTGTTGGCCATCTGTATGTCTTCTTTAGAGAAATGTCTATTTAGGTCTTCTGCCCACTTTTTTTTTTTTTTTTAATAAAGGAGATGTAGTTCTTTTTTTAAAAAAATTAAATTAATTAGCTTATTTATTTTTAGCTGTGTCAAGTCTTAGTTGTGACATGCAGGATCTTCGTTGCAGTGTGCGGGATCTTTCGTTGTGGCGCACAGGCTCTTCGTTGTGGTGTGCGGGCTTCTCTCTAGTTGCCGCGTTCGGTCTTCTTTCTAGTTGTGGCACGTAGGCTCTCAAGTTGAGGCACGTGGGCTCAGTAGTTGTAGCGTGCGGGCTTAGTTGCCCCTCAGCATGTGGGATCTTAGTTCCCTGACCCGGGATCAATGCGGTGTCCCCTGCATTGTATGGCGGATTCTTTACCACTGGACCACCAGGGAAGTCCCTTCTGCCCAGTTTTTGATTGGGTTGTTTGTTTTTTTGTTATTGAGTTGTATAAGCTGTTTGTATATTTTGGAAATTAAGCCCTTGTTGTTCGCATCATTTGCAGATATTTTCTCCCCATCTGTAGGTTGTCTTTTTGTTTTATTTATGGTTTTCTGTGCTGTGAAAAAGCTTATAAATTTGATTAGGTCCCATTTATTTTTGTTTTTTTATTTCTATTGAGGCCATAGTTTTTTATGTAGTGTTTGGCTAGAGTTGAGTGATTATTGTATAAGTTTTCTGTCTGCTAGGCTATCCCTTTCCTGTTCTTTTGGCTTTTGTTGGAACTTCTTTTGGTCTGCATACATTGGCATTCCTGTGTTCCTAGTCTTATCAGCTCCAAATCTGGGATATGTGAGGCAAAAGGAAAACCCAGGGAACTGTGGTGTTCCTCGTGTCCCAAGGTTCCTAGCTGGTCTACCTTTTCTCCGCCTTTCAGTCTTTATGTTTATAGTTTTATATTTATATAATGTCCAGGGTTTTTCATTGTACTTTGTGGGAGGAGTAGGGAAAAGTACTCCATCTTCCCAGAAGTAAAGTCCTGGTTGACGTTAAAAAAATAAATTCATTAACTTACTGCCTCTTGAATGGTTCCGATTTCCATTTTGAAATATCGAAATTTGAGCATTGTTATAGTGTCTGGAAAATTAACTTGATTTTTAAAAATTTATAGTAAAAAATTAAAATTTTTTGTATGCTCTATGTGTTTCTGCAATCATATTGGGGGATTCCTGTTTTGGGGGACAAAGAGTTCTTTTTTGATCTTTTAATTTCAAAAATGGGAAAAACAAGGTATATTTCTTGGACATATTAAATAACTGATCTATTTTCCCTATTTGTTTTTAGCTTATAGTTGCAACAACATGTATGGGAGTAAACCATCCCATATTTTCTCGTAAAACTTTTGATTTTTGTATAGTGGATGAAGCCTCTCAAATTAGCCAACCAGTTTGCCTAGGGCCACTTTTTTTTTCACGGAGATTTGTGTTGGTGGGGGATCATCAGCAGCTTCCTCCCCTGGTACTAAACTGCGAAGCAAGGTAAGCAGACATTGAGGTTTCAATTTTAAACTAGGTTCTTTTTAAGGGACAGTTTCAGTACACTGATAAGCCTGAACTGGATTTGTTGACAGAGCTCTTGGCATGAGTGAAAGCTTATTCAAGAGGCTGGAACAGAATAAGAATGCTGTCGTACAGTTAACCGTGCAGTACAGAATGAACAGGTATTTGTAACAGTGTCAGCTACGAGTGATTTTTGTATTTGTGTTCATCACTAAAACTAAAATTATTTTGTAATTCCCTTAGCAAAATTATGTCCTTAAGTAATAAACTGACATACGAAGGAAAGCTGGAGTGTGGATCAGACAAAGTGGCCAATGCAGTGATAAACCTACCTAACTTTAAAGATGTAAAGCTGGAACTGGAGTTTTATGCTGATTATTCTGAAAATCCTTGGCTTGTTGAAGTTTTCGAGCCAAAAAGTCCTGTTTGTTTCCTTAACACAGACAAGGTAAAAAACAAACATTTTCTTTAGTTTTTCTCCTTTTGCTCTGTTATTTGTATTCCTCAGTTTTCAGTAGCGATTGCTTCCTTAGAGCTTATCAGTTAAAACTAGTGTACTTCTTGTACTTTAACACAAAAGAATCTTTTCTTTCTATAGACTCACTGTCTTTGGGAGGTTTATTCTGGTGATTGATAGATGTCAAAATTGACTTTTGAAGTCAGAAAGGCAGAAAGTGAACTCAACTGTATAATTACATTTCCGATAAAAGAAATTGGCATTGATATTGTCAAAGGTCTGGGTTTACAAATGGACAGCAGATAGGATAAATTGATGTCCTTTTGATGATCTTTTTTAAAAAAACAGACTTTATTTTCTAGAGCAGTTTTAGGTCCACAGCAAAACTGAGCTAAAAGTACAGAGATTTCCCATATATCTCCTCCCCCCACCATATGCATCTAAAGATCTCTTTGCAAATCTGTCATTAAACAAAAAATCTGCACAAGGACTTTAAATGACTTGAGTCTTATTTCTGAGAACTAAGAACAAAGTTTTGACCCTATGTTCCTACAGTTTGTTTTATATAGTGCTTCTCATTATTGATTTGGAAGTCTATATAAGTTCAAATAAAAATATAATGACCAATTATATGTATGCATGTTATTCTCAAATAGGTGTATCTCTTGTTATCAAGATGGTGGAGCCAGCTGGTTGCTAAAAATAGGGCCTTACCATGTGTGTACCATGGTGGGATTTTCATTCTCTTGGACATTGCCTTAGTGTTTCAGGATGAAGAATTAACACCTAGGCTCTGGGATATTTAGTCACATAAACTGATCTCACAAATGACTGCTTTTATAAACCACAACTCTAATTTATTAGTTATAATTTACCATTTTTTAACCTCACCAGTGATATTTCAGAGTCTTTTTTGCTACTCACATTTCCTCTTTCTTGGCATCAGGATTCCAAATAAGTTGTATTAAAATTAATCAAGGTTACTAAGGAATGATGTAGGAGCAAAACAATCCTTTGAAAGTTCTACTAGGTATGGTAGAAACTGGGGAACCTTATCGCTCCATTATTTGTATGAAAATCAACAAGAAAATGGAAAGGGCACAGATATTAGAGCCAGATCTAAGTTTGAATCCTAGTGCCATGATTTATTGTGAGGCTTGGGCAGGCTACTCATCTCTTCTGACCTTTGATTCCTATAAAATGGGGGGTAACACAGTAAAGTTTGTGAAGCCCAGTGTATGGTCGGCTTTCATAGAGATTTTAGTCTGAACTCTATGTAGCGTGTTTAAGATGGGTTGCCTCTGGGTGGCTTTCTGAAAGTGACTAATATCATTCATTTTTGTTAATTCTTTTACCTTCAACTTTAAGATGAAGATATTTTTCATCTGTTTCCACATGTGGTAGTACCATCTCTATGGCCACCTGTGTACTGACAGTACTCTTAACTTCAGAGATTGTTTTGCAAGCAGGATGCGTATTTTTTCTATTTAGGTTCCAGCACCAGAACAAGTTGAAATGGGAGGTGTCAGTAATATAACAGAAGCCAAACTCGTTGTTTTCCTGACCTCAATTTTTATTAAGGTAACATAGAATTTAATTTTGAGGGCTAATTAATATTAAGGTGCAGAGTAATAGAATATTAGAATGCAAGGAACTTTAGATCTGAAGTTAACTTTTGTTTATTAAGATAGAGGAATGAAGGCTGATTGTTTTTATTTTGAGAACATTTATCTAAGACGTAATTTTTTATACAGTAATGGCATTTTGAGTTTCCATTTAGGATAACTTTGTAACATCAGATAATTCTGATTGTTTCAATTTAGTGCTGAAGTCAGTATGATTGGCAATTGGAAACCTCTGGTGTAAGGGATAGCAGAAAGTAAAATGTATTTCTTTTTTTGGTATGGCAACACTGTTTTGGTGGCATACAAACCATTATACTGCCATGAACTTCTAAATAACAAGGGAACAATGTTTGAGGAAATTATTTCATTTCAGGAAATGTGGATATGGCCTTAGAGTGAACTCAATAATTGTATTTAGTCCTTGTGATAGGAACATGTATTATAAACATCAATTGGGCACATTATGTAAACATTTAATAAATTTAGTAAAGCTTAAATAACAAAAGTCAGGATTTTTTCACTTTAAATTGTGTTCTTTTCTGTTTAGGCTGGTTGTAATCCCTCTGATATTGGTATCATTGCACCATACCGGCAACAGTTAAAAGTCATCAATGATTTATTGGCACATTCTTCTCTTGGGATGGTCGAAGTTAATACAGTAGACAAATACCAAGGAAGAGACAAAAGTATCATTCTAGTATCTTTTGTTAGAAGTAATGAAGATGGAACTGTGAGTTAATTGTATTTTCTGCTTTGTTGTCTGATTTGTATTTTATATTTGTTTGGGACATTATTTACCTCTCTTTTTTTATTTTCCTCTCTCTTTTTTAATTGTGGTAAAAAACACATAACATAAAAATCACCTTCTTAACTATCTTTTAATGTACAATTCACAAGTATTAAGTATATTTACAGTGTGTGCAACACATCTCCAGAACGTTTTCATTTTGCAAAACAAATTCTATACCCATGAGCAATTCCCTAATTCCCACTCTCTTCTTTCCCTGGCAATCACTTTCTGTCTCTGTGAATTTGACAGAATTTTATGAATTCTGTGAATTTTCCATATAAGTGGAATCATACGGTATTTGTCCTTTTGTAAGTGGCTTATTTCACTTATCATAATGTCCTCAGGGTTCATCCGTGTTGTAGCATGTGTCAGAATTTCCTTCCTTTTAAAGGCTGAATATTATTCCACTGCATGTATATACCACATTTTGTTTATCCATTTATCCATCAGTGGACATTTGGGTTGCTTCTACCTCTTGATTATCGTGTTTGGAGCATTTTAAACATATAGGCTTCCCTAGATATACTTTCAAATTTATAGATAATTCCAGGCTTTGTTTTGTTTTTTTGCATTTTTATCTCTCCTTGACTCATTTTTCTTGACTATGTGATAGCTTCATATGGTTTTTAAGATACATGCAGTAGAGGGACTTGCCTCGTCATCCAGTGGTTAAGACTCCACACTTCCAATTCAGGGGCTGTGGGTTTGATCCCTGGTCAGCGAACTAAGATCCCACATGCCACGCTGTGCAGCCAAAAATAAATAAATGAAATAAAATACACATAGTAGAAAGTCTCCCTTCTTCCCGGTTCCTCTACTTAGTTCTTACCCTCACAGATAATCACATGTTTGGTTTTTTGTTTTTGTTTTTTTGGTAACCTTCTACGTTTCTTTAAGCATATGCTTAAAGATATGAATCAGTATTCATATTTCCCTCCTTTTTTGCACAAAAGGTAATATATACACTATTCTGGACTTTGCTTTTTCCACTTGACAGCTTGGAGATCTTTCCATGTCATTACACAGAGATTTCATTCTGTTCTTACAGATGCATAGTTTTCTACTGTGTATATGGGTCACGGTATATTTAACCACTCCTCTGAGTCTTCTACTATGACGAGTTTCTATTACTGTTAAAAAACAATGCTACACTGGGGCTTCCCTGGTGGCATGGTGGTTAAGAATCCACCTGCCAATGCAGGGGACCACGGGTTCGACCCCTGGTCTGGGAAGATCCCACATGCCATGGAGCAACTAAGCCCATGTGCCACAACTACTGAGACTGCGCTCTAGAGCCCGTGAGCCACAACTACTGAAGCCCGTGTGCCACAGCTACTGAAGCCTGCGCGCCTAGAGCCTGCTCCACAACAAGAGAAGCCACCACAATGGGAAGCCCTCACACCGCAACAAAGAGTAGCCTTGCTCGCCACAACTAGAGAAAGCCTGTGCACAGCAAAGGAAGACTCAACACAGCCAATAAATAAATAAAATCTATTAAAAAGAATTTTTTTTAAAAAGAAACAGAGAGCTTGTTTCATAGATATTTAAAAAAAAATGCTACACTGAGTGGAGATAACTTCAATTCTTTTTTTTAAAAAAAATATTTATTTATTTGGCGGAGCTGGGTCTTAGTTGCGGCACTTGGGATCTTCATTGCTGGGTGCAGGATCTTTAGTTGCGGCATGTGGGCTCCTAGTTGTGGTATGCGGGATCTAGTTCCCCGACCAGGGATTGAACCCGGGCCCCCTGCATTGGGAGCACGGAGTCTTAACCACTGGTCCACCAGGGAAGTCCTAACTTCAATTCTGTATTATATATATTTAATATTTTAAAATTTTTAGTATATTTTTATTATATGTATTTAATAATTTTAAATTATGGCTAGGATATCATACCCACGATAAAATACTTGAAGTTGGCACTGTGGGCAAGTTTTTCCAACTGTCTGGATTTTAAATGTGTTGATGAATCTTTTTTGCAGTATATGTTTTTGAAAACTGCTCAAAAAACTCAAATAAATAAGAAAACTCAAAGAAAGAAAATTACAATTTCTTTCAGCTTGGTGAACTATTGAAAGATTGGCGGCGTCTTAATGTTGCTATAACCAGAGCCAAACATAAGCTGATTCTCCTGGGATGTGTGCCCTCACTAAACCGCTATCCTCCTTTGGGGAAGCTACTTTATCATCTAAACTCAGAAAAATTAATATCCTTTTTGTTTTATATATGGTCACATTTGATTGTGCTATTGTGAGTACTTCATTTATGTATTTGTATAAACTAAAACTCGGTGTCTCGTGTTTTCCATGGGCATATTTCAAAAGATCTGATTCTGCAAAGGAAAGAGAGAAAACAAATCACAGGAAGTAATTTTAAGCAAAAAGTGAAATAATGAACGTGGTGGTGAAGGATAGTTTGTGAAATGAGAAGGGGGAAAAAAAGGGACTTGATTATTTGCCTTAGGAACAGGGTGCATGTTTCCTAGAATACATCTAGGAAAACTGGTTATCCCTTCTGGTTCCTCTCCCCTCAATTTATAACCTTTTAAAAAAAAAATCTAGGACAAAGTATTATATTTAAAAATGGAGATTATTACTTGTCATACTGTATTAATAGATTATTTTAAAAATAGGTCATCTCTTTAAAAAATTATATGTAGGTCTCAGGCTAATAAGATATGTAAACCATATTGCTTAAGTATATTATTATCCATAGAGTGCCATAAAAATCTTTACAATTTTTTTAGCAGCCCTGTAAACCAAATTACAGAATGTTAGATAATAATGTCATATATGTTTTTATGTAATTCCACATTGTGTTAAATATATCTTCCTTAATTTATTTTACATCATTGATCTTCCATCAGGAGAACATGAAAGTCTTTGTCATATATTGGGTGATTTTCAAAGAAGATAAAGCACTGTTTTCCTTGCTTTTTCCAAACCATCATGATCTTCTCTAACTGTTGCCTATTTATAATTCGGATATGCTGTAAAATCAGTGCCTGGTTACACTGTGAAGATAACTTTTATCCCAAGGGTAAGAAATGATGTAAATATACTCTTTCAGAGTTCCAGTTTTTTTGTTTTATTTATTTTTTGGTATAACCTTGTTAAGCATAAAGTTCTATTACCATACAAAATTTAACATAGTATTTTTTTAGTACAGGTGAACCAAAACTGAAAAGTCTAAATTTATAGGTATTATAAATGTGGTTTTGTATGATCTAGAGTTTGATAAATTTCTACCACCTTTTAAAGCTGGGATGAATTTTTCAATCTGAGGCTTAAACCTTTAAGTCTAAATTTTCAAGATTAATTTGATCTTTTAGATTTTTAATCATATTTTGTTTATTCGAAAGATTAGGTAAGAAAATTGATTGCTTTTGTCATTTAAGGACAATCTTGTGATGATGAGAACATAAGTAAGACGTTTTTCTGTATTTTGAGGTCCCTGATTCAAAGGCCATTCTGCTGGTTTTTTTCCTGACTTTTGCTTTCTCCTATCAGAGATGTTTTCACTTTAAACCTAGTCTTTTAAATTATCACTGATAAATGTATTATTTCCAGTTAATTTCTGATTCTCCTTACTCTCCCACTTGTTATTTTCACTTTTCAGTATTCTAGTGAAAGGAAATAATTCCTACTGTTCTTTTGAGAAGAAATTTTGTTTGCTGAATTGATGACAAATTAAAAAGGTGTATTCCTATTTTCACTTATTCATGTTCATATGCCCCTTAGTTTTAGGGCATTTCTCAATTTTCTCTTCTGGTATAAAAATGTTTTGTAAAACAGTTACCTCAAAGTGCTTGATTACTTATATTGTGACCAATTTTAACCTTAGTGTATCCATCTTTGGCAGGGAGATCTCTCACTTCTCTCAAATGTTTTCTTTTTAATGAATGTTAAGTATGTTAAAAATTGCTGCCTCTACCTCACATGTTTTAAAGAAATTATTACTTGAAGATTTTATTAAATAAATTGTTCTCTTACTGTTAGATCTTACAGTGTCAATTATTAATACTAAATAATAATTAAGTTCAGGGTTGTCCACAATTTTTTCCAGTGTTGAGAACTGAAATATTGATAATGCTCTAAAGCTGAAACCAAGGAGTGTTGACATTATAAAGAGATTTATGAAGGACACACAGGATGGAGTTGATCATGGAGATACTATGGATTAGACAGGAAAAACTAGGAAGTTTACAGAGATAAGGCTTAAATATTGGTTAGATATTCCTGGGAGTGAGATGAATAATGTAAATTCTTTTGGTTCCATCAGTGGTTGCTTTACAGATTTGTATGGCCTGCAAAGCCCTGTGGAAGAAGAGCCCTGGGAGGGGTTCCATGTTTCTTGTCATTTGGGATTCTGTCTTTTTTTTTTTTTTTTGCGGTACGCGGGCCTCTCACTGTTGTGGCCTCTCCCGTTGCAGAGCACAGGCTCTGGACGCGCAGGCCCAGAGGCCATGGCTCACGGGCCCAGCTGCTCCACAGCATGTGGGATCTTCCCGGACCAGGGCACGAACCCGTGTCCCCTGCATCGGCAGGCAGACTCTCAACCACTGCGCCACCAGGGAAGCCCTGGGACTCTGTCTTGATTACAAGAGTCTAGCCACTTAGTTGAAAGAGTTAGGATTCGTCTTTTATATATAAGATGCTGTGAGTTGGAGGCTTGGGGTGAGCTGTAAGTTAAACCCAGACTGGGCCATCAAATTGCTAATAGTGCAGTTTAAGTATGACATCCACGCCAAGGACTAAGACAGCAGTGGCTACCAGTCTCTAATGTTATTGGGCAGTCACTTTGTGCAGGTCCAGATCAAAAGCATCATTAGCCTAGACAAGGTCTTCCTTATAGTGTAAAGCCAGGATGTGATGACAGTGTAGCCATTCCAGTGGCCCCATTCCTGAAAATCAGTTCAGAGTTCCTGCCTCCTTACCTCTCTTGCTGCCTCCTCTGATTCCTTTCTTCCTCGTCTCTCACTCTCTAGAGACGGGTCTTTCCCAGAGCTCTGTGTTTGGTCTGGTCCTGTTCTCCCTCCTTGGACAGTCACTGCCTCCAACCATGACCTATGTAGCTGTTTACCAAATCTGTATACCCCGCCATGTCTTCTGAATTCTAGTTATATCTGTGTTCCAGCTCCTGCCTTCAGAGTCTTCTGTGAGCACTTCCGAGTCAGCACATACAAAATGTAAATTTCCATCTTCATCTAATGCCTTCCTCTGTAATCTCTATTTCTGTCAAGGACACCATCTACCTCACATTTTCTGAGTTCGAAAGTCTTGGCATAATTTTCTTTCTTTAAATTTTTTTTTTCTAATTATAGAGTAGTACATGATTTTAGTGAGAATTTCAAACACTACAAATTTTAGAAAATTAAATTTCTTTGTAATCTTATCATTTAGTTATAACTACTGGTAGTTTGGTGTATGATAATCTGGACTGGTGCTTAAGAATAAAAATTGCCAGAACCACAACAAGAAACACATTTTGCATCATGACTCAGCATGAACATATGTACGTGCGTGCACCTTAAACAGTACTTTAACAAAATATTTACCCTTTTTATATGTGATATACCCTAATATTTTCCACTATTCCATTAAAAGCAAAGCTGGTTGCGGGGCTTCCCTGGTGGCGCAGTGGTTAAGAATTTGCCTGCCAGTGCAGGGGACACGGGTTTGAGCCCAGATCCGGGAAGATTCCACATGCCACGGAGCAACTAAGCCCGTACACCACAACTACTGAGCCTGCGCTCTAGAGCCCGCAAGCCACAACAGCTGAGCCCGTGCGCCACAACTACTGAGTCTGTGCTCTATAGAGCCCGTGTGCCACAACTACTGAATCCCGCGCACCTAGAGCCCGTGCTCCGCAGCAAGAGAAGCCACCGCAATGAAGAAGCTCGTGCGCCACAACAAAGAGTAGCCCCCGCTCGCCACAACTAGAGAAAGCCCGTGCGCAGCAACGAAGATCCAAAGCAGCCAAAAATAATTAATTTAAAAAAACAAAGCTGGTTGCAACCTACTAACATTCTTTTATATCCCACTAATAGGTTGGAACGTGTGGTTTGTAATGGAGGTCATTCTCCATTATTTCTTTGCGTATTTGTTCTAATGTACTTTTTTTTTTCTGGCTGCACTGCATAGCTTGTGGGATCCTAATTCCCTGACCAGGGATCCAGCCTGGGCCCATGGCAGTGAAAGTGCAGAGTCCTAAGCACTGGACTGCCAGAGAATTCCCTAATATACTATTTTGCTCTTCCCTATACATGTCTTTTTTCTTGTTTGTTGTATCCTCTATCTATATTTGTCTATTTCTCCAATACCATTTATGCAACTTCACCCAGACTGAAAGACTAGTATGCTACCTTCTCCAGAAAGCCTTTTCTGATTTTTTTCCTTCGAGAAAGAATTACTTCCATCTTTATATGTAGCTTTATACCACTTACTGCTTTTTTAGCAGCGGTAATAATATGTAGTATGCTTTATAATTTTCATAGATATTCTCTCAATTGAATTAAACCCTACAGAGTACCTAGCATAGATATTTCACGTTAGCATATGGCTCTGGGCAAGTCATTGCTAGAACCCAGATGTTCTGATTAGTAATTCAGCAATTTTCCCAGGTACTGTGTGTTTCCCATTCAGTGTTGTGTACATTTTCCAGGCGCTATACAAATGTTTAGAAGCATTACAATTGTTGGGAATTCCCTGGCAGTCCAGTGGTTAGGACTCCGTGCTTTCACTGCCAAGGGCTGGGGTTCAATCCCTAGTCAGGGAACAAAGATCCCACAAGCCACACAGTGCAGCCAAAAAGAAAAAAAAGCATTACAATTGTTAGTGTAAGCAAATCACATCTCAGGCCAGCTGGAAACCTTGTGGCATGATTTGACCAGCTGGTCTATGTAGCTTCAGTGGACAGCTTTTCTCATTAAAAAGACTGCTTGTAGCTAAGAGGATAGGCCCATCCAACTTCACTCAAGTCACCACTGACCCTTGGCTGATTGGGACTCATGATCCTGGAAAGTATGAACCAAGATGGACCCGGGGGGTGAAGTCTGCCTTTCCTGACTCTCGGCTCTTGTATAGATACTGCTTTGGCTTATTATGAAAGATTTTTACATAAAAATTATTTTTAAGGCTTTAACTAGCTTTCTTTTTATGATGAGCTTTAGAACATTATTATAAAACCTTTAAAAACACACACAAAAGTAGTATAATGAACTCCTGTATACCCATCACCCATATTCAACAGTTAGATTTTGCAGCAATTGTTTTCAACCTTTTTTTCCTTGCTGACATGTTTTAAAGCAAATTTTAGACATCATTCAATTTCATCCCTATATTTCAGTATGTGATGAGTTTTTAGAAAACAGTATTTTGTTACATGATTATATCTGTACGTTTAAAAACCTAGATTCTTAGTTTTAGTACATCAAGAGCTCAGAACAGATTAATATTCTAGTTTAAACCTATTAAGTGTAATAGGTTTTAAACATACACCCTAATTCCAATTCTGTTCAATACAAGGTGGCTAGAGTATCCAGCAAATATGTATTTTGGAGTTTAAGAACATCTTCCTCAAAGGAAGAAATATTTTTTGCTTTAAATAAAGCTGGTCTGTTACTGAACTAAATTTCTTTCCTACATGTTACCTATAAAGTCACTGGAGGGAAAGCAACCCAGAAAATAAAGCTCTTTTCCTTTGTTCTCATGGTTTTATAAAATAAATATATACTTAACATTATTTGCTTTTCTAAATGCACTTGGAACACAAATCCCTCCCTTTTTGCTCATCATTTGGAGAAGAGAAAAATGAACAAGTCAGTCATTTCAGTGTTTAACAGCAAGATGGTGGAAGGGGTTAGACTTGTCATCAGTTTTAGGCTCCTTCAAACACTGTAAAAACCACAGATGTATTTTGACATTATGAAAATGGAGGCTAGTTTTGTACTGGTTCAGATTCTGGCTCTGTTCCTTAATAGTACTGTGACTTTGGGAAAGTTATTTAATCTTTGAGGTTAGTTTCATCTGTAAAAGAGGTAAATAATTTATTCCTCATGGGGTGGTTCTGAAGATCAAATGAGGTTTTGGCCTAGGAACTGACCTTCACATACATGCTCATTGACCTTCACTTCCATGCTCATGGGCATGGAAGATGAATGGTGAAAGGGTGATGGGATAGTTGAGGAAATGAAATTTGACCCTGTCTCACATCATCACTGAAATTAATTCTGGGTGCACTAACAGGCCTAAATATTAAAGGCAAAACTATGTAATTCTTTTTTTTTTTAATATTTATTTATTTGGCTGCATCGGGTCCTCGTTGTGGCATGTGGGATCTCTCGTTGTGGTGCTCGTTTGGTCACGTGGGCTTCTCCCTAGTTGTGGTGTGCGGGTTTTCTCTTCTCTTGTTGTGGCATGCAGGCTCCAGGGTGTGTGGGCTCCAGAGCGCATGGGGTCTGTAGTTTGTGGCATGCGGGCTCTCTAGTTGAGGCGTGCAAGCTCAGTAGTTGTGGCGCATGGGCTTAGTTGCCCCGCGGCATGTGGGATCTTAGTTTCCCAACCGGGGATCGAACCTGCGTCCCCTACATTGGAAGGTGGATTCTTTACCACTGGACCACCAGGGAAGTCCCAAAACTCTGTAATTCTTTAAAAGAGAGTATCTTCATGACCTTGGAATAAGGAGGATTTCTTAAGACACTAAGGCATAAACTATAAGTTCACTATAAGAAAATTAAGAACTTATATTTAATCAACGGTTGCCATAAGGAGAGAAAAAAAATTAGCCAGAAGATAGTGGCAACACATAACTGACATCAAATTAGTATGTAGAATATTAAGTAACTTGCACAAGCCAATAAGAAAAAGGTAAGTCAATAGAAAAACAGGCACCATTTCTTTGCAAAAGTGAAATTCCAAATAGTAAACATAGGTAAAGTGCTCAATGTCATCAGTAATGAGATAAATAAAAAACAAACCTGCCATGCAATCACCTACCCACAAGACGCAAAAAAATGAAAAAATCCTCAAAATTCTAAGCATTAGAATGGACACAGCAACAGAAAAACAACACTGCTGATAGGAGTGTAAATTATGAGAAATTTTGAAAACAGTTTGGCATTATCTAGTAAATTTAAAGAAAGGCATACCTGATTTCTAGTAATTGTATTCTTATGTACATGCCCTAGAGGCTCTCCTGCATATAGGGACCAGGAAGTATGTAAACCTGAAAACACCCTAACCTGGAAACTCCTCATGGACATGGATGATGTTGAACAAAAGAAACAAGTAATGTTCGTAATGTTATTCCACTTGTGAAAAGTTTGTAAACAGGCAAAAATAAACTATATTGATTAGGGGCACATACTTACGTGGTAGTAACATGCAGAAAAGCAAGGAAACAATTGTCATAGAAGTCAGAATCGTATTTATTAACACTTCTAGGGGGATTGTGGCTAAAGGCCTTTCCCCCAGGGAAGATGACTCTCTTGTTCTATGCTCTCTTGATCTGGTGGTGTTTTCCCAGCTGTTCACTTTATGATTCTTTAAATGTATATATGCTTTGTAAATTTTTATCCATGTATGATTATCTCACAATAAAGAAAATTAAAAACCAAAAGAAGTAAAGAAACATAATAGAACTGTATGCGGACCAATGTGATGAAGAGATAAACATTGCTCCATTTCCTCGAAATATCAGTCTATTTCTAACTCGGACACCGTTTTAACAATCGCTGGGCTTCCCTGGTGGCGCAGTGGTTAAGAATCCGCTTGCTAATGCAGGGGACACAGGTTCAAGCCCTGGTTCTGGGAAGATCCCACATGCCGCGGAGCAACTAAGCCCGTGAGTCACAACTACTGAGCCTGCACTCTAGAGCCCGCACGCCACAACTACTGAAGCCCACATGCCTAGAGCTCGTGCTCCGCAACAAGAGAAGCCACTGCAATAAGAAGCCCGTGCACCACAACGAAGAGTAGCCCCCGCTCGCCGCAACTAGAGAAAGCCCGTGTGCAGCAACGAAGGCCCAACACAGCCAAAAATAAAAAATAAATTTTAAAAATATATTCTTAAAAAAAACAAAAAACAGTTGCCGATCTAACTAGGTAATAGCTCAGTTTCCCCAAATTGATATAACTTAAACCTAGTGTCATCTGACCACGAGAGTTTTTACTCCCTGAAATGAGAAAACGCTGGCTTTATCTCTGCACCTTTCCCTCGATTACTGAGACCATTCCTCGTTGCTTTTTATAAACCAGTGGATTCACTGGTGGTCCCCTGCGAGTTAGTTGGTGAAGAAGGGAAGCGGTCAGGTGTGTTCGATTAAACCCAGCCGGACCCAGTAGATGAAAACGTTTGCACGTGACTCGCATCCCCTTGGAAATGCAGCCCTAGCGCTCCGGCGAGGCCCCCAGGGTGAGAGACCAGGGTCCGCCCCCCTGCTCCTCAACGCGAGGTCCTCCTCAACGCGAGGTCCTCCTCAACGGGAGGTCCTCCTCAACGCGAGGTCCTCCTCAACGCGAGGTCCTCCTCAACGCGAGGTTCTCCTCACGCTCCTTTTCCTTCTCCTTCCGCTCCGGCTGGATCCGAAGTGGCTCAGAGAGGGTGGATTTCTCCGCTGCCGGCTTCAGGCTCCGTGGCCCCCCGCCCCACTCGGGCGCCGCGGGACCGCCCGGCCGTCCTCCCGCCGCCGGGAGCGCTGTGGGCCGCAGCGGGCCTGGTCGCAGACGCCGTGGCGGCCGCCGCTCGCCTGAAGGGAGCTGCTGGCGGGGCCAAGGGAGTCCCCGCCCGAGACCGCGTCGCCGCCGTCGCCGCCGCCACCGCCATCGACATGGGTAAGCGGAGCAGGCCGAGAGCGGACGCCCGGCCCTCCGTGCTGGGCCGAGGGCTCGGCCGGGCCAGGAGGACTGGTGGTGTGGGCATGGAGGCCTCGGGGTCGGGACTGGGGTCCGAAGCCGGGTTTGGGCCTGGGCGGAGGCAGCCGGGGACGCCCGGGCGCCCGCGGTCGCCATGGCAACGCGCGGCCGCCCCTCGTTCCCCCTCGCCCCCTTCCCCGTTCAGGGGCCTAATGGCAGAGGTTTGGTGGTCCGTCGGCTTACGGGGAGCGAGGACAGGGCCGGCCGGGGTGCAGCTCCCGGGTCGGGGGAAATAGTCGGGGACGGGCGATGACTTTTCAGGTTTGGGGGTGGCGGAGGGAAGCGTCTCAGGTTTGGGCTTGGGTTCCAGACGCAGAAGGCGGGAGAGGGGCAGTGATGCCGCGCAGGACCCCGGGTGAGCCTTCCGTGAGGGGGTTGGGGCGCCCCGAGCCCTTGGGCAGCCTTGCTGGCTGGCAGGCAGGGAGGCAGGGAAGGGGTTCTACAGGCAAGATGCGGGAACCGGCCTTTGGGCGCGTGTGGGGGCTGCAGCCCGGGCGGGGCGCGGCTGGGGTGCAAACGCTCCTCTACTCGGGAGCTGCCGGCGCCCACCAGGACCTACCTTCGAGCAGTTATAAAGGCGCCCTTTGTCTGGTTGTCGCATCGTACATTACGGATTGTGATGGGCACTGTTAAGAAAAATGAGAATTGCTGCAGATTATGAAACATCGACTGGTTTCGTCCCCGAAAAAAGAGGGAGTCATACCACGATGCATATTTGAAGCAATGATGTCTTGTGTGGAGATTCTCCACCAGCTAGCTTGGTCGTAGCAGTTGTGACTGTTTGCATTTTAAGTTGCTTAGGATTCAGTGTCACGCTTCACGCCTGGCTATCTGTGGTCAGAAGTAAAATACTAGATCATTGGGAACCCTGGACTTTTTATCCAGTGAAGGAAAAACGGACATTTGGTTTACTTGGACTAGTAAATTTGTCAGGGATTATGAGACAGTATGCTAAGTGCTTTATTTTTTTACACTTCATTTTGGCATCTGTGTTTGCTGAAAATATTTCTGCCAGTCACAACAGCGATGAGAGTATGGGGAAGCATCTGAATTTATAAGAAAACTGAGAATAAAATTTGTGGGAAAGAAAAATTTTTGTGAATTGAAAGTATCAGGTAAAATCAGTTTTAAAAAAATGCATCGATTACCTTGATATTCAACTGGATCAGCTGTGTGGAAGGTCAGGAAACCTTAAGGTGAAACTGGACCCTGCTTTTATTTCCTCTGGGAAAATAAAGGAGTCCTGCAATACAGAACTACAATTGCAATGAAAAGAGACAAGATAGAAAGAGGGTTAAATTGAGTGAGAGTTGAATGGCTTCTCTTGTGTCCCCCTATTTTATATACCTGTCATGTTTGTTATGGGTGAAATTGGAATCTTAGAATTTTAACTACCTTTTATTGTATTGCCAGTTTATTCTGAACATTTTTTTGCTTTTGGATTCATCTTTGATGGTTCCTGCTGTCTGCCTTTGCATGAACCCTTAAACATGTTGTCTGTTACTCTTATCTCCAGAGAAAGATTTAAAAAAACTCATTCTCCCTGAAGAGGTACCACAAAAGTAAAATAAATACCCTAGAATAGCCAATTTGCAGGATCTTGAGAATAATTCATAAACTTTGGCTGGAGTGAGCATTGTTCTATGGTATGCATGAGAGACATAAAAAGAAGTTAACTAGGGGTGTTTGTTAGGAAGACTTACTTGTCCACCAAGGAAAAACCAACCACTGTTGGTTTTACAGGGGAAGGAAAGGGTTTGTATAGTTTACAATGTCAGTTCTTGCAAGTGATGTTGGACTCCTTTCTTGTGCTTTCAGCTACAAAAGACCCTACAGCTGTAGAGAGAGCAAACTTGTTAAACATGGCTAAACTCAGTATTAAAGGACTCATTGAATCTGCTCTAAGCTTTGGCCGCACTTTGGATTCTGATTACCCCCCCTTGCAGCAGTTCTTCGTTGTTATGGAGCATTGTCTGAAACATGGTCTTAAAGGTATTGTGAGATTTTTTTTTAAAAAAACCAACTATAGAACCTCCCCCCTCCCATCTTAAATATCCTTGAAAATGTGATTTTTTTTGAGGCCATAATTACTTTAAAAATACTGGGTGGGTTGGTTTTAGGAGAAAATACCCTACTACTTTATGTTTTCTAATGGGTGGTCTTCAGAAAATCCTTAGTTGTCACTGTTTTGTAAAAATGTATTTGTATACTCTTTTGTTTTAAAAAAAACAAATTATTTATTTATTTGGCTGCATCGGGTCTTAGTTGCAGCATGCCGGCTCTTTGTTGCGGCACATAGGCTTCTTTAGTTGCGGCGCGCGGGCTCCAGAACACTCAGGCTCAGTAGTCGCGGCACGCCGCTTCGTTGCCCTGTGGCATGTGGGATCTTAGCTCCCTGACCAGGGATTGAGCCCACGTCCCCTGCATTGGAAGGTGGATTCTTAACCACTAGACAACCAGGGAAGTCCCTGTAAAAAGTGTATTTGATTTTAAAATGTTTTCAACATACTCTGAGCTGATTTCCATTTTCTAGGACAACTATAGAGTTATATAGAAAATCTTAAGCTTGGTGATTCTGGTATGAACTATAATTACTAGTTTGAGCTCTCTTGAACAAATACATTAAAATAGTTGATTGTTGAAATATGAACCTCCTTAGTGCATGGAAACATATCTAGAAAAATTGTCTTCTGGATTGGGTTATTGTAGAAATGTGAGTGCTCCCTGAAAATGATGATAACAGTGGATATTGTATTCATCTATACATTTCACGTTGAATTACTTTTATGTGTTTGTATTATATTACTGTTCTTTTACATATAGTAACTACTTTGATCTCTGGTTCATATGATCAGAGCTGTGTAGAGGGCTATGTAAGAGATGTGTACTAAGGTGACTATTAAAAAAGAAGAGAAGCTTGCTTTTATGTTGGTATACCAGAAGCCTGGGTAAGTTGGAAAGTTCTTTTTTAAAAAAAATTTTAATTGAAATATAGTTGATTTACAATATTGTGTTAGTTTCGGGTGTACAGCAAAGTGATTCAGTTTTGTATATATATTATATATATGTATATTTTGTATATCTATATTCTTCTTTAGATTCTTTTCCATTATAGGTTATTATAAGATATTGAGTATAGTTCCCTGTGCTATACAGTAGGTCCTTATTGCTTATCTATTTTATGTATAGTACTGTGTATATTTTAATCCCAAACTCCTAATTTATTCCCCCCTCCTTTCCCCTTTGGTAACCATAAATTTGTTTTCTATGTCTCTGAGTCTGTTTCCCTTTTGTAAGTAAGTTCATTTGTATAATTTTTTTCGATTCCACATATAAGTGATATCATATGATACTTGTCTTTCTCTGACTGACTACTTCACTTATTATGATGATTTCTAGGTCCATCCGTGTTGCTGCAAATGGTATTATTCCATTCTTTTTTATGGCTAATATTCCATTGTGTATATATACCACATCTTCTTTATCCATTCATCTGCTGATGCACACTTAGGGGGAGTTTCTGACTATGGCACATGAGAGTAGGGGTAAATGTGAAAAGCAAAAGAGGAGATTTACCTAAACATGGTTTTAATAAAATGTACTTTAAACTGAGAAGGAACCTTGGCATCGAAATTTGAGAAACCCTATATGTGATGTTATTAATGTATTCATTTTAAAATTAAAATTTGTTTATATTTATTGAGATATAATTGACATATAACGTATTAGTTTAATGGGTACAACACGATTCAGTATTTTTATATATTGTGAAATGATCACCACAATAAACCCCGTTAACATCCATTACCACACATAGTTACAAGATTTTTTTTCTTGTGATGAGAACTTTTAAGATTTACTCTTAGCAGCTTTCAGATATACAATACAATCTACAATACAGTAACTGTAGTCATTATGTACATTACGTCCCCAGGACTTCTTTTATAACTAGAAGTTTGTACCTTTTGACCATCTTTACCCATTTCATCTATTCCCACCCTCCAACCCTGGCAACCACCAATCTGGAACGTGTATCTATGAGTTTGGTTTTTTTGTTTTTGTTTCTTCAGATTCCATTTTTTCTTTAATTAGAGTTAAAATAATTTTAAAAATTATATATAATAGTGAAATATGTTCTTTTTGTACATGAATCAAACAACATAGAAGCACATGGAGCAAAAACATAATTTCCCTTCATTCTCTTCCATTCATCTCTCTAAAGGAATCTTTGTCACTCTTCTAGCTCTTTTCTGTTTTTCTTTCTTTCTTTTTTAAATTGAATTATAGGTGATTTTTTCTTTTACTCTAAATAAAATCATGCTGTATTATTCTGTGACTTTCTTTTTTTCCCTATTTAAAAAAAAGAAAAACTTAATGGTATGGTTTGGAGATTTTGCCATTTACATAGAGGTCTTTATCACATTCTTAATGGCTGTAAAATATTTCATAGTATATGTATACCATGACTTATTTAACTACTTTCCTCTTAATGTACACTTAGGTGTTTCCAGTTTTTTATCGTTAAAATTATGCTGTAAGGACATCTTTGGATATATATGTTTGTACACACGTGCTAAGATTTCTTTAGGATTCTTAGGAGTAGAATTATTGGGTCAAAGGATATAGGCAACTGATGTCTGTAAAACCTTCACTGATTAATCAAACAACAGTGAATGTGTTTGTTTCCCCACATTTTTCCTACTCTTGATATTCTCAGTCTCTGAATACTTCTTTTAATACATCAGGAAGTCAACAGTCTTATCTCAGGCCTTGAGTTTTAATTTGCTTTTTGAAAAACTTCCTTTTTATTAAAAAAAAAAAATAGTAGTGACATAGGTCTTTATTTTCCCCCAGCCTGCTGAAATGGAATTGCCAAATGATGGCCACGATAGTTACGTTTTAAACTCTTTTCTGAATATATTTTCCTTTACTTCCCAAAATATCATGAGGCATATCCTAACAGTCAAATGCCTATCTTGATCAACAGTTATAAAGCTACTTTGTGCTGATTGATTTTTCTCCCCCAGGGAAAATTGCCTATCTTGCTGGCTTTTGGGTGGTGCATATGATAGGCACATTGGATCTACCGGAGATCTGGTCAGTATTAGAAGGAAACATAGTGATTTCATGGTTTTATATTACCCAAATCTCACATTCAAATAAAAGGAAAAGTAAAGTCACAATTTTTTGTGTTTAAAAGTAAAATAACTATTTGTCCTTGGTTTATTGAATAAACTGGTAAAGATCAGCCTGCTAGGGCCACCAGTCTTATTTTTGTACTGGTAAAGAATGAGCCTATGGGACTTCCCTGGTAGTCCAGTGGTTAAGAATTGGTCTTGCAATGCAGGGGACGCCGGTTCAATTCGTGGTCGGGGAGCCAAGATCCCACGTGCCGCAGGGAAACTAAGCCCATGCACTGCAACTGCTGAGCCTGCACACCACAACTAGAGAGCCCGTGTGCTCTGGAGCCCTCACGCCACCAACTACAGAGCCCATGCACTGCAACTACTGAGCCTGTGCGCCACAGCTATCGAGAAGCCTGTGCAAAATAAAATAAATATCTATTAAAAAAAGAAAGTTAAAAAAAAAAATAGAATGAGCCTAGTTGTTCTTCTACTTTAATTACCTACTTGCATATTTCTGATATGGAAAAATGACCAAGGTGCATATTTCTGATAGGGAGAATATCAGAATCAACAGGCTTCTGATCAACAGGGCTGTGTAGTGATAAGAGAGGAAAGGTCTGTGAATAATTGTATGTTAAGTTAGAAATGTTGAAACTAAGTATTTAACATGAGGTTACTACAGTTTTGTAAGTTGAAGTTACATGCATTATATTTTCTTTTTAAAGTAAGAAAATCATTTTTGAGTTATAACAAAACTATATGGGGCCCTTTGGAACTGGTGGAGAAGCTCTACCCAGAAGCAGAGGAAATAGGAGCTAGTGTCCGGGATTTACCTGGTCTTAAGTAAGTAATCTTATTACTTGTTCCTCCTTCACCGTAGAAGTATATTTACTATTCCTTAAAAGTACCTCACAGTCTAGTTTATTATCTTCTCGCAGCCTTATGTAACCTTCTTGCATTCTCTTCTAATAAAATTCTGTTTATTCTTTATGGCTCAGCTCAAATTTCATTTCCTTTTTGAAATTTTTCTTAGCCCCTTCAATAAGAATTAAGTGCTGTTTCTTTTATACTGCTATCATTATAGTCACTCTTATATCACTTACTTAAATTCTGCATTGTATTGCAGGAAATAGGCAAGTTCTTTTAAGATAGGATGTATCAATTATGCATTTCTGTTTCCTGAGTATTAAGCTGGTTTGCAGTAGTAGGCAGTTGTACTATTTGAAGACTGATTTAAGCTAAATCCAGGGCAAAGGCTCAGGAGATTTGAGCTCTCTGATAAGCCATTTATGTACCACAGGACTTGTGCAAATTACTTTTTTTTATTCTTAAAATTGGGATCTATATTGTCATCTGCCTGTTTGACTAGATGAAGGTGCAGCTGGCCCTTGATATCTGTGGGTTTTGCATCTGCAGATACAACCAACTTTGGATCAAAAATATTCAAAAAAATTTTTTTCAGAAGGTTTCAAAAAGCAAAACTTGAATTTGCCACACCCTGGCAACTATTTACATAGTATTTACTTTATATTAGGTATTATAAGTAATCTAGAGATGATTTAAAGTATATGGGAGGATGCGCATAGGTTATATGCAAAATACTATGCCATTTTATATAAGGGGCTTGAGTATCCATGGATTTTGGTATCTGAGGGGGTCCTGGAACCAATCCCCCACAAATACTGAGGAAAAACTGTATATGAAATGTCCCAAAAGCTGAATGTTCTAGCTAGTGACTCATGAGTGTTGAAAATGTTTTGCAGGTGTTTTGCTGTAAAGGCTAAGGTTTTATGTTCTTCAGGGTGTGATTAAGATAGAAGAGCTTACTTTAGTTTATCTTAATTCTTGTGAATGAGATAACTTTTTTTTTATGCTTACCATTTTTTGTCAGATTATCAGTTTGCTTTCTCTTAGCTTTACAATTTAGGGTTTTGTATGTTGTAAGGAATATGGTAGTGTTTTCTGTTATCACAACATCCAGATGTTTGCAAGTTGTACTTAATTGAGTGATAAAAGTAAATAGCTATTCATTGAGTACTGTATCAGGGTAACAGGATAATTGTTTTACGTGACTTATCTCATTTAGCGCTTAAATCAACCTTAGGGTAGAGATTATTATCATGATAATTGTATAGATGTGAAAAGTAAAGATCAAAGAAGTTACAGTTAACAAGTGGCAGAGCCAGGATTTAAACCCAGTTTTTAGAATTAAATAGCAAGTGATGTTCACACTTCATATTTCTTACAATGGTATATAAGGTGTAGCAGTTTTTAACAAAGAGAGGAAAAGGGGAATTTAACTCTCAAAAAGAGAAATATAAGATTTGGCTTCATTTTAATATGAAGATACATGTTCATATTGTTTTTAAAAAGCCAAACAATAAATAAAATAAAATAAAATGCTAAGCCATAAGAAAGTTGTTAGCTGTTTGAAGTGAAGATTAAGTTTCCTCCCACATTACCTGCTAAAATGTTCTCTGCATAAGAAAACATAAAAGTGTGAATGATGTATTTCTCTTTAAAAAAGTCATACATGTTCTGTAAAACTTGGTTTTATTTTTACTAAATGATAAGAATTTGGATAAGAGAGATATGAGATTAACTTTTTTTTAGCAAGAGAACAAATCCACACTTTTATTTATTTACTTTTCAATAAGTTTAAATCCTTGAGGGGTATAGCATCACACCGATTTTGTGTCCTATGACCTTAGCAGGAAGGTTGCTTCAGAATTTGGTGCAAACCATGCCACTGTTACCATGAGCACAGGTTACCTTTCCCCAGATGGCTGGTTTTGTTCAGTTTGCCACAAGGAGTTACTGTGTTGTTTTTTGCTTTGTACACATCACATCTCTTGCCTAGATAGAATTAGTTTTCATCTTGAGCACAAACGCCTTCAGTTTTTTTTTTTACATCTTTATTAGAGTATAAATGCTTTACAATGTTGTGTTAGTGTCTGCTGTACAACAAAGTGAATCAGCTATATGTATACATATATCCACATATCCCCTCCCTCTTGAGCTTCCCTCCTACCCTCCTCCCTATCCCACCACTCTTGGTGGTCACAAAGCATCCAGCTGATCTCCCTGTGCTATGCAGCAGCTTCCCACTAGCCATCCATTTTACATTTGGGAGTGTATATATGTCAGTGGTACTCTCTCACTTTGTCCCAGCTTCCCCTTCCCCTCCGTGCCCTCAAGTCTGTTCTCTACATCTGCATCTTTATTCCTGCCCTGCCACTAGGTTCATCCATACTGGTTTTTAAAATTCCATATACATGCATTAGCATTCGGTGTTTGTTTTTCTCTTTCTGACTTACTTCACTCTGTATGACAAATTCTAGGTCCATCCACCTCACTACAAAAACTCAATTTCGTTCCTTTTTATGGCTGAGTAATATTCCATTGTCTATATGTGCCACATCTTCTTTATCCATTCATCTGTCAATGGACATTTAGGTTGCTTCCATGTCCTGGCTGTTGTAAATAGTGCTGCAGTGAACATTGTGGTACATGACTCTTTGAATTCTGGTTTTCTCAGGGTATATGCCCAATAGTGGGATTGCTGGGTCGTATGGTAGTTCTATTTTTAGTTTTTTAAGGAACCTTCGTACTGTTCTCCATAGTGGCTGTAGCAATTTACATTCCCACCAACAGTGCAAGAGGGTTCCCTTTTCTCCACACCCGCTCCAGCATTTATTGTTTGTAGATTTTTTGATAATGACCATTCTGACCTGTGTGAGGTAATACCTCATTATGGTTTTGATTTGCATTTCTCTCCTGATCAGTGATGTTGAGCATCTTTTCATGTATTTGCTGGCCATCTGTATATCTTCTTTGGAGAAATGTCTAGTTAGGTCTTCTGCCCATTTTTGGATTGGGTTGTTTGTTTTTTGTGATATTGAGCTGCGTGACCTGCTTGTATATTTTGGAGATTAATCCTTTGTCAGTTACTTTGTTTGCAAATATTTTCTCCCATTCTGAGGGTTGTCTTTTGGTCTTGTTTATGGTTTCCTTTGCTGTCTAAAAGCTTTTAAGTTTCATTAGGTCCCATTTGTTTATTTTTGTTTTTATTTCCCTTACTCTAGGAGGTGGGTCAAAAAGGATCTTGCTGTGATGTATGTCACAGAGTGTTCTGCCTATGTTTTCCTCTAAGAGTTTGATAGTGTCTGGCCTTACATTTAGGTCTTTAATCCATTTTGAGTTTATTTTTGCGTATGGTGTGTTCCAATTTCATTCTTTTACATGTATCTATCCGTTTTTACCAGCACCACTTATTGAAGAGGCTGTCCTTTCTTCATTGTACATTCTTCCCTCCTTTGTCAAAGATAAGGTAACCATATGTGCGTGGGTTTATCTCTGGGCTTTCTATCCTATTCCATTGATCTATATTTCTGTTTTTGTGCCAGTACCATACTGTCTTGATTACTGTAGCTTTGTAGTATAGTCTGAAGTCAGGGAGCTTGATTCCTCCAGCTCCATTTTTCTTTCTCAAGATTTCTTTGGCTATTCGGGGTCTTTTGTGTTTCCATACAAGTTGTAAAATTTTTTGTTCTAGTTCTGTGAAAAATGCCATTGGTAATTTGATAGGGATTGCATTGAACCTGTAGATTGCTTTGGGTGGTATAGTCATTTTCACAATATTGATTCTTCCAGTCTAGCAGAATGGTATATCTCTCCATCTGTTTATGTTATCTTTGTTTTCTTTCATCAGTGTTTTATAGTTTTCTGAGTACAGGTCTTTTGCCTCCTTAGGTAGGTTTATTCCTAGGTATTTTATTCTCTTATTGTTTCCTTAATTTCTCTTTCTGATCTTTCATTGTTAACCATAAGATCATCTCAATAGATGCAGAAAAAGCTTCTGACAGAATTCAACACCCATTTATGATAAAAGCTCTTCAGAAAGTGGGCATAGAGGGAACCTACCTCAACATAATAAAAACCATATACGACAAACCCGCAGTAAACATCATTCTCAGTGGTGAAAAGCTGAAAGCATTTCCTCTAAGATCAGTAACAAGACAAGGATGTCCACTCTCACCACTATTATTCAATGTAGTATTGGAAGTCCTAGCCACAGCAATCAGAGAAGGAAAAGATATAAAAGGAATACAAATGGAAAAGAAGAAGTAAAACTGTCACTGTTTGCTGATGACATGATACTATACATAGAAAATCCTAAAGATGCCACCAGAAAACTACTAGAACTAATCAACGTATTTGGTAAGGTTGCAGGATACCTTCAGTTTTAAGAAGAGCTGTGTGCTCCCTCTGTCCCAGAGACACTGCTTATAGCCAGCAAAAATGGCCTGGTCCACAGCCTTTCAGACAAATTTGTTGTTTTAAAAGTTCTGTTCCCATCAGGCCTCCACGTTAAAGAGGAGATTTAATGTTTTAAATGACAACTGGATAAAAGAAACATTTGAAAAATAGCAAGCAGTGATTCTTTCTAATAAATTAGCATGTAGATACCTTCTTAGCTTTGTCATGATTTTTAAAATTCAGATATAATATCAGTTATTTTTTGAGAGCATTATATTGCCTTTATTGATGCATTTTGCATAATCATATTTAGAGGGGTAAGCCTATTCTGATAAAATATTTCTTGTGGAATTATCCTCACTATTTAGAGAGTCATTTTTTCCAAGACATAAAATGGTACCTAGATGTCCTGTAGGTGCAGATTTATCTTAGAGACTTAAAAAGCTCCCAGGGATTGGTTTGCATGCTCAAAGAGCTGACTTGAAGCTCTAGAAACTAAGATAAAACCATGATAAATTGCTTTTTTCTTTATTAATGTGTACTTCAACAAAGATAGAAGATGTAGTCTATAATCTTTGGGCTGGGGCTCTTTTCTGACTGTTGGGTTTTGCTTTTCAGGACCCCCCTGGGTCGTGCAAGAGCGTGGCTTCGATTAGCTCTCATGCAAAAAAAAATGGCTGACTACCTGCGTTGCTTAATTATTCAGAGGGATCTCTTGAGGTACTACCATTAAATCATGTTCATTTTCATTTTTTATTTCATTTATATCCTGTTTCCCAAAAATGATTGAAGATATAATATGAAAGGATATGTAAAATACATTACGATGGCATAAAATAAAAGGAGGAGCAAAATGAGATAGAGAAGCATAGTGGAGACATAACGTGGATCAAGAACTAGCCTAAAAAATGAATACTGTAAGATTTTTATTGGCTGACAAGGTGGAAATTTATATGTCGTATTTCTAAGTTTTAATTTTTTCCTAAATTAGTTAATTCTATGAATAAAAATTTGTATTGGAATTTGGGGCTTTAATTCAGGAGGTTTCTTTTTAGATCTTGAATGTCCAAACTACTGCTTTGATTGTATTGTGGGCGCTTTTTAAACTGTCAGTTTAAATTGAAGGCCAAATGTTTAAGACAGACTTTCAAAGCAAGGATATCAGTTCTCAAAGGGAGTGGGCCCATGGCAGCCCCTCTCTTCGCCCTTGTTCTTTTAGAGTGCCTCTGTGATATTTTGGAGAATCTGGTCTTTTTTTTTTTAATGTTTTTCTTCTTTTAAACTTATTTTTTTTTTGGCTCCATCGGGTCTTCGTTGTGGAATGAAGGATCTTTTTTATTGCGGTGCTAAGGCTATTCGTTGCAGCGTGTGGGCTTCTTTCTAGTTGTGGCGTGTGGGTTTTCTCTCTGTAGTTATGGCACGTGGGCTCTGCAGTTGTGGTGTGCAGGCTCCAGTGCGCGTGGGCTGTGTAGTTTGCAGCACGTGGGCTCTCTAGTTGAGGCACAGAGGCTTAGTAGTTGTGGCTTGTGGGCTTAGTTGCCCCTCGGCACGTGGGATCTTAGTTCCCCAACCAGGGATCAAACCCTCATCCCCTGCACTGGAAGGTGGATTCTTTACCACTGGACCACCAGGGAAGTCCCTGGTCGTTTTTTATTTTACTTGTGACTCCAGTTGTACATCTTGGTTTTCCCATTTGTTAAATGAGAATGACCATGCTTTAAACGCCTTCAATTTCTCAACGATATTCTGAAGGTTAATTAAGGTGATTAAGTAATATACATGGGACTTCTTGAGGAAGGCATGAGACGGTGATAAATAGTTTTCTGAGTATTAGTTGTCAAGTCTTAGTTTTTAGGCTGTCCTATTTCTTTCACAAGTCTCTTGTTTGAACATTTTTTGGGATCTAGACATCCATAAATATCTTTAATGCTTATCTATTAAGAGCGCTTGCAATAGATATACCAAATGCATTGACTAGAAAATGGACTTGAAATGTTTTTTATGTTCGTTTCCCCACATTAGTCTTTATCCTAAGCGTCTTAATAAATCCTGGGATGAAAATTCAACTGTACTAAAAAGTATCGTAATCAGATCAGCAGCAGTCACTGTATCTTTCGAGAGTCACAAACATTCCAGGCCTCAATGCTGCTCCCTTCTTTTTTTAAATCTCTGCTTCTCTTTTCTCTCTCTCAAAATTCCTTTTCCTCTTTTATCTCCTTCAGTCTGTTTCTTTTACGTTTTCTTTATAGACATTTAAATCTCAAAAATTTTAAGTTATTTGCATATAGAAAGGCTAATTTCAAGTTACCTAATTTATATTGGTTCCATTCTTGTAATAAGGTATTGAGATTTTAAAATTTAGTTTTCAAAATAAATTTGTAATGTAAGATTTTTATTATTTTAATTTTCACAGTGAATTCTATGAGTATCATGCACTAATGATGGAAGAAGAAGGAGCAGTAATTGTTGGGCTGCTGGTTGGCCTGAATGTGATAGACGCTAATCTGTGTGTAAAGGGAGAGGATTTAGACTCACAAGTAAGTGAGAATGACTAGTGCCAAATGCAGAGTGTTTTCAGTTTGTACTGTTCCTCTTTGATCCAGGTATTACTCTAAGTTGTAAACAGTGCTGTTAAACACTAGAAAAAAATTAGGGATGAAAGTCAGTTGTATGTTAAAGGTACTTCTAGAATTTCCACCCTCTAAATAAGAATAACTTTATTTACTTTAGGTTGGAGTGATTGATTTTTCCATGTATTTAAAGAATGAAGAAGATATTGGAAATAAAGAAAGGTATGATTTTCATAAGTTATTTCACATGTTGTATTTTATATGTAGCTCTTTACAAATCAGTATGAGGTCCATCTGTTTGCAATGTGGTTTTTATTTCCTTTTTTTCTGTGTAGTTCCTGCTTTGTTTTGTTTTCACTTCCATTTACTAGGTTTACAAAGCAAAAATCACTTAGAAGGAGGTTTTAATCTGAAGTATGACTTTTGGTCATACCAGTAGTTCAGAGACCCATTTTCTTTTTTCTTTCTTTCTTTTTTGGTTCTGCTGCACGGCTTATGGGATTTTAGTTCCCCGACCAGGGATCGAACCTGGGCCCTTGTTACTGAGAGCATGGAGTCCTAACCACTGGACTGCCAGGGAATTCCCCGGAGACCCATTTTAATAGTCAGCTCTGTTTCTGTGATAAAAAGAAATGAAAGCTTATTATTCATAAGCTTACAAATGCTGGTTTATTTTAAGACATAACGGTAATCATTTCACAATATTAAATGTATCATATTAACATGTTGTACACCTTAAATTTACACAATGTTATATGTCAAATATATTTCTTACAAAAATAAATGGGGCTTCCCTGGTGGCGCAGTGGTTGAGAGTCTGCCTGCCGATACAGGGGACACGGGTTCGTGCCCCGGTCTGGGAAGATCCCACATGCCGCGGAGCGGCTAGGCCCGTGAGCCATGGCCGCTGAGCCTGCGCGTCCGGAGCCTGTGCTCCGCAGCGGGAGAGGCCACAACAGTGAGAAGCCCGCGTACCGCAAAAAAAATAAATAAGTAAATTAAATAAATAAATGCAAAAGTATTTAAAAACATACTAATGGTATTGTTTAATATTAGCAAATAATTTATTTAACAAAAGTTATAGTTATTTAGTACACAGCTTGCTGCTATATGATTATAAAGATTCTTGAATTTTATTTTAAAGGCAAGATAACGTTGTTTTACCATTATGGTTTAACACAATTTTAGATAATTTAGATCTTTTGTGGGGATTTTTTTTTTGGTCACCCAGTAAATACCTTTCCAGTTAGCACAAAGCTGCTTTTTCCCCTCCTCTAGGAATGTTCAAATTGCTGCCATATTAGACCAGAAGAATTATGTTGAAGAATTAAATAGACAACTGAAGTAAGTATTATGGACACATGGATACTTAGTACATTTTGGATGTTGTCTTAGGTTTTTTTTTTCCCCCCTTCAGGTCATCTTAATCCTATTCCTTTTTTCTAAGCATCTTTGAAAAGGGGTTGAGGGGATAGAGAGTGAATGGAAATTGAGAATACAGAGAATTATTGGAAATAACTGATTTTCAGCAGAAAATGAGAGTCATATTTTTAAATAGAACCTTCAGAGACATTTAAAAATAGAATTTCAGACTTATTCCTCTACCCTTGAGAAAAAAAGGCTAGATAGAGTGAAAGTTTATATCATTTTGGTGGTTCAAAAATTCATTTTTCCGGGCTTCCCTGGTGGCGCAGTGGTTGAGAGTCCACCTGCCGATGCAGGGGACACGGGTTCGTGCCCCGGTCTGGGAAGATCCCACATGCCGCGGAGCGGCTGGGCCCGTGAGCCATGGCCGCTGAGCCTGTGCATCTGGAGCCTGTGCTCCGCAATGGGAGAGGCCACAACAGTGAGAGGCCCACACACTGCAAAAAAAAAAAAAAAAAAAAAATTCATTTTTCCTACTTCAAAGGACTTCACGTGTCAGTGTGACTGTCATCTTCCATGGTGGAAGTTTTCTCCTTCCAATGTCACCTGGTCATTGAAGCTGTTAGTGAATACTCTATCTGGGAAGAATTTCTGAGATCTTGTGTGTAAAATAGTATAGTATAGTTCTGTCTAGTAGAAATATAATGTGAGTCACAAAGGTAATTTAAAATATCTAGTAACCACATTAAAAAAATAAAAAAGAAACATGAAATATGAGATATTTTATATATTTTGTTGTACTGTTTTCAAAATTCAATGTGCATTTTACACTTACAGCACATTTCAATTCAGAGAAGCCACATGTGGCTTTATGGCTGCCATACCAGATAGCACAGGTATAGTGAATAATATTTACTACATTGTTAGAAACAGACTGTTCTCATTAACTAAGATGAATAATTCAAAAATGGCTATCTCTGGGTGATATTATGAATAATTTTTAAATTTCTTTATACTTTTATGTATTTTCTGAGTTTCACTCAATAAACATGCATTACAATCCGAAAATACAGTTAAACATTTTCCCATTTTAGAAAAAGAAACTAATAAGTTGTAACTCTTGCTTTCTCTCTGAAGTTGGAGAGAGAAGAAAGATCTTATATCAGTGTCTTTTCTTTTTTCATCATGGAGTTTTAATAATTGATATAGGAAATATATGCATATATATATGTATTTTGTAATTTGTATTTCTGAGATTGTATATCTGAATGCAACCTTGTACTGCTTATTTATTTACTTTAAATTTTTACTCACTATTTGGGAATAGGTAATATATTCACATGGTTCGAACTGCAAAAGGAACATAAAATGAAAAATTTCCCTCTTCCCTGATCTCCAACCATCTGGTTTCCCTCTTTGGGAGTAATTAATACACTAGGTTCTTGTGTATGCCTCCAGAGATACATAGGGTAGCATACTTTTTACAGTAGTCTGTACTTTACTATTCTTACTCAACTGTTTATCTTTAGAGTTTATTTCATTCAGTTCAGAAGAGCTTTCTCATTCCCTTTTCAATTATGTGTATTATTCAGTTACAGCAATATTGGTACCTTACTTTTGTATATTTTATGTATTAATTTTTTTATTGTTTGTCTCTTTAGAAAGTAGTTCTTGTACATTTAGAATATTTCAAAAGTATAGAAAATAGAAAAAATAGAACTCACTTATTATCCTTCACTTAAAGAAAAAAACTGTTGAGGGTTTATTGTTTTTAAAAGTGCTTTTTGATTATTATTTTATTGATTCTCACATAAAAGTAGGGCACATATCATTGTCTGATTTTATAGATAAGGAAACTGAAGCTCAGAAAGATTTTACAACTTTGAAGGTGACACAATTACAAAGTAGAAAAGCAGGGACTATAAACCTGGTCTTCCATCTCCTAGTCCTGTACTTATTACATATCACCATCAGGATACCCTTGTGCTGTTTGTGAAAAATTCAAGTTGTTTACCTAAGAATGATTGTATTTTAAAAATGATTTAATATGAGTGGAAAAACATTTTTCTTGTTTCATCAGTTAAACTAATATGCCATTACTTATTTCTGAGGCTAGCGTAAAATTTGTTGAATCTATTATAGATTTTACTGCAACATATACAGCATATTTTATTTTATTAGAGAAAGTTTGAGATGGTAGAATCAAGCAGGCCTTGAAAAATGACTCAGTAAAATGTACAATAATGTCCAATCTTGATCGATTTAAGTAAAAATGCACAGAACAAATTTGTTCATATACTGTAACCTGACTTTTGACTCTATCCTTGAAAGATGGGTGATTGCTTAGCTGCAGGCTGATTGGATACCTGATGCTGGGTGTCTCATATTCACATTTCCCAAACCATGGGTGAGTTTGGAGGTCTTTAAGTTATTATGAAAGTGGAGAGGGTGAACAGATGGAGCTTGTGTTGAAGACCACTATTTACAAGCTTCATTAAGCCACTTAATTATAAAGTGGACATTTAAAATTCATCCTAAATTTAAAATAATTTTGCATTTAGTTTTAACAATATTTAGTAATCTTTGTGTGGAATTTAAATTCCTAAATGTTACAAGTTAAATGTAAGAAGGACCCTAAGAAGACAGCAAAATATAATGAGCAGCACCAAATGGAATTTTAATGGAAAATTTTATTCTTTTGCTACAGATTTTATTGCTCTGTTAGTCAGATCAAGTTCTCCAACTTAATGAAATTTCCCAAAATCAAAACTTCAGACAGGGCAGTTGGTGCATGTCAGTCAACATGATGAGTCCAGGATAACATACTTTTTCTTGCCTTTGTGAGTTTGTGTGATTCTGAATGAGTTTTTTCTTTATTAATTTCAGCAGCACAGTCAGCAGTCTCCATTCAAGAGTTGACTCTTTAGAAAAGTCAAATACTAAGCTGATTGAAGAGGTATTGTCACCTAGCCATGGATAATTGCCTTTCATGGACCTAGTATTGGTGATCCTTTTCCATTTTAAGTATGAATGCATTAAGCGTGCACACACACATTTTCATCATTATGATGGAATACTTATAGTGTAGTTGTAATTGATGATCATAAGTTCTAAAGAAACCATGTATTCTCGGCAAATTCTTAGGTGAATCTGTGAATTGTTTGAGATACTCAGCTTCTAGAAATGAGCCCCAAAGATGAAATGCATACAACTCTTCTATAAATAAGCCATGAGTCTCATTTTTTAATCTGGATGACCTGTACCACCTATAGTTAGGAATTACCATTAAAATGATCCTGTCCCTCGTGTTCTCCTATTCAGATTACTTTTCCTTACAAGCATCAGTCCACGATCATGTACGCCCTTTCTCCACACTCCCATGTGTAAAACTCATCCCATGTGCTCTGGTTTCCTGCATTGTCGAAGTAGTTGTCTGGTGGTTGCAGAACCGGAAATTTACCCCAGCTCTCTTTTTTTAAAAAATTTTTTTTAAAAACTTCAAAAAAAATATTTTGGCCACAGCTTGTAGGATCTCAGTTCCCCAGCCAGGGATCGAACCCGGGCCACAGCTGTGACAGTGCCAAATCCTAACCTCTAGGCCACCAGGGAACTCCCTCAGATCTCTTTTTAATACTGTTCATAAAGTTGCTTTTGAGATAAGTTGTGTTTTTTTTGTTTGTTTTTGTTTGTTTTTTTTAAATCTATCTAACCATAGAATTATTGCTTTCTGGACTTCCTTGGTGGCTCATTGGTTAAGAATCTGCCTGCCATTGCAGGGGACACGGGGTCAAGCCCTGGTCTGGGAAAATCCCACATGCCGCGGAGCAACTAAGCCCGTGCGCCACAACTACTGAGCCTGTGCTCTAGAGCCCATCAGCCTAGAGCCCGTCCTCTGCATCAAGAGAAGCCACTGCAGTGAGAAGCCCGCGCACCGCAACAAAGAGTAGCCCCCACTCGCTGCAACTAGAGAAAGCCCGCGCAGCAATGAAGACCCAATGCAGCCAAAAATAAATAATAAAAATAAAATAAATAAATAAAAAAGAATTATTGCTTTCCATTTTCAGAATTATTTAGGCTAGAGGAAGAAATCTGTTATTAGTGCTATGAACCCTACTTTACATGTTAATTAAAATTCATATTTCTTTTAGAATTGGCCTAATTTTCCCAAACCAGGAAGCACATGACTGTTTGCATGACTGCATTTTCATTTTGATAGTTTAGGACCATTTGATAGTTTGATAGATTGGGACCATTAGAGAGAGCTCCTCACTAGTTTGTGCCTCTTGACCATAATAGGCGCACTGTGAAGTTCGAGTTGCCTTTCTGACCAAGTGTTCAGAAATTTATTTGCAAGCCAACATTGGGGAGTAGTTCCTGCTTTCCTTTCCTAGGATCCCTCTTTTCATTCTAGGCTTCAGAGCCAAGTCACTTAGTCATTCATATTTAACTCTGAGGGTGAGAGCTGTCTCATATTTGTGATCGTCAGTCACTCAGCATGCCCAGATTTCACAAGGGTGTCCTATTTGATTATCATGAATGTCTGTGTTACATTTTCAATAATAGCAGAACTTCCCTTATAGATGTTTTTGCCTTTACACAAGTCTTTACAGTCTTACTGTTTACCATATAATTCTTCATATGCTTACTCATGCACTTTGTATTCAGGACATATTATAAATCAGATAAGCAATATGTTTCTACTAACATACGATTTGACTGGTTAACAAAAGGAAATAGAAAGAAGAGTATAATTCCTTTAATTGGTATCTTGGGATAATAGGAGCACATTTTTCTTATGAAAATTTCTGTAGATGTGAGAGATATTTTACAAGTTTTCGAATTTTATTTTCTATTGTTATAGTCATGAACGTAACCTGTAAAGCAAGTATAAATACAGATGTTTAAAATCTTTTTTTCTTGCCCCTGTTTTATTTTTAGTTAGCAATAGCAAAGAATAATATCATTAAACTCCAAGAAGAAAATCATCAATTACGAAGTGAAAATAAATTGATTTTAATGAAAACACAGCAGCACCTAGAAGTAAGTATAGATTGATTGCAGACAGATTGCCTTGCATCAGAAATAGCCCTTTTGGGGACTTTTGCATAGACTGGATATATCTGTGCTGTATGAATAGTAGTGATTATAGAATTAAAAGTTTTATGTTTTCTTCCTAGGTTACCAAAGTAGATGTGGAAACTGAGCTTCAAACATATAAGCATTCTAGGCAGGGGCTAGATGAAATGTACAATGAAGCCAGAAGGCAGCTTCGAGATGAATCTCAGTTAAGACAAGTAGGTTACATTACAGTTACATTAGAAAAAATGATAGTTTACCCTTAAGCACCACCTAAAATCTCTATCAGCCTTATCTTCCTTGGTGTAGGATAGCAATCTGATCCCCTTAGTCCCTTCAGATTCTTTAAAATCCCATTGTGTCAGTGTTTTTTAAACAGTGTTTTTAAACTATGTTACAGTCTGTGTTTGTGAAATGAGTATATTGTGACCAGCATTACAAAAAATAGAATAGAATGATGTATTTAGATATCAATATTCAAGTAGTAAAGTCATATTTAAAATTAACTTATTTTTTAACCTTTCTAAATTATGAAATACTGACAGAAAAATACAAATATGTAGCTTGATGGATTATAACATAAATACCTGTGTAACCAACCCAGGTCAAGAAGAGAGTATTGCCAGCCTTTCCATCCCTTTTGCTTTTTGTCTTGAATGTTAGGATCCTTCTGATGTAAAATTTTTGAAGAGAAGAAATTAAAACTGTTTGTGAAATGGGATTTTTGATTTATCTTTGGCCTTTACTGATATGGACTACTTCATTTCTTTGTTTAAGGAAAATTAATACTGAGTTTATGAGGCATAAGAATACATAATTCTCTAGCCATTAAAATAGTGATGATTAATACAATGTGGAAAATGCTTTCATTTAACAAAACGTGCATTTGAAAATATTTAGATGTTCTTATAGGGCCTAGTTGATTCCCTATAGTGGGGCTTATAACTCAAAAGGAGTAGTCTGCATAATAAATAGTAACTGTTTTTTGTTGTCATTAATTGTTGTGTATCTGACTTTGACATCCTGAAGCAGTGTGTGAATTGAGGCTGTATTGAATTGCAGGATGTGGAGAATGAGCTCGCGGTACAAGTTAGTATGAAACATGAGATTGAACTTGCCATGAAGTTGTTGGAGAAAGATATCCATGAGAAACAAGATACTCTGATAGGCCTTCGACAACAACTAGAGGAAGTTAAAGCAATTAACATAGAGATGTATCAAAAGTTGCAGGTAAGGAATGTTCTTAAATTCTTGGAACTTCTTGTTATATAAATTGAAAATGAGGGACCTCCCTGGTGGTCTAGTGGTAAACAATCCACCTTCCAATGCAGGGGATGCGGTTCCATCCCTGGTCGGGGACTAGGTTCCCACATGCAGTGGGGCAGCTAAGCCCTCGCGCCACAAATACTGGACTTAACGCGCCTCAACTAGAGAGCCTGCGTGCCGCAAACTACAGAGCCCATGTGCCCTGGAGCCTGCGCATCACAGCTAGAGAAGAGAAAACCTGTACCCCACAACTAGAGAGAAGCCCATGCACTGCAACGAAAGATCCCGTGTGCTGCAACAAAAGATCCCGTGTGCCACAACTAAGACCTGATGCAGCCAAAAAAAAAATAAATTGAAAATGAATGTTTGTATGAAAGATTCGGTTTTTAAGAGATGAGCCTTTTTTTTTTTTTTTTTTTTTTTTTTTTTTTGCGGCACGTGGGCCTCCCACTGCTGTGGCCTCTCCCATTGTGGAGCACAGGCTCTGGACGCGCAGGCTCAGTGGCCATGGCTCACGGGCCCAGCCGCTCCGTGGCATGTGGGATCCTCCCGGACCGGGGCACAAACCCGTGTCCCCCGCACCGGCAGGCGGACCCCCAACCACTGCACCACCAGGGAAGCCCTATGAGCCCATTTTAATTGTGCCATGTCTGTAGTAAAAACCAGTGACTTCCTAAATGGAAGCTGAAGAAATGTAGCAATGTCAAAGAACAAACAAAAAAATTACCTGAGTTTGTTTCTTAATGCTGAGAGATTAACAGATGAAGCTTAAATCTTTTGGGAAAATTCAGTCAAAATGTGCAAGACATTTTTGTAAACTTCTTTACACAGTGTAGTCCTAAGAGATTTAATTTTGATTGAAATGCTTTACTATAATTGTTACAAATTTTCTAATAAAGTGACATTGCTGTTAAGTAGACTTGTTGCCAAAAGCCCTTTACAATTTAATTTGAAAAAATAGCATATTTTACACAAGTTTATTCTGTCATCATCTGAAAATATTGAAGGTTGAGGTTTTTTTTCCTTTATTACTTTTTTTGACCTTGCTGCACAGCTTGTGGGAGCTTAGTTTCCCGACCAGGACTGAACCAGCACCCTCGGCAGTGAAAGCTCAGAGTCTTAACTACTGGACCACCAGGGAATTCTCCCTTTATTACATTTTAAATGAAGACTAGTTGTAGTAGTACTGCTTTATATCTAGGAGTATTTTATTTTATTTTTAATTTATTTTTTATTGAAGTATAGTTGATTTACAATGTTGTGTTAATTTCTGCTGTATAGCAAAGTGACTCAGTTATACACACATATACAGTCTTTTTTATATTTTTTTCATTATGGTTTATCCCAGGATATTGAACATAGTTCCCTGTGCTATACAGTAGGACCTTGTTGTTTATCCATTCTATATGTTATATGTTGCATCTACTAACCCCAAACTCCCAGTCTATCCCTCCCCCACTCCCCCTCGGCAGCAACAGGTCTGTTCTCTGTATGTGAGTCTGTTTTTGTCTCGTAGATAGTTTCATTTGTGTCATATTTTATATGCCACATATAAGCGATATAATATGGTATTTGTCTTTCTCTTTCTGACTTACTTCACTTAGTATGATAATCTCTGGTTGCATCCATGTTGCTGCAAATGGCATTCTTTCTTTTTTATGGCTGAGTAGTATTCCATTGTATATATGTACCACATATTCCTTATCCATTCATCTGTTGATGGACATTTAGGTTGTTTCCATGTCTTGGCTATTGTGAATAGTGCTGCTATGAACATAGGGGTGCATCTAGGAGTATTTTAATCAACAAATAAACTCTGCTCATTTCAAAGTAACAATCCCATAGCAAAATGATATACAAAGCTTATCGATATTCAGGTTTAAAAATCAAAACCACTGTAGCTTTTATGTTTTTCTAAATAGGGTTCTGAAGCTGATTTGAAAGAAAAAAATGAAATAATTGCCCGACTAGAAGAAAAAACCAATAAAATTACTGCAGCCATGAGGCAGCTGGAACAAAGGTACAGCATTTCCAGTCTTAGTTTCTTTTTTCCTTTCTTTACCCCCCTTTTCTTTATTCAACTCTGACGCCTGCCACAAAGACCATTAGGAAAATTTAGATTAGGAATTTTTTTTAAAGCCCAGCAGAATTTTGCCTTTTTTGTTTTGGTTGTTGCATGGAATCAAGTTGCTTTATATTAGCCTGATTCATTTGAACTTGCCATTTTGTAGATTTTTTAGAAAGGCCTAATATCGGCAGTTTCATTTGGTTCAATGTATTACATAAAACAAATACACAAACAAAAACCTCGAAAAAGTGAAAAACGAACAAAATCCATGTGGAATTATCCCTGATTGATTTCCATGCATATTGATTGTCATATCCCTTGTCATTCACCATCCCTTTATGTGAAATCAAGCTTTCTGAGTTGGCAGTTTAGTTGTGTTTCTTTGAGCTAGGACCCTCAACCTAACCCAGGAAATAATTTTGTTTAAATTGAATTGTTTTATATTGGCATTTTTCACTTTTATTGTTGGAAAGTGTAATGTATTTCCATTGACCTGTCATGTTGGTGTCAACATATGTCTTATCATTGCTTTCTTTGAATCTACTTATGAAAAACATAACTATTAATGCTTTATTGACATGAATATTCTTTTATTGACATCCTCTTTCTTCTTTTTTCTTTTTTGTTTTCTTTATCCCCATTTTTACATTTTGGACATCTTTATTACCTTTTTCTGTTTTTGATTTCTGTCCATTCCATTATGAAGTGACAATGATTTGTTAACTCAAACTAGAACAATTGCAATGTCATTGGTGAAATGTGCCAGCAGTGACACTCAGGACCAGTACAAGCTGGTCAAAGATATATCTTTCTGAAAACCACTTGTATTCAAACAGACTAAAAGAGAACCAACAATTTTATAATATATTAAATTGAAAAAGAATTTATGCTATTATGTATTGTGAAAGGGTATTAGGAACCCTGTACACTTATTGATCAGCTGCTGTGGTAATACACTGCCATAAAGCAGAGTGGGTGCACTTGGATTTCCAAAAATTCCTCATACCTTGTGCACAAGGGCTTATTTGAGTATTGACCCTTTGAAGGTCAGAATTTTCGAATGCAGTTTTATCTTTTTAGCTACTTTTTGATGGAAAATATAAAAATTGTTTAATAATAAGTTAATCTTTGGTTTCACAATGTGTTGGCACAGACTTTTTTCCCCATTGGCCCACTCTTTGCCTACTAGCTCCTTTACTGATTTTTTACTATGTTTTAAAATAGTTTATAACCCAGATTGGCCATCATCTTATGCTTTAGCTCCTTGATTTTCCAGTTCCCCTTAGCCCTCTTCTGTGATAGCACAACTTCAAGGCCTACCTCACTCTGACTTTTATTTTCACTTCTGTACCCTTAGAGAAAAGCTTGGATCTCCCATCTCTCCATCTTAATATTTTAAATTTAAATTTAGATTTAGAGATAACTTGAATGTTACACTTAACTCTTTTTTTTTGGAAGTGGCCTTTATACTTTTGAAATGTGTGAGGGTTGCGCCATTGGCATGGTTTTAAGGCAGAAAAGAAGAGGTAATTTTTTTGGTTAGTTGAATAGAAATTTCTCTTTTGATCCCCTACAAGGACTTAATGTCCCTTGAATACTTGGGAGATGTTTTCTTATAAAAGTAGTGACGTTAAATCTAAGAAATCCTAGATGGCCATAGGAGGCAGGGAGTGGAGCTAAGCACACGGAGAAGCAATGACTTACAAATAAAAGCAGAAAAAAAGAAATACACATTTTAAGCTAATTTTTAAAATTCAGTGATGAGGAACAAAAATGATCTCTAGAGAATGTTGCCAACTAGTAATAAATTCTTTTGAATCTTAAAACACATATACAGACACACAAAACATTGGCATAATTTAGTAAATGTATAAAGATTCTATAGGGAGGACTTGGCTGTTATTTGAAGTAATTGCAGGTCTTTGCTCTTGGCCTTGTAGCACACTTGATTCCTAGCATACACATCCTAGCATAATATATAACAATGTGGCTTCTTCACCTAGTGTAGACATAAGTACTATACTTTCATGGTTTTGTAAAAAGGCAGTAACACACGTATTATACTTTGAAAGTTAACTCATTATGCTTTACATAAGTGGTAAAGGCTATATTGCTTTGCATTGTTAATTATGAACAAGAAATAAAGCACATTTGAAGATAGTATTCTGGGTATATTATGTGTTATATTGAAAAAAAAATCACAAAACAATTTCTAGACATTGTGTGGCTCTTTCACGTTTGAGTTTGTGAGTTTTCCCCCAAACTTTGTTTTCATTTAGAAATGTTTCTATTTCCCCATTTTTCTTTTATTTGTCTTCTTCACCCTTTTACACCCTAGTTCTAGCCTCAGTTTTACCCAAAGTTGATTTGAATTACACCAGATTGCAGCAAGCAGAGAAGGCGCAAATGGACACTGAAGATGAGGACAAGAAATATCTACAAGAATGCCAGAGTAAATTCGACGGTCTGCAGAAACAAATCTCCCAAAAGGAGAAACAGCTGTGAGTATATTTGGAAATAAATACTTGTATTAACATAATTTCCCCCTCTTCCCCCCCCATTTTTTTGCACATAATGGTAGACAACCTATATTTTTTTTTATTTAATGATGCTGGCTAGGTTGTGGAGTTCTCCTTTCAAAAAAAAAAAAAGAAAAAAAACTAGAAAGCATAATTGTGATAAAACTTATGTTTTTGCTCCCTTTATTGTTTATAGAGTACTTTCAACTGTCTTGCTGTCTTCTTGCTCAAGGAGACTTTTATTCTTTTTGCTGTTGTTCAGCATTAGTCTGACGGCCATTATGTTTCTAGATACTGAGTATAATAGACCTTTGTAACTCAAAGGAGCTTACGTTATGAAAGAAAGTGATATTTTCTGAAAACATTTTTATTAGTACTTCATATGATAGATCTATATATTACCAGCTAGGAAAGATGTCAGTATATGTCACTGAGTTGAAAAAAGTAAGTTGCAGACAGTATGCTAAGTATTATCCCATTTTTTATAAAATTAAAACTGTGTATGTGCGTATTTACATGTACATAGAAAAGAGTTTAAATAATACAGATTCTGGAAAATGGTTATTTCAAGGGAGTGATGGTAAATTGACAGGAGTATTTTACTTTTTACTTTATAAACATCAGTATTTTTTTCCCCAATAAATATGTACCACTTTGTTATTAAAGAAAACAGCAAAACAACAATAGAAAATAAAGAGTTATATATTGGGTTGACCAAAAAATTCATTCGTGTTTTTCCATAAGATGTTCCAGAAAACCCCGAACGAACTTTTTGGCCAACCCAATATTATGTTTAACAGATCATTAACAAGATCACATACCATGTATGATGTGTAACTTGCTAAGCTATCTTTAAATCCATTGAGGTGTTTTTAAGTTCTTTTCTATTCTTGATGATTTTCTGTCTAGTAGTTCTATCAGTTATCAAGAGAGTATTTGTTGAACTATCCCAACTATAATTGTGGATTTGTATATTTCTACTTTTAGTTCTATCAGTTTTTGCTTCTTGTATTCTGAGTTCTGTTGTTTGGTGCCTACACATTTAGGATTGCTGTGTCTTCTTGGTGAATTGACCTTTTTATCATTATATAATGTGCCTTTTGTCTCTGGTAGTTTTATTTGCTCTGAAGTCTATTTTATCTCATATTAACATAGCCACTCCTGCTTTCTTCTGATTAATGTTTTCATGTAGTAAACAAAAGATTAATGTTTACATTTTCTATCTTTTTAATTTCAGCCTAATGTGTATCATTATATTTGAAGTAAGTTTCCTATAGTGCATGTTTTTTATCCATTCTGCCGATCTCTCTTTTAAGGATGTATTTAGCCTATTTACATTTAGTATAATTGTTGATATGTTAGAGCTTAAATCTGCTGTTTTGTGTATTTTCATTCCTCTATTCGATTTTTCGTGTCTTCTCATGGGTTACTTGAACATTATTTAGAATTCCCTTTTGATTTATCTATAGTATTTTTTAGTGTATCTCTTTGTATAGATTTTTTAAAGTGTTTACTCTAGACATTGTACCATATATCTGCAACTTTTCACCACTGGTATCAACATTTTACTATATCGAGGGAAGTGTGGAAGCCTTACCTCCACTTAGGTCTTTTTATGTTCTCTTTTTTACAATATAATTTGCTTAAATATTTCCTCTATGTAATATTGAGAACCACATCAGACAATGATATAGTTTCTGCTTCAACCATTAAACATAATTTAGAAAACTCTCTATTGTTCTTTCTTCATTCCTGATGCTCCAAGTTTCCTTCTTTGTGTCTGAAGAACTTCATTTAGCCATTCTTCTAAGGTAGGTCTGTTGGCAACAAATTCCCTTAGTTCTCTTTCATCTGAGAATGTCTTGATTTCACCTTATTTCTGAAGGATATTTTCAGAATATCCTTAAAATTCTGAGTTGACGGTTCTTTTCTTTCAGCATTTGAAAAGTGTTGTGCCACTTTCTTTTGGTCTTCATAGTTGTTTTTTTTTTTTTTTTTTTTTTTTTTTTTGCGTTTCGCGGGCCTCTCACTGTTGTGGCCTCTCCCGTTGTGGAACACGGGCTCTGGATGTGCAGGCTCAGCGGCCATGGCTCACGGGCCCAGCCACTCCGCAGCATGTGGGATCTTCCCGGACTGGGGCATGAACCCGTGTCCCCTGCATCGGCAGGCGGACTCTCACCCACTGTGCCACCAGGGAAGCCCTGGTCTTCGTAATTTCTGATGAAAGGTAGACTGTCATTTGAATCATTGTTCCTCTAGTTACCCTCCAGATTCTTTCTTTGGATTTATCCTTTTTTGCCTTTGGTCAGCTTCTTGGGTCATTAGGCTTATCTTTGCCAAATTTGGAAAAATTTCAGCTGTTATTTCTTCAGATATTTTTTTTTCAGTTCCACCTGCTTTTCCTCTTCTTCTGGGACTCTGATATCATGAATGTTAGGTCTTTTTTTTTTTAGTAGTCCCATAGGACCCTGACACTATATATATTTTTTTCGGTCAGTTTTCTTTCTGTTGTTCAGATCGGGCAATCTCTGTTGTTCTGCTTTGAAATTCATTCATTCTTTCCTCATCATCTTTATTCTCCTATTGAGACCATACAGTGAGATTATTTTATTTTTCAGTTCTAAGATTTCCGTTTGACTCTTCTTCCCTTCCAAAATTTCCTTTCTTCCTTTCAAAACTTCCTATTCATGAATTTGTTTCAAGCGTATTCTTTTTTTTTCAGAGGAGTTAAAATATAAACTGTATTTTAAATGATACCCAAGAGTCTAAGTCATTATCTGGGCAGGAGAGGGAATTTCCAGGTAGAGGAAATGACATTTTGGTAGTTTTTTGTTTTGTTGTTTTAGTTGAACTATAGGTGATTTACAATATTGTGTTAGTTTCAGGGGTACAGCAAAGTGATTCAGTTATATGTACATCTATATATTTTTTCAGATTATTTTCCCTTATAGGTTATTATAGGTAATTACAAAATATTGAGTATACTTCCCTGTGCTAGGCAGTGGGACCTGTTGGTTATCTATTTTATATATAGTAGTGTGTATATGTTAATCCCAAACTCCCCCCTTTCCCCTCTGGTAACCATAAGTTTGTTTTCTGTGTCTGTGGCTCTATTTCTGTTTTGTAAATAAGTTCATTTATCTAATTTTTTTTTAGATTCTACATGTAAGTGATATCATATGATATTTGTCTTTCTCTGTGTGACTTACTTCACTTACTATGATAATCTCTAAGTCCGTCTGTGTTGCTGCAAATGGCATTTTATGGCTGATTGATATTCCATTGTATAAATATAACACATCTTTATTTAGTCATCTGTCGACGAACATTTAGGTTGCTTCCATGCCTTGGCTATTGTAAATAGTGCTGCTGTAAATTGGGGTGCATGTATCTTTTCCAATTACTGTTTTCTGCAGGTATATGCCCAGGAGTGGGATTGCAGGATCGTATGGTAGCTCTATTTTTAGTTGTGTTTTTTTTTTTTTTTTTTGCGGTACACGGGCCTCTCACTGTTGTGGCCTCTCCCGTTGCGGAGCACAGGCTCCGGACGCGCAGGCTCAGCAGCCATGGCTCACGGGCCTAGCCACTCCGCGGCATGTGAGATCTTCCCGGACCGGGGCACGAACCCGTGTCCCCTGCATCGGCAGGCAGGCTCTCAACCACTGCGCCACCAGGCAAACCCTATTTTTAGTTTTTAAAGGAACCTCCATACTGTTCTCCATAGTGGTTTTACCAATTTACATACCCACCAACAGTGTAGGAGGGTTCCTCAAGCATATTCTTAGTTGGTCATGGGAACATTTTTATGGTGGCTGCTTTAAAATTCTTATTAGTTAAATCCAACATCTTGAATTATCTGACATGTTGCCATCTGTTGATTTTTCCTGGAATCTGTTGATTTTTCCTGGGTCTTGGTATGACAGATATTCTTCAACTGCATTCTGGACATTTTGGGAACTATGTTATGAGACTGCATCTTACTTAAATCTTATGTTTTAGCAGTCCTCTACTGAAACCACACCAGCAGGGGAACGTGGACACTGACTCTTCGTACCAAGTGGGGGTAGAAGCCCAGGACCATCTTGGATGGAATGGAGAAGGGTGCCTAACTAGTGGGCAGGGCTTGAAATCTGTGCTTTCCACTCAGTCTCCATTGACACTGTGGAGAGGGAGAGTGGTGCCTTGTTACCATCAAGTGGGAGTGGAGTCCATGCTTCCCTCTTGGTCTCTGCTGACACCATCCTGGAGGGGAGTGAGAGAGGTACTTCACTAACCCCAGGCCAGGGTAGTAATCTAGGCTCCCCACTTGGCCTTTGCTGACACTGTGGAGAGGGTGAGAAAAGCCTTGTTACTGATGCATAAGAATAAAGGTCCACGCTCTCCATGTGACTTCCACTAATACCGTAGAGGTGGATGGGGAGAGATACCTCATTACTGCTGGGTGGTGGTAAAAAAGTCCAGGCTCCGCACTTGGCTCTTTCTCTGATACTACGACAGTGGGAATTGGGAGGGATGCCTCATTATTGCCAGGTGAGGGTAGCAACTAGGCTCCCCATTTGGCTTTTGCTTACAGTGGTTGGGGTGGGCATGGTTTTTTCCTCTGGTGTTTTTTTTTGGAATAGGGCATTTATTGTTGAAAAGGTTTCTATCACGCTAGGCTGCTTCTTCCTAGCTCTTTGGCAGGAGAGAGTAGGCTTTTCTTGGGGCTTTTTTTGTCTGTGCCCATTGCTGTTTGTGGGTTGTGGGCTTCTACATCCAGTCAGAGCTATAAAGAAGACAAAAAGAAGCCTCAGGGAACTCATCACCATGTTATTCCTTGAATCCTGGCTGGTCTGCTTTCTTCTCTCCCCCTTTCAGGATATTCTTATGTTTGTTTATATATAATGTCTAGGGATTTTAACTGTACTTAGTTGGAGGGATAGGTAGAAATGTGTTTACTCCACCTTGTTCAGAACCGAATTAAGTTCCTTTTATATCTACCACAAAAATAACATTTTGAGAAATTGGTATATAGAATAAGGCTTTAGGCCAGGGGGTATTACCTTGGTTGGAAACTTACATCATTTGTAAATTGTGAAACTAAAACTCACATGCGCCCCCCGCCACCCCCCTCCAAAAAAAAACCACCACTCGGCAAGCGAACATTTTCTCTTAATTTTAAGACTTTCACAAAAGCACTTTCAGGACTCCCTTGGCAACAGAAATCACAAAGAACATTTAAGTCATCAAGTTTATTAATGGTGCCAAGGGTTTTGTTGTTTAAGTCCCTGTACCCTGCCAAATGGAAAAATGTGAAAAGTAAGACTGGGACACTTTGCCAGTCAATAGAATACAATCTTGAAACTTCAGTACTCTGTGTTACTGAATGACTTTTCTAGAGTTTGACAAAAGGGTAGGTAAGACAAGTCTGATATTAATTCTACAGTGATGCCTCTATTTGATCCCTGCCCAAAGAATGACCCAAATAATGCTCCAGGGACCTGGTCCTTCCCTGTAGGGCTAACCTACTCAATAGGTCTTGGGTACAGCTGTGGAGAGAAGATGTTTGTCCCTGCTGAAACTGTGAAAGTAATTTCATGTCTCATTGGGTGCCATTTTGGTAGAGCATAAACATGTTAACAATTTGGAGATCAAGGGGATCCCTCAGAAAAATTGGAACTGTTTCTGTAGAAATAGGCAGTTGGGACTTTGTCCAAGAAAAACAAATTCCATTTTTTCACCTAAAATGGAAATAAATTTTTTTGGTTTCTGATTATGAAAATATTACATGCTGTTGACCAAATGTAAGAAAATATGGAAAAAAGTGAAGAAAATAAAAATGGGATATACCTTTTTTTTTTCTGGCTGTGCTTGTGGCATGAGGGAACCTTAGTTCCCAACCAGGGATCAAACCCAAGCCCCCTGTAGTGGAAGTGTGGTGTCCTAACCACTGGACCGCCAGGGAATTCCCTGGATATACCTTTTTCTAACATTTTGATGAACATTCTTTTTGGGTATGCATAGATATTTTTTGCTTTTTATCAGTAGAAAGAGGATCATGCTACATGCTGTTTAGTATCTTGTTTATTGTATTTACTACATTATGGACATTGTATCATATCAGTTACTACAGGTCTACACTATCGTATCAGTTAACCTAAAGGAATCATTTAGCCTGAAAAATTGTGCTTTATTGTTTGAATTTGCATATCTTTGATTACTAGTAATAGCCTTTTGTATTTCTTTATTTTGTGAATTGCCAGTTCATAGCCTCTAGTTTTTCCTCTGTGGTGTTCAGCTTTTTAATATTTATTTATATAAGAGCTCTTTATGTGTTTATTGTGGGTTTTTCACATACAGTGAAAATGTTTTCTAAGTTTATAGTTTTTTTGTGTGTGTTTTTAAAAAATTAATTTATTTTTGGCTGCATTGGGTCTTAGTTGCTGCTCACGGGCTTTCTCTAGTTGTGGCTAGTGGGGGCTACTCCTCTTTGCGGTGTGGGGTCTTCTCATTGCGGTGGCTTCTCTTGTTGCGGAGCACGGGCTATAGGCATGCAGGCTTCAGTAGTTGTGGCTCGTGGGGTCTAGAGCACAGGCTCAGTAGTTGTGGCATACGGGCTTAGTTGCTCCGCAGCATGTGGGATCTTCCCGGACCGGGGCACGAACCCGTGTCCCCTGCATCGACAGGTGGACTCTCTACCACTGCGCCACCAGGGAAGCCCCTATAGTTTGTTTGTTCGTTTGTTTGTTTATTTATTTATATCTTTTTTTTTGCAGTACGCGGGCCTCTCACTGTTGTGGCCTCTCCCGTTGCGGAGCACAGGCTCCGGACGCACAGGCTCAGCGGCCATGGCTCACGGGCCCAGCCGCTCCACGGCCCATGGGATCTTCCTGGACCGGGGCACGAACCCATGTCCCCTGCATCGGCAGGCGGACTCTCAACCACTGTGCCACCAGGGAAGCCCTATTTTTAAACTTTGTTCATAGTGGTTTTTTTCATTTAGACGTTTTACATTTTTATATAGTTCTTTTTTCCCTTTATGGTTTCTGCCCTTCGTGGTCAACATGTGTTTTGACAATATATTTTAAATAACTTAAAAACAAAATTTTTCCTTTGCTTTTTCTCTCAAGTTTTTTCTGATTCTGGATGATGTGGCCACTCAACAATGCACTCACTATGTACTTTGCTTACTTCAGTGTTAGTAGCATATACCTGTCCCTCTGTATCCCTTTTAAATTTGTGGTGAAATGGTATTTATCAACAATTTGTAAATTCCATTTTGAGGTATCTTGTCTCTTCAACCTTAATTATAAAATCTAAAATTGCTTCACTGAAAATAATTTGGCTGTAGATGGAAATGCTAACTTTATGAGGAAACAAAAGTAATCATATTAACACAAAAAAATAATATAATGTAATACGGTGATATTCTCAATATTATGACATAACATTATAATTAAAAATGTATAGTATTAGGAACTATGGCATTATTAGTATATACCTCACCTGTTACAACTACTTATGAGCAATAATTATTGGAATTATTTTGGGGGGGTTTCCTAAAATGTAAGAATTTGACTACTTTTGTTTTTCCAGCTAGCACCTGTTGTTTGAATGATGAAATAGAGCTTTCAAATGTGAACTGGCATTTTCAGACAGTGTGAATTTTCCTCTAGTGTCTCCCTGGTCTTAGCTCTGTACTGTAATGGGTCAGCTTCCAACAGTAATCTGCAAAGTAGCACTTGGCACCAGGGCTGATTTTTCTGTTTCTGATGTTGAATTGATTTTGTGGTTGCTGTAATCCTTATATCAGAATAATACTTTTCATTAGTTTGTGGTAAAAATTTTCTCATGGCCCAGAACATGGTTCCATTTCTAAGATATAACCAGTCTTTATAGTATGGTGTGCCCTTCCACGCATTTTCCATGCTTATACAGCATTTATGTATACAGAGTTAATAAATGACAAATTGTCATTTAGCAGGAGGTTTTTGTGATTGACAAATTAACTGAGACTTTGAGATCTGAAAACCCTGTGCTACTGAACTTGTTTTCTAAAAAATATTTGTGAAAGAAACTACCTGAAGAATTGCATTACAAAGGTGAAAGTAATCAACCAAAGAGATGCTGTTAATGAAGAATACATACAACCGTCATGTGAGAAACAACACTGAACTTCTCTGTATTATTTGTCATTCAAGGGTGCAACTGGAAACCGATCTGAAGATTGAGAAGGAATGGAGGCAAACTTTGCAAGAAGATCTTCAAAAGGAGAAAGACACCTTATCTCATCTTAGAAATGAGACCCAACAAATCATTAGTCTTAAAAAAGTAAATAATGGTGGTAAAACTTAAAAAATTCTATCTTGATGACAGTTAAGTTATTTAAAAAGAGGATCAAAAAAAAAAAAAGAGGATCAAATAATAATTTACTTTTATACCAAGGAAACAGAGTATACTGGTCATCTTTAAAAATATCAGTAAGGAGATTAAATGAATGGAAAATAGCTGATAGTTGATAGAGCAGCTTTTTTTTTTTTTTAGAGCAGCTATTTTTTATGAAAAGCTGAAGGATACATTCCTATCCTTTAATTGTATGTATGCAGTGTCTAGTTTGTTTCTTTTAAATTGCATTTTCTGTCTTTTATTGTTTTGAAGGAGTTCCTTCACCTCCAGGATGAAAATCACCAGTTGAAAAAAATATATCACGAACAGGAGCAAGCTCTTCAAGAACTTGGCAACAAACTTAGCGAGTAATTTCTCTTTTTTCCTCCAACTAAGTAGTCATTGACCCTTATTAAGTTATGAGTGTGCCAAACCAAGTAGACAGAAGAGTTTAAATATAAAATAGAAAGATATGAACTATTAAAAACAAAGCCAAACAGCAACTTTAAAGATTAACAAATAAGGGTGTGGATTGGAGAGATTTTTTTAAAAGTTCATTTTAGTAAGTGTTAGCTCTAAACATTTTCCAGTAGATGAAATCTAAGACTCTTGTTTAATTTCTTCCAATCAGAGAATTCAGAAGTTCATTTAATATATTTTTCTCAGAACAAAAGTCAAATTTTCAAAATATATGGAGAGAACTTTTTCAGACAGTTCTGAGAAGGAGCCAGCATTGTGAAAAGTGAATGGTATTTGATGTTGTCTGGAGTTGAGGCTTGACTTCATGCATTGTGGTTGGTTTTGTCACAATGAAGTGTTACTGGGTTTATATGAAGACACGAAGGAGAAATGGCGTTCTGTCTTTCTCACATTTTCCTCCTTATTCCACATGGTCTGTGTTTTGGATTAGCTTCATCTTTGTGCCCTGATTGAACATATTGTCAACTATCTAGGGTAAACTCTGGAGTGTTTAATTTAGTATTGAATGTACCACTGTCACATTAAAAAAAAAATAGTGTCATTTTTTTTTAATACAAAAAAGTAAAAGAAAGCCACAATGACCCATAAGCCTATCACCTATATAAATCCCTTTGATGTTTTATATGGTTAGAAAATTCAGAGAGCACCAAAAGGGGACTTCCCTGGCGGTCCAGTGGTTAAGACACTGCGCTTCCACTGCAGGGCACGTGGGTTCCATCCCTGGTCAGGGAATTAAGATCCCGCATGCCATGCGCAGCGCGGCCAAAAAAAGACAAAGAGCACCAAAAGGTATAAAATAAACAGTTGCCTCCCTCCTCCCAAGTATCAATCCCCAAAGTTAGCTAACCTCAGAACAAATCCATATATGAGGATTTCATTATATATATGGATATGATTAGCTATATATATATGTCATATATATCTTTTGTAATCATTAAACTGAATAGAAATACTGGAATGGAGACTTAATTGCTAAAGTTGGGATTCCATTAGGAAGTCTTGAGAATGATTACCAAGGGCATAGTAAAGAGTAGTTCTCTGGGACTTCCCTGGTTGTCCAGTGGTTAAGACTCTGTGCTTCCAATGCAGGGGACGCCAGTACGATCCCTGGTCAGGGAACTAATATCCCACATGCTGTGAGGCTCAGCCAAGAAAAGAGTAGTTCCCTAAAACCACAAAAGGAAATACCAGCTCTCAAAAAGATAAAGATGTTTTTGTTTCTACAAAGAACAATTTGCATTGTGATTTCAATAAGCAAGATTTTTATTCTAATCTGGCATCCATTCATTGATCATTTTGAGCCAGACCAGGTGCTGATTTTCCATGTATTCATCCAACACATACTATGTGCCAGGCACTATTCTAAGTGCTAGGGACTCAACAGTGAACAATCCCCACAACAAAAAATATATTTACATTTATTTAAGATCATAAAGGTTTAATATGAAAACAGGTTAGAATAGTAAAACAAGGAATGTGTATTACTTTTCACCCATCTCCCACTCAGTACTAGAGACTTTATAGTTGTATTAAAGGCATGATCACTTCCAGATAGCTGAATTCAGAATATCGTTGTTTTCCTTTTTCCTTTTATTTTGGTTCATTGATTCTCAAATTATAGTTTTGTTTTTTTGGTGTTTTTTTGCTGTACGCGGGCCTCTCACCGCCGCAGCCCCTCCTGCTGCGGAGCACGGGCTCCGGACGCGCAGGCCCAGCGGCCACAGCCCATGGGCTCAGCCGCTCTGCGGCATGCGGGATCCCCCCGGACCGGGGCACAAAGCCGCGTGCCCCGCATCGGCAGGCAGACTCCCAACCACTGCGCCACCAGGGAAGCCCCTCAAGGGTTTTTTTGACTACTAAATTTTTCCCTTGTATACTGACTGCATACCTAATCCCTGTGTAACGGCACTGTATGCATGTTCTTTTGAAGTTTGCTGGTTTGTGTGTGTGTGTGGTAGGATTTTTTTGTGTTTTTTTTTACTTAAGAATATGAGTTAAAAAAAAAGAATGGGTCTTCCCTGGTGGCGCAGTGGTTGGGAGTCCGCCTGCCTATGCAGGCGACGCGGGTTCGTGCTCCGGTCCGGGAAGATCCCATGTGCCGCGGAGCCTGCGCGTCCGGAGCCTGTGCTCCGCGGCGGAAGGGGCCGCGGCGGTGGGAGGCCCGTGTACCGCACAAAGAAAAAAAAAAAGAATAAAAAAGAAATTACCAGGACTCTTCCAAATGTAGTATTCTGTAAATGCTATTCTTTCCATATAAAGAAACTTACAGATTTTTTTTCCTCAAAGGAGGGGTTTCAGGATTATCAGAGGCTTGTATAATTTATGGATGTTTTCCTATAGTGTCATAATTGTATCACATTTATTACATTCTCATGTTTTATTTTGACCCTTCTCTATGCTGTTTTTATTCTGTGGAAATATTTTCACAAACACATATTTCTAAATAGAATTTAATTAAAATTAATAATACAGACATCTGTTCCTTGTCTGGGACAAGGAAAAGTTGTTCTTGTACATTGTGTTTAGTGGAACTGTAACTGATACTCTTTTTCTTTAGGTACTTTGGCAATTCTTATCAGAAGGGGGCAAGCTTTTTAGAGTCCATATTTATGAATAGAGGCATTTTAACCAGAAATATATCAATACCAGTAAATTTTCATATAGAAAGTATTTCTGTAGTGAATGCCATTAAGTAAGCTCTTTTATTCCATACTTAGTTTTTCTATATAGCAGTTACTGTTTTGGCCAAAATTCCCACCAGCATCAATTTTCCTTGGATACATTTTGTAGATGTGAATTCAGCCAAGAAAATTTGATTACTCTGTTAATATTTTTATACTGTGTAATTTTACATTGATTATTCCCACTGTAAGAGTCATTATACACCAGATAAAAGACTAACACTTTGTTTTTATGTCTTGGAACAGAGCATTTGTAGGGCAAAGCAAGTTTCCTAATGTTCTGCTTCAGTAGCAGAGACTTTAGTATTTTATGTACCTTTTGACCCAGTAATTACATTTCTAAGTTGTTATCCTAAGAAAAATAATACAAGTGTTTTGGTCATTTCAACTTTAATGAACAATTCTGTGGCAAAAAAACTTGAAACAAGTTGAAAGTTCAGCACTGGATAATTATATAAACTACATACTTCATATTCTTTTTCATGGTATATACCATGTAACCATTTAATATAATGATGTGGCAGATAGTAATAACAAGTCAGTAGCTCTAAGCCTTTCAGGATATATTGTTAAGTCATGTGGGAAACTGTGTAAGTAATTTTTCCATTTGAAGTACACATACTCATTGATATTTAGAGATTATCATCTCTGGGTAGTGGGATCACAGATAATTATTGTTATTTATAGTCTGTATGTTAATATGTATTTTCAAAAGGTGAAAAACTATCACAATTATATCTTCCTTAATATTTCCACTCTCACTTACCACTCTTTTGCATCTGCTAGAGAAATAGTGTTCATAATGGTTAACCTGTCAGCTTTGGGGTCTCAGAGGACCAGGGTTTGAATTGTGGCTTCCCCAGTTACCACCTAAACTTCAGCAGGCCTCACTTTTTTCATCTTGATAAGTGTTTTTGAAGACTAAATGACATTATGCATGCAAAGTTTATAGCATAGTGTCTGGTACATCATAAGCCTACAGTAAATAATAGCTGTCATTAGTAGTCATAACCACATGAAAACACCAATATGCTTTTTTTTTTTTAATTTATAAATTATTTATTTTTGGCTGCGTTGGGTCTTCGTTGCTGTGTGCAGGCTTCCTCTAGTTGTGGTGAGCGGGGGCTACTCTTTGTTGCGGTGCCCAGGCTTCTCGTTGCGGTGGCTTCTCTTGTTGCGGAGCACAGGCTCTAGGTGCGCAGGCTCAGTAGTTGTGGCTCACGGGCTTAGTTGCTCCGCGGCGTGTGGGATCTTCCCGGACCAGGGCTCAAACCCATGTCCCCTGCATTGGCAGGCTGATTCTTAACCACTACGCCACCAGGGAAGCCCAATATTGTTTCTTTAAAAAAGCAAATTTTAAATCTCAAAACTATTTTTGCTTTAGGACATTTTGGAAATATAGGAAAATATTAAATATAATCCCACTAGCCAAAGAAGGTCATTAGAATAATATAGTATATACAATTTTATATCCTATGAAAATTCAATACCTTTCTAATGAATTACTAGACGGTCTATATTTTAAAATGTGTACTGAAATTTGGACCTATTTATAATCTTTTTAGATCAAAACTTAAAATAGAAGATATAAAAGAAGCCAACAAAGCATTGCAGGTGAGTGTAAGTATTTTCCTCAAGTAGGAAGGTATGGATATATGTGAAAGTCTCCAGTAAAGGTAAGGCCCTGTGTACTATTATTGAATCCTGGGATATATAGAAGCAGAAGCAGTGAATGGGGAGCTTGTAGGATGGGGTCCATCTCTTCCCTATACCTCTAGAACACATTATTAAAATTCCTCATGTTGGAAATGACCTTGGAAATAATTTTGTCCACTTTCCTACAAAGTGTCGCAAGATAGAGAGAAATTGCATTTGAATTTGATAATCCTTAAATTCCTGTGCTAGTCTATTACTTACTAGTTTTTGACCTTCATCAAGTGAAATATCCCCATGGAGTCTCAGTTTTCTCTTCTGAAATTGGCTTATGATTTTGCATAGGGTTGCTTTGAATATTGAGTAAGTTAATGTATATGATAGTGATTTGGTACAATTTATTAGTATATGGTTCTGAATGTATCTGGATGCAAGAATCTCTTTACAACAGAGGAGAAAATGTGAGTACTTCAGTGGCAGATGGCTTCCTACTACACAAGCTACCCATTTGGTTTATGAAAGTGTTACATGAAAGTAATTTAAAAAGTCAAATTGTACTAGGGAAACTTAAAAAAACAAAACAAAACGGAAGCAGTCTCTTGTTTTCACCCTCTTGTCCCTTATCTACCCCAGCTCCTGCCACCAGAAGGAGGCTACTTTTAATTCCTTTAGTTGTTTCTTCTGGTATTTATTCCCCTATTTCTTAAGTACTATTTAGACCTATCTATTGCCTCATTAGCATGGTGGATGAGGAGTTTTGTTCAGTCTCACCCTGGTCTGTCTTCTCTTCACTGCCCTCCCAGTATAATTAAGTAAAAGTTTTTGTGATATTTACTGTGTATTCTTTATTATGACTATTTAAATATTGTTCCTTGCTGGACCAGGTAGTATATTGCAATTCTATTTTCTTTCTTGAACTACTTTTTATTTCCTCTGGAGTTAATATTTACTCTCCCCCCTACCCGCCCCTTTAAGTTTTGTTATATTTGAGCATCAGAGTTTTCTTATACTTTCAAACAATTCTGTAAAGTGCTTCTTGATAAAAGGTTTTCACGTAGTAATATGAGTCGGGTAACTGGTTAATTTTCTTTTTCCGTCGGAGTCATCCCTTCTGGAGTCTTTTCTTTACTGCTCCTGTCTGGTCTGGTCACTCTTTTTCTTTTTTTTTTTTTTAATAAATTTATTTTATTTATTTATTTTTGGCTGCGTTCGGTCTTCGTTGCTGCGCGGGCTTTCTCTAGTTGCGGCTAGTGGGGGCTACTCTTTGTTGCGGTGCGTAGGCTTCTTTTTGCAGTGGCTTCTCTTGTGGAGCACGGGCTCTAGGCGTGCAGGCTTCAGTAGTTGTGGCGCACAGGCTTAGTTGTTCCACGGCATGTGGGATCTTCCCGGACCAGGGATCGAACCTGTGTCCCCTGCATTGGTAGGTGGACTCTTAACCACTGTGCCACCAGGGAAGTCCCTCAGCAGGCTTTTATTCGCTCAGTTTTCCTTTTTAAAATAGCATCCTGTTATTTTATCTCTGAGGATATTCATTATAGTTTCTTTAAAGTTTTATTTTGCTACTTCCATTCTGTTTCTTCTGAATTCCATTCTTGGGTTTGTTCTTTGGTTGGAGTACCTCATGCCCCAATCTTTCCTCAAATGTTGGATAATCTCCCAATTACGATAAAAGGCACAAAAAAAAAAATCTTGAAAGCCCTGTGTGTGTTGGTTAGGTGGATGGGGATGGGTTGTAATAGACTGGTAGGCCTCAAGCATAGAAAAATCTGTTAACTACCCAACTGATGGGTATCCTTTCTCAATGTTAGTACCTACAAGACTTCTCTCTGGGGCAGTTGACTTTCTCTAGAGAAGGATCCTCTAATATCCTGTTAGGAGGGTTTAAGCTGTGTGGCTGACATTCTGGAACTGGGCAGAGAAAAATAGCCATTTGTTTGCCGAGCAGTAGCTTGCTCCCTTCTAGTTTTGGCTCTGCTTGTAAACAGCTTTGTTTCGTTGAGGAAGCTACTTCAGCTGTCTGGGTGTCAAGTTTTCTTATTTGTAAAATGAAAGCTTGAAGGTGCTGATCTCTGAGGTCCCTTCCAGCTAATACACTAGGCTTACCGTACAGTGTACAGCTTTTCTCTTTGGGAGAGGGGCAGGGTAAGTTAAGTCAAATTAAAATAAGTCTGGAAATAAAGTTGGAAGCTCAACCCTGATGTCAGAAGGTTACTTCTGAACCAAATGATACTGCTTGGAAATCTGCTTCACATCAGGCTCTCCATCCCTTACAAATATAGCTGGGCAGGAAGCAAAGTTGCTTCCACTAGGTGGCTTTGGGACATTTGGCAAATCACTTTCCTTTTTATGGTGTTCTTCAAGTTGGATTGAATTATCTTTACGGCCCCATCTTGCTTTAAAAGAAAATTCCACGATTCAAGTCATATGACTCTGCTGGTGTGTCTGATATGAGCTGTCTAGGTTTTTCCCTTTTCTTTTTTTTTTTTTTTTTAAACCTTCACTTCTTACAATCCTGTGTTTGAAGGAGCCTTAGACTGCCTGAAGTGCAGTAACCCAACACCATTTGTCTTACCTCTGCTATATCAGATAATAGCTGCTGGTTAAGACTGTGAAATAAAAACAGGTGATATTAACCTTGTGACCTTGATCTGTGAATACTTAGTCCTTGTCTCACTTTCTTCAAAGAACTCTGTCAGGTAGAAAACGCTTTCAAGACAACTCAGGCTTTTGAGAAATATGTCTGTGGGCTCTTCTGCTTGGAAGACTTTTCTCTCATTAGCTGGTAAAGGTCTTATGCCTTAGAGGTACACTGTTGTAGGTGGCACTTGTTCCATCTCCCAAGTGGTAATCAGATATACTTGGTTCTTTGGAAGCAGTGGCAATGTAGCTTAGCCTGGGCTGTTTCTGAAAGGGAGATGTGATGAGATTAATCAGAAGCAGAGGACTCTTCTTTCACTTAGGTCTTCTTGAAATAAAATGGGCACCACCTAACAAAGTTGCTTTCATAGGGGAAAAAAAAAATGCTTTTTCTAGCCAAGAGCTTGGTTAGTTAAGAATGTGTCAAAATTTTCCCTCCAAATTCTTCAATAATTGTTTTCAGTTTAAATCAACGACAACAACAAAGAAAGAATGGGTCAAGTTAGAAATTTTAGGTATCAAGTTAACTTCCACCTGTTCGACACTACTTATATTTGCCACTAAAGTTTACATAGTAACTATTAAATTTGTGAGTTACAGAAGGTGAGGGAAATTAATAGCAGTGTAGAACTGAATTTAAGGTGAAGTCTTACCTAAAATAACGAAATCAATCATCTGATTTCCAAAATCTCTTCAAATTTTGTGGATTTGCTGTATATAAGGTATATATACATAATGCCAGACTCATGCATTTCACATAATGAAAATTTATCCTTCAGTGTTTGTGGACTGGATATTCTTTAGGGTTCTTTCCTTTTTTTTTTTTTTTTTAAGTGTAAAGGGTTTTTTTTTTTTAAATTATGTGTAACACAAAGTTAAGTCAATAAATTTTTAAGGAATTTCACATGTTCTGATTCTTTCCACTGCCAGTTACCTTAGTTCCTCCAAACTCATAATCTTCAAGATAAAATAGCCCTTTCAAAAATAAGTTATCATGTGAGTCAGCCCACAATTCTTTTAGTTAGGCTTCTTTGATCTCCAATGAAATATGGACACACTTTGGGCTTCCCTGGTGGCGCAGTGGTTGAGTCCACCTGCCGATGCAGGAGACACGGGTTCGTGCCCTGGTCCGGAAGATCCCACATGCCGCAGAGCGGCTGGGCTCGTGAGCCATGGCTGCTGGGCCTGCGCGTCCGGAGCCTGTGATCCGCAACGGGAAGAGGCCACGGCAGTGAGAGGCCTGCGTACCACAAAAAAAAAAAAAATATGGACACACTTCAAAATTCTCCTCCTGTAATCTTTGGGATCCAGTTTCCTCAAGTGATTTACTTTAGGACCATGTTTAGTGTCAGGAGATGGATCTTCCTGGTTCTGAATTTGACACCCTCTAAAAATGTATTAGGTTCAAATCATATTCACTCCTAAGCCATCACACCCTAGAACAGTACAGATCATTGGGATATGCCAATACGTAAGATAAAAAGTTTGACTGTTACGTTTTTAATAGTTTACTTGGCAGCTCAGTTTTGTAGTTCTTTCCCACAGATCTAACAGGTAGTTCTATGAGTAAAAGAAACCACACAGTTAATCTATGAGGCATTTCCAACGATGTAGGTTTACTAGGGTTCTTTCCTTAAAAAGAATTACTTTCCATAATAGATTTTTGTTAAAAACATTTGTCATGTTAATGTTCAAATATTCTGTTGTAAAGAGAATAAAATGAACCATGACCCAGTTTCACTATTTATCAATATATGGCCAACCTTGCTTTATTTATATTCAACCCACATCCCTTCTTCCTCACCCAGATTATTTTGAAGCAAATTCCACACTTGTTAAATCTACAACTATTTCAAAGAAAAGGACTCATTTTTGGTTAATCTACATATCTATTCCTATAAAATGCTCTTAGTTGAAAATATTTTCACATGTAACTTTGTTACCAACTTGAGCATTAATATTTGTATTTTTCCTACTAGGGACTGGTTTGGTTGAAAGACAAAGAAGCAACACATTGTAAACTTTGTGAAAAGGAATTCTCACTCTCTAAGAGAAAGGTAAGGGAGATAGGAAGTGAGTCCAAAAGTTATGTTGCAAATATGGCTAATTTTACTCAAATTTTTTTTCTCTGATTTTTCCATTTAATAGCACCACTGTAGAAACTGTGGGGAAATTTTCTGTAATGCTTGCTCTGACAACGAACTGCCTTTGCCTTCTTCACCAAAGCCAGTACGGGTTTGTGATTCCTGTCACGCATTACTGATTCAAAGATGCTCATCTAACTTGCCATAATACTCCAGAACTAAATTCTTATGTATGAAAAGTACCTACGATGAATGTTATGTATGAACGTGTATACAGCGTATTCAGACAGTCCCTCTTAAGCAGCTTTCAGACAGCACTGGTACCAGTTTTACTGTCCACATATTCAACTCACGGGAATTATAAATTGTATAATTTGACATTTCCTCCCCCACTGTAATTCAGAAAGAATTTGATAGGGCATGCTTTACAGTAACTTTATCCTACTTCCTGATGTAGTAATCATGTAACTCTTTTCTTAATGCCATGGAGAGGTCAGATAGCATAGCTAACACATTTGCCTTATTTTGTAAAGACCTTAAAAATAGGGCTGAATTCAGATTGTTTTATTCTCCAGATTGTCAAACTGATATTTGATGGTGCCTGTAATTTTCTTAATGCACTTTAAAGCTTCACAGTTCTGAAAAATTGGAAATGCACATTTTAGAAGCATTTATATTTCAACACATTTTTCATTACCTTGGTAAGATTTCACAATATTTATTTGCTTTGCCTTCCTCTGCAAATTTTGCATTAGAAAAGGCCTTCCTTCTTTAAAAAGTCAATGTGACATTTGCTGATAACTTTCAGATAACAGTGCGTTACAGAGGTATTATTTTGCCTGAAAACTTTTTATTTTGAAAGTAAGTTAAAATTCCATATGCATTTCTTCGGGAGGACTCACACCCCCTTTGAAAGTCAAAACATAAACCCTTCCCCAGAAAAAAATGTAGTAGCAGGGATTACAGGCTGATTTGATTCTCCCCTAAGCATTTAAGAAGTCTAAAGTGCAATAAAACTTTGCTTTTGATATGACAGTCTTGAGTAAAAAAATTTTGTATTATGTTTCCATTCCAGTAACTTTTAGGAAGCATTACACTGTAGCAGTCTACTACTACAGTATATGTACAGAATAAAATATTTACCATTTACTGAGCACCTCCAAGCCAGGGCCTAGGGTAAAGATGTAGTTTCAGCCCTGCCATTAAATTCATATTTGAACTATTTCAAGCATGAACGTCAATAAACACTAATCCCTGCCATAGCAAGAATTTAATCCAGTTACCCTTGTATAATTAACCATTTGAACAGCCTCACCACTTGGGGTTCTACTTTTAAGCCTAATTTAAATCATGCACCCTAAGTCTGAGAACCTTTTAAACATGTCATAGGTATCTACATTACTCCTAAGAGCATTAATGAATCATGGCTACCTCCCTCCCCGCTAGGATATGGTTGCTTATTCTATAGAATTGTTTCCTCAGAGTACATTCTTCCATTGAAGTTTAAAATTATTTAACTTTCTAAATTGCCAAAGTATGAAACCATTGTTTTACTTTCGGATTTATCTTCTCCCTAATCCAGTTTTCAGTGTTCAGTTAGAACTGACATACTGATTTATAGGTGGTCCTTAATGCTCTGATAGGAATATTTGAGACATGAATTATATTCTTGGAACTATTTTGTACTGATGGGATTGGATTAACATTTTTATGATTGCTAAAAATGAGAATAAGCAAAAATGAAAAGTTTCAAATACTGTTTTTTATAACTGCTTAAATTTAAAATGTGATTTTCTTAAATTCCAAGACTGGTTTCATTCAACAAATAAACCACGATTTTTAGTCCCCCTTTAAATTCTTTGCCACTCAAAACTCATGTCATCACCATTGATTTGGGCTTTTTGTAGGCAGGCTTTTATGACAGTAATACAAGTTGCTCCATTTTGTTTTGACTTTTATCTAGAAACCATTCTACTAATTTTGGATTTTATGTTACAGAACTGTCAATTTGTACTTTGTGAACTTCACATACCATTCCCTCATCTAGGAGTACTACCACAGTAATGCTATCATGGTGCCAAGGAATTGTGATTGTAATTCTTCTATCCACAGTTTTAAAATGTGAATTTTATATAACAAATAAAAGATCTGAAAAATTAGCCCACTTTAGAAGGCGTACGTTTTAATAGGGTAATCCTGGGGAAATAAAAGCACGTCATCTTTTTTAAAAAAGTGGTATGAGCCTAGTACTTAAATAGGTAATTAAGGGAGTACAGGCAATAAGATGAATCACTACTCCAGTTGATAGGCTCCACTTACGTTATCAAGCTGCCTTCTCTAACAAGGAGAAATCATTCCTTAGTCACTCTGTCTAATCTAATTAGACATAGTACCTTCTACCAATTTGATTTATAATCAGTAACTGACACAAAGCATTCTAGGACAGACGCCATTACTCTTATCTCCCACAATGATATTTATTACATTAATAACATTTCTAGCAAAACAAGTAACAAGTTCAATAACTGAATTCACATTGACAGGTTTCATTTTGATCCATTAGCCAATTTGGAAAAAAGCCATATTGATCGAAGGGATTAAAAGTAAAAAAGCACCTTTTCCTTGCTACATATAATTTTTTAACACAATGGCTCTAAAACTCCAAACATATCATCAGATGCAAAATCCAATCGCAAGACTCCCAAGACATGGACTTGTGTCTTACATTTTTTTTTTAAAGTAGTCATCTATACAGTTGTTATTAAAAAACCATATGCTTTAACTATTGGGCTGGAAGCTGAAAATACATCTGTGAGAATTAATTATACTCCATGGTAAATATCTTTGTACTTGCACTGAATGCTCATGTCACTGAGAACCTTAACTTAGTCTAAGACATTTTGAGAACTTACAACTGTCACTTTTGGGAAACTTTTTTGGTACGTCAGTCAAGTGCTGAGGGGATTTATTCTAAAATCTAGGGCTAGAATTTAAACTTTAAACACTCCCATCTGCAGGTAACACAATTATGAATATTCATATAGCCAGATACCTCTTAGATCATTAACATTTCAGAGCTATGCCTGATAAATGACTTTTGAAAAAGAATAATATAGAATTAGCTGAATTTATACTCCTGAAGCCACCTAAATTCATCTTTAAGGTTTTATATTTACAGTATTGTCAAGGAGAAATTATTAAAGAGTTACACTAATTATTTTCCAAGCTCTATTCTAGATGTCTGCTTATTAAGACTTGTAGTTTATGCAGAGGTGAACCACTGTCCTCTAAGATTACACTAAACTACTTCTTGTAGAGCTAATAGTAAAATACATCAACCCAAATCTTATGAAAGCAGCACATCCTCAGGAGTAGCTAGTATATAAAAAGTATCAACATCAGTGGTTTGAATATAAAAATTTATTTTTTTAAGTCAAAGTATGCAACAAATAAAACCTACAGAAAACAGATTTTCCCATCACAATCTGTTGCTTTACCAAATAATAGTTTGAAAACACATTCCTTCAGTCATTATAAAGTTCTTAAAATACAAAAGAAATTAAATCTGTAAGAAAGTCTAGTAGACCAGATGCTGTTGTCAGGACTTTTATGTCGGTGGTTATGCTTCAGTACATCCCACGCCATCCACCTCCACTCATGCCACCTTGCCCATAGTAACCGCCACTGCCTCCACCACCACGGCCTTAGGGAAAAAAAGACATTAAGAACCGTTTAGAAGATATAAATGCATAAGATATTAAAAATATATACAACATTGTAAATCAACTATACTCCAATTAAAAAAGAAAACAACAAAAAAAAGGGACTTCACTGGTGGCACAGTAAGATTCCACGCTCCCAATAGAGGGGGCCCAGGTTCAATCCCTGTTCAGGGAACTAGATCCCACAAGCATGCTGCAATTAAGGAGCCAGTGAACCACAACTAAGGAGCCCGCCTGCTGCAACTAATAAGGCCCAGCACAACCAAATAATAAATATTTTTTTAAAAAAGAACAATAAATGAACTTTAACTCTGCATCACATAAGGGGACTAACACAAACTGAACCAGAGTAATCAGACACTTACCATAACCACCCAGGCCATCCGGAGTACCATATCCTCCACTGTAATTGTTCCCCATTCCCATTCTTCCAACAGATCCATAGCCTCCCTGATTATCTTTAAAAAAAGAAAAAAAGTTTGAGACTGATTGCTAAGTGTCTAAGTCAGCTTATTTAAAAAACTTTACATACCCATTCCATCTCTGCCATAGGCTCCCATTCCAGAACCTCCCATTCCAGAGCCGCCTCCAGGAGTTGAATTCAAGAAGAGTTCAATGTATCGATGTTCTTTAGGGGAAAAAAAGTAATGTGGGAGAAAGGAATGATGGATCAAATTTATCAGCAGAAGTGTGAAAAGGTTGAATGGCTGATATTAACTTGAAAAAGTATGCTTGCAAATTCCTAGTGGAGTGACAAAGTGAAGGCCAGATAGGACTAAAATCTAAGTTTTGTTCAAACTGTTCAAGCTTGAACAAGTAACAAGTGTTTGACACCTCAGTTTCCTTATCTATAAAAGGGCTGACATTATTTTAGAACCTGCTGGTATATGTCTTAAAAATATATTCCAGGCCCATTCATAGTATTGAATTAGAATATTGAGTAGCTTGAGGGTAGGGTCTGGAACAACTTATTAAGTATCAAGTGACTGATGTGTGGCCAGATTTGGGGAATCACTAGTGGAGTTTAAAATTTAATGGCTTAAAAACAGATTTGATGACATGCAGGAATAAGTTACCCAAGTTATCAACGAATACGTTAAGAATTTGCAAATGGCATAGAAACTCGGGCAAGTACAAAAAACATACGTATTTTTTTCTCTTTAGTAACTTAAACTCTAATAATCTGTCAAGTATTAAGAGTGAGTAAACTTCAATAAAAAGCCCCCTAGGAAGCCACTGAAGTCTGAACTTATTAGAGGCCACATGGTTTCAGGCCCCAGACTGCTAAGAGTTACCTACAGATCCCAGAACCTCTTACATTTGAGGAATTACAAATAAGAAAGTTATACCACTTACGCATGTTATTCTTATCTTTAGACATGGCAGCTACTGCATCTTCATGTGTCACAAACTCTACATCTGCTTCTCCTGTTGCTCTGCCATCAGCTCCAATATCAATATGCACTCGGATTGGATTTAGTGGTGAGAAGAACTAAAGAAAACACTTATTTTACTTTTCTATATAGATTATTGAAAGCCAATCACACACTTTGGTTTTAAGTATATTAAAACAAATGCAAAAGAAGAGATCTCTTTTAAAATAAGCCAGGGGATATTAAATTCAAAAAACATTTCTAAGTTAGAGAACAGTTTACCTTAAACAAATGAAAAAGCCATATTTTCCTTACTATACTGACAGGGAGAAGAGTAAGCTCCCCTAGCCCACTCCCAAGAAAGGTATTTCAAAATTGTTTGAAAAAAAGTCACCTGAGACTGACATATGCAGAGAAATTGGGTGTTAAATGACTCAGAACAATGGAGTTTGATAAACCTACCCACTGTATATGCAGAGCTTCCAAAATACATCATTTAGTTCTAATCACAAGTTAACCAGATTTAAGTGACCCCAAAAGGCACCTGGAACTTAGTCCAATTGGTTCTCAGTAAGATCAACAACAAAATTTTTCTTTAAGTGCTAGCTGATAAATAAATACCCTCAGCTTTGCAGGCCACTGGGTCTCTATCACAACTACTCAGTGACTGACTTGGCCCCATGGGCCGAAATTTGCTGATTCTCTAACCAATCTGAAACAAACCAGTTTCAAATCAGTAATAGCAGCATCTACTACCATTATTTTCAGTTCAATTTCTGATTATCACATAAGCCTAGAAAGCTAAACCACACCACTAAAACTTACTGACTTATCACATATTTACAACACTTTCAAAACTTGACACAAGGAAAATCTTCCAGTCATCACCACTCTGCTCGTCAGTCTTTCACGAAATTATTAACTGGACTTTATAAATGTAGCTTTTAACTTGCTTGAATCCTATGTAGGCTGGCACACAACGGACACACATTCATCAACTAGTGAAGGTAAGGACATATGTATTTTCCTATTAAAGGGATTTTTGACATTAAAACTAAAAAGACAAAGATGAGTACATTAAAGAGTTTTCAAAATTTAGAGACTATGATTATGCATAAAGTAACTAATAAATTACTAAAATTACTCACATTAGCGATGTCATTTTCAGTTGCACGGAAAGGTAATCCCCTCATATGTACAAAATGACCACCATGAAAACCTGAGCTTGCATCACCAGCTCCACCATAGCCATGTCCTCCCATACCTAGAGAATAAGATTTCCAAAGATTATTTCTTCCCTATACACACCTTTTCCTATTTACACCCCTTTTTTGACAATCCCAAGAAATCTTAATACTTACAGTTCTAAATATCAAATGGAGAATTTTCCTGTAAGTATACATCTGTATAAAGCCCTATGCAGGAATGCACTGAAATATGCCTGAGTTGACTTTTGTATACAAGTCACCTATATTACCACTAAGTGCATGTAAAGCAAATACTGAAATTCACCTAAAAATGACTATGTCTTTAATATATATTTTACCTCTTCCGTCTCTCATTCTGTCATCAAAGCCATCATTTCCATAGCCATAATTATTATAGCCACCATAGTCATCAAAACCTCCATAACCTGTGTAATTTAAGGAGAAATACACGAATAAGCTTTGAAGAGACAAATTCTATAATCCAGTTTACAAAAGCATGTTTTGTGGCAAGCAGTCTGGCAACTCGGCCCTCCCACAAAGTTTGCAACTTCCAACTTAGTGCATATGAAAAAAATCAGTTAACACTTAGTGGAAATTAAAAATATGAAAAGGATACATTTAGACATCAAAATTAATTTTCACCCTGATGCCAAACAGAAAATGTCAAAACGTTAACAATCTTTAAAAAATTTTTGTGTTAAGTAAACCAGGTGCCAATATGTGCATCAATCAAGTCCCATAGCTGGCCATGGGAATCCATCTTTTCATGAACAGGTTTTAAAACCTAGTAGGTACTGAATTACTGCCATTTCTGTATTTCTTGACAAAGTGTCAGGAACATTAAGAAAATGACAAC